GTGATGAGGGAGCTTGGCTGCGCGGACGGCTGCGGACGGGCAATGGGTGCGGAGAAGTGCGCGGACGGTTGCGGACGGCGTGGGTGCAAGGGAGTCGCTGGAAATGGGTGGGGAATGGTGGGGAGAAGAATTCGCTGGTGATGAGCGAGCTTGGCTGCGCGGACGGCTGCGGACGGCAAATGGGTGGGGAGAATGGTGTGGACGGCTGCGGACGGCGTGGGTGCAAGGGAGTGGCTGGAAATGGGTGGGGAGAAGAAGCCGCTGGTGATGAGCGAGCTTGGCTGCGCGGACGGCTGCGGACGGGAATGGGTTCGGAGAATTGCGCAGACGGTTGCGGACGGCGTGGGTCCAAGGGGCATGGCTGGAAATGGATGGGGAGAAGAAGCCGCTGGTGATGAGCGAGCTTGGCTGCGCGGACGGCTGCGGACTGCAAATGGGTGGGGAGAATGGCGTGGGGTGGGAGAATTGCGCGGACGGTTGCGGACGGCGTGGGTGCGAGGGAGTGGCTGGAAATGGGTGGGGAGACGAAGGCGCTGGAGATGAGAGAGCGTGGCTGCGCGGACGGCTGCGGACGGGAAATGGGTGGGGAGAATTTCGCGGACGGCTGCGGACGGCGTGGGTGCAAGGGAGTGGCTGGAAATAGTTGGGGAGAAGAAGTCGCTGGGGATGAGCGAGCTTGGCTGCGCGGACGGCTGTGGACGGGAAATGGGTGGGGAGAATTGCGCGGACGGCTGCGGACGGCGTGGGTGCAACGGAGTGGCTGGAAATGGGTGGGGAGAAGAACAAGATGCAGCCCACGAACCCGAATGCTCACACGTATGTTTATGTATATGCAGTCACTCAGAACAATTTTCTGCAATAGTTTGTTTGAACAGTCTTGTATATACATATTTCCCCTGTGACCAGTCTGCAGTGTGGAGTGGACAGTGTAGAGTGTGGAGTGTAGAGTGTAAAGTGTAGAGTGTGGAGTGTAAAGTGTGGAGTGTAAAGTGTAGAGTGTGGAGTGTAAAGTGGGAAGTGTGGTGTGTAAAGTGTGGAGTGAGGAGTGAGGAGTGTAAAGGGTGGAGTGTGCAGTGGGTAAAATGTGGAGTGTGGAGTGTAGAGTGTGGAGTGTGAAGTGTAGACTGTGGAGTGTGGAGCGTAAAAGTGTGGAGTGTAAAGTGTGGAGTGTAAAGTGTGGAGTGTAAAGCGTGGAGAGGAAAGCGTGGAGTGTAAAGTGTGGAGTGTGGAGTGTAGAGTGTAAAGTGTAGAGTGTGGAGTGTGGAGTGTAAAGTGTGGAGTGTAAAGTGTGAAGTGAGGAGTGTAAAGTGCAAACTGTAAAGTGTTGAGTGTAAAGTATTATAAAGTGTGGAGTGAGGAGTGAGGGGTGTAAAGTGTAGAGTCTAGAGTGTGGAGTGGAAACTGTAGAGTGTGGAGTGTAAAGTGTGGAGTGTAAAGTGTAGAGTGTGGAGTGTAAAGTGGGAAGTGGGAAGTGTGGAGTGTAAAATTTAAAAAGTGTGGAGTGAAAAATGTAAAGTGTAGAGTATGGAGTGTGAAGTGTAGAGTGTGGAGTGTGGAGTGGAAAGTGCAGAGTGTGAAGTGTGGAGTGAAAAGTGTAGGGTGTGGAGTGTGGAGTGTAAAGTGTGGAGTGAGGAGTGTAAAATGTAAAGTGTGGAGTGAGGAGTCAAAAATGTAAAGTGTGGAGTGTAGAGTTTAAAGTGTACAGCGTAAAGTGTAGAGTGCGGAGTGTGGAGAGTAAAGTGTGGAGTGTAAAGTGTGGAGTGAGGAGTGCAAAGTGCAAAGTGTAAAGCGTAGAGTGTGGAGTGAGGAGTGTAAAGTGTAAATTGTGGAGTGAGGAGTGTGGAGTGTAAAGTGTGCAGAACGCACTTGGCAACGAGCCCGACGAGGTCCGAGGTCCGAGGTCGAGGTCCGAGGTCCGAGGTCCGAGGTCCGAGGTCCGAGGTTCGAGGTCCGAGGTTCGAGGTCCGAGGTCCGAGGTCCGAGGTCCGAGGTCCGAGGTCCGAGGTCCGAGGTTCGAGGTCCGAGGTCCGAGGTCCGAGGTCCGAGGTCCGAGGTCCGAGGTTCGAGGTTCGAGGTCCGAGGTTCCGAGGTCCGAGGTTCGAGGTCCGAGGTCCGAGGTCGAGGTTCGAGGTCCGAGGTTCGAGGTCCGAGGTTCGAGGTCCGAGGTCGGTCCGAGGTCCGAGGTCCGAGGTCCGAGGTCCGAGGTCCGAGGTCCGAGGTCCGAGGTCCGAGGTCCGAGGTCCGAGGTCCGAGGTTCGAGGTTCGAGGTTCGAGGTCCGAGGTCCGAGGTCCGAGGTCCGAGGTTCGAGGTCCGAGGTCCGAGGTCCGAGGTCCGAGGTTCGAGGTCCGAGGTGCGAGGTCCGAGGTCCGAGGTTCGAGGTCCGAGGTTCGAGGTCCGAGATCCGAGGTGGCAACGCGGCGGCAACATCCATTGTCAAGTTCGATCTCAAAGTGTGGAGTGTGGAGTGGAAAGTGTAGTTTGTGGAGTGTGGAGTGTAAAGTGTGGAGTGTGGTGGAGTGTGGGGTGTAGTGTGTGGAGTGTGGTGGAGTGTGGGGTGTAGAGTGTGGAGTGTGTAGGAGTGTAAAGTGTGGAGTGCAAAGTTTAAAGTGTGGAGTCCAAAGTGTAAATTGTGGAGTGTAGAGTGTAAAGTGTAGAGTGTGAAGGGGGAGTGGAAAGTGCAAAGTGTAAAGTGTAGAGTGTGGAGTGAGGAGTGTAAAGTGTAAATTGTGGAGTGAGGAGTGTGGAGTGTAAAGTGTGGAGTGGAAAGTGTCGAGTGTGGAGTGTGGCGTGTAGAGTTTTAATTTAAAGTGTGGAGTGAGGAGTGTGCAAAGTGTAGAGTGTGGTGGAGTGTAGAGTGAGGAGTGTGCAAAGTGTAGAGTGTGTTGGAGTGTAGAGTGTAAAGTGCCACCCTTGCCACGCAAAACGACATGACAACCTGCTTGGAAACCTTCGAAAAGGAGAGATTTTGCAGCTTCCCCCATAGACACGGCGACGCTACAGGAAAACCAGAGACTTGAGACGAGAGATGTGGGAGCATCAAAACGAGCCTTTCGTGCGAGACTTCCTCCAATTTTCACACTTGGTATATAGCTTCAAAATTGACGTTTTCCTGCGAGTTTTCGTACGAGCCTTTAAATTTGCTACCTTAAAATCGATGTTTCGTGGGAGGCTTCCGTCAATTTTCAGCACATCTCACAAAATGCCACGTCTGCCACGGAATCTGCACCTTGTCGCCACTTGACGCAGCCCTGCCAATGCGATTCGTAAAAAACACGCAACACGACGCGTCTAAAGTGCTGCGCCTGCTACGCAAAATGACGATGGACACGTCCAAAGTGCTGCGCCGGCCACGAAAACTGCAACGCATCTTCTGAAAACGTCGCAAAAGTAGTGCGCCTGCCACACAAAATGACTTTCGACACGTTACAAAACACGTCTGAATGTCACGAAGTGCCACGCCTGCCACGCGAAACGCAAAAATTAGCCCTTCTGGAGAACTTACCAGAGGCACGGCCATATAGCAATCGCGCGGACGGTTGCGAGTGGTTGCGGACGGTTGGGCAACGGGAACCCTTGCTTCGGGAAAGAAAGGGAAAGGAAGGGAACGGAAGGGACAGGAAGGGAAAGGAAGGGAAAGGAATGGAAAGGACGGGAAAGGAACGGAAAGAAAGGGACAGGAAGGGAAAGAAAGGGAAAGAAAGGGAAAGGAAGGGAAAGGACGGAAAAGGAAGGGAAAGGAAGGGAAAGGACGGGAAAGGAAGGAAAGGAAGGGAAAGGAAAGGAGAGGCTGATTTGGAAATCAGCCGCCGTCGCATGACCGTGCTCAAATGAGCTTGCTTGGCTATTGCGCACTGTCACTCAATGTTTCCGCGCAGAGCTGAAATTACTTTACTTCGAGTTATCCCCACCATGACATCTACACGTTTTGTTACTGGCAAATCTTCTGGCATTCTATCTGACATATCTTCTGGCATTTTATCTAGCATATCTTTTGGCATATCTTCTGGCATATCTTCTGGCATTCTACATGGCATATCTTCTGCAATATGTTCTGGCATATCTTCTGGCATTCTATCTGACATATCTTCTAACACTCTATCTGGCATATCTTCTGGTATTCTATCTGGCCGTTGAGGTCCGGCAGTGCACGCAGAGCTGGGAAGGTCCCAGGTTGAGGTCCAGCGGTGCACACTGAGCTGGGAAGGTCCCAGGTTGAGGTCCAGCGGTGCACACTGAGCTGGTTTGGTCCCAGGTTGAGGTCCAGCGGTGCACACTGAGCTGGTTTGGTCCCAGGTTGAGGTCCAGCGGTGCACACTGAGCTGGGAAGTTGGCAAAGAGCTTGGCGAAGAGTTGGCAAGGCGGAAGTTGAGGTGGAAGTTGATGCAGACATGATCGAGGAGAAACTGGAGGAGGAGGCAGAGGAGGAGGAGAAGGCGGAGGACGAGGAGGACGAGGACGAGGAGGACAGCTAGCCGAGGAGAACAACTCTGATAAAATCTAACAACCCTCACCTGGCAGGTGGGGAAACATGAAATTTGCAGTGAATGCGTCCATAATGTTCATCTTCTAAAAAGAAGCTGGCAAGAGGCGAAAAAGAAATAAACCAATTATCAGTATTACTCAAATTTGTTTGCTGTCGTTTTGCTTTTGGGTTCTCAGCCCCCCCCTTGTTTTTGGGGTTGTGGGTCTATACAAGATAAAACTCTTGAAACATGGTTGATCATGGTTAAACTAATGATACCCAATGAGGATTAATGATTGAGTGTTTCACTGCAATCTCACCAGCCATACCAGCCCAAACTATGCTGATGAATAAACTTCTCCCATGCTGGTGCAGCTGGTGCAGCTGCTTCTCTGGATTTCCCAGAAACCTGATGTGTGGGATTCTACTCCACGGACTTGGGCAGAACAAACTTGGGCTGTTTTGTACAAGACTCCCCACACTAGTCCCACACTTTTGGTGAATGAGTTTCACTTTCTCATCCCACCTGTCGCTGGTTTGGCTCAGCAATTGGGGGCGCAACAAAGTGCCGCCCCTCACATTCTGCGCCATGGAGGCTGAAGATGCAGCTCCAGGCGAGGCGTTGCTGTCCTTGATGCGTGCCCTGCCTACCCCACAGGCTGACGGAGATGAGGAAAGATATCCCTTGGGCCGCGACTTGATCACCTACCAGAGCCCCAGGCAGAAACGTGCACGCCTGGAGGCCAGGTTGGAGCTGCCAGACGTGGAAGCGACCGAGGTTAGCTTCCAAAGTCCCAAGAGGCGGCACCGGGCGCCGAAGGCGTTGCAGAGCTCACCCAAAGTGACTCGGTTGCACTGTCCTACCACCGAACCCGATGAGCCACCAGGTCACCAGGGGGTGTCTGAAAAGCAACCAAAATGAGCCAAAATTGTGATTTCTTTTTAATGGGATGATATAGTAATTAATGACATGTAATTCCATTATAATTTATATATATATACATATATCACATACATAATTATTTGTATAATAATATAATATAATATTTTATATTACGGCCAGGCGCTGCGTGTTGCCCGGAAAGTTCACATGGCGTTTAAGCATTATCCTTCAACATGCTCAAACACCTGTGCAGGGCCAGTGTTTTGAGATTTCCCAGACGACGAGCCCTAAAACCTAAATCCCAAACCCAAAAACCCTAAAACCTAAAACCCTAAAACCTTAAACCCCAAACCCTAAAGCCTAAACCCTGAAAACTTTGAATCCTAAACCAGAAAACTCTGTGTATATGCAGTATTTTCTGCAATCCCTCCTATCTTATTCATCAATTCTCCATCCTCAATGTAAATGTCTGGGCAACACGCGGCGTTTGTGGGTAATATTATTGTGAATTGAATGTACAAGATTGTAAAAGCAACACATATGGGTATGGGTCAATACCTATAGATACATGTTTAGTGGGATGAACATCCATTTACCAGCTATTTTGGGGTTCACTACCAGGGTTTTGACCCATATCAGTCAGGAGATTTTGTGCAAAAAGTATAGTTCCAGACAGCTCCGCCAGGTGAAGGGAGACCAAAAGCCCGACAACGATGGCAGTTTGACGGGTTTCAACGTCACTGCTGTGCTGGCCAAGATGGCAGATCGTTCAGTGCTCGTCGCGAAGAACCGAGAGGGGGAGCAAGTGGCGTTGAGACTCGGCAGCGCGTTGGAGCCATTGAAAAATGGCTGTTTTATATGGCTGAAATATGGCTGTTTTATATGGGGTTCTAGTGAGATTCTAATGGTTTGCAGCAGTATACCCACATATCAATGCCCATAAAAAAACATGTTAAATGCTGTGAATAACCTGAATAACTATGTGGGTATGTTCCCCCATGCACATCACATGATTTTTGGCATGTTGATTTCGATGCGCCCATTTGTTGCCATGGCCGGAGGAAAGTCCTGGAGAAGCACAGCATGTGGCTGACACCCAAGCGAAAAATTGGTTCCGAAGCTGAGGTTATGCAGCAGTTGACGCTTTGGCGCGGTTAGGTTATGGTTGGGTTATGAGGCGACAAAAAAAACGGAAAGTGGAGGTGAATCCCAGGTAGATCCAGTTAGGAAGTGGCGAAAAATCATAAAACATCATGAAACATCCAGATATAGAAGTGGGTTTTGGAAGTGCTTGTGACCAGAAACCACTTCCAACTACAGACACCCCAGCACGCCTAGTGGAACGTGGTGAATTTGTTTATTCTGGGGGACAGTTTCATATATCATATGAACATGGTGAGAAGGTGAGTAAATTAGATGATTTCAATCAATTGTGATGAATTTAAACCCCTACTAATGGTGCGATGACCCTGACTATACAACTATAATGTACCTTGGTGGTTCCTCAAGCGACAGCTGATATGTGCCCAAGAATCAACAGTTTGAAACCAAAACACATCAGGAATCTATCCAATGCCAGAGTAGAGTGGACAAAACTCACAGTGACTGGGCCGGGGCCGTACGTTTTTATCAACAAAAAACCTGGCATGTTGCTTGACATATGCCCTTTTGCCTTGGCAATGATGGTGAATAGAAGTCTTGGAAGAATCCTCATGCTTACCACCAACAAAGAGTCACTTCTGAACGGAGGGTCTTAGTATGTCTTAGTTGTCTTAGTTTGCTAGAATTGGATGATGGGAAACTTCATAGGGTTAGCCGCTTCGCCCCTTACAAGTTGGGCCGCTGAGGAAGCATCCGGGCATAGTGAAGGTCCTCCAAGTCATTGAGGAGGACGAACGTTGCTGGACTGGTGGGTGGCAACTTGGGATGGCAACTCATGTAAGGGAGTATCAGATCTGTTTGAAAACAATCAAATTTCTATGCAAGTCGAGCTTTTAAGCATGTGGAGTAAATGATATTCAATTCACTGGATTGGAGTCGTGAAAACCTACAGGAAACCATGGTTTTTTCAAGTTTTTTCCAGTTTTCCCCATCAAATTCCTGATTTGTTTCCCAGAAATTCCAGGGGGTCGAGCTGGCTTTCTAGGCTTGTGCTTGGTGATGGAGTACGTTCCGGGAGGCGACATGCTGCAGGACATCATTCGCCAAGGTCGATTTCTGGAAGCGCACGCGAAGCGACTTGTCAAACAGTGTCTGAGCAGCAAGGCGCCCAAAATCCGATCGTTGATATTTTGGAAGGTACCCTCTGGTTATGTCAAAATAGCTATTGAAAATGACCATTTATAGTGGATTTTCCCATTGAAAATGGTGATTTTCCATAGTTATGTTAGTTTACCAGAGGGTACCTCAAAAAGTGATATACTGTATACATCTGTATACTTAAACAGATATACATGATATACCAGAAAATACTAGACATATATATGATAGAGGTACTGTAAAATACGGTAAATATATGGGTCCACCCTCATATTAATCAACCTTGGTCTTATACTGTAAATCCTTTCTTTACACGACCTGAGGCTGGGCGATGCTATGACCTATGTCCATTCGCGGAACGTGGTACATCGCGATTTGAAGCCGGAGAATATTCTTCTGACCTCCAATGACCGAGAGACCATGAAAGTGAAGCTCGTTGAGTCAGCGATCGAAGCGTTTTTGGGATGGCTGATGGGATACCCTTTAACATCCTTTAACATCCTTTACCATTTGAGCCGTTTGAGCCATTTGAGCCATTTGAGCCATTCGGATGGGGGTTATATGTTTTGAGAAACGCTGTCAACATCAATGATCGATGGGATTTTGGGGGTACGGTGCCCTATATTAATATCCATCCATGCTCCCTAAACTTCGCCATCAGCCATATTTTTTTCACCAACCGTTGGCTGGTGGCTCCTTGCGACTTCCGATCCCAAACTGCCAAGATGTTGTGATTTTGTTGTGTGTGTGTGTCTTGAGATTTTCTTGACATGGAAACGACAAACCATCAACCACTTGTGATCTGGTTTGGGGCGAGGTTGTTTGAATTGGGGGCATTCCATTGGTTGAAGCTATCCCAGACTTTGGATGATAGGATTTTGGTGTCAAGCGGTTTGGTGTCGCCTGACATCTTTCGTGGTTCACAGACACCATTTTTTTGGGAAAACGGAGATCAAGGGGGGCCATAGCGGGCCCCCAAGCGGCCCCCTGGCGACTGAGGAAGATTTCGGATTTTGGCATCTCACGGCTGACCTCGAGTTCCCAGGTGCTGCATGGCCTGGATAACAGTTTGCCATGGAAAGATCCACCCATTTTATACCGCCGGACTGAAAGTTAGAATGCCCATTTGGTGGCGGCAAGTGGATTTAGATATCCATTTCCGCGTACCGCGTGAGAAATTTGGGAGGCATTCTAACCCTATTTATTTAGTCCTGAAACCCCTAAACAAATCCGGGACGGCATTCTAACCCTATTTATGTAGTCCTGAAGACCCCAAAACTCCAAAATATCGAATTTTCGACTGTCCCGTGTCTTCCATGTACTACAAATATGCAGAATATGCATGAAATCTACCCAACAATACAATGAAAAATAATGAAAAACATCTTTAAAACATTGAAAAGTCAATGAAAAATGATGAAAAACATGTAAACACATTGAACAATCAATGAAAAATAATTAAACACATCTTGAAAATAATGAAGAATCATTGAAAAATAATGAACAACATCTTCAAAATAATGAAACATCAATGAAAACCATCTTTAAAATAAAAAACATTGAACAATAATGAAAAACATCTTCGAAATACTGAAAAATCACTGAATGCCGTCCCGGATTTTTTAAAAGGGGTTTCGGGACAATAAACAAGGTTAGAATGCCTCCCGGATTTCTCACGCTGTACACGTTTTTTTTTTTGAAATCCATGTCTTTCCACCAAAGTGACATTATAACTTTCAGTTGTACCATATAATTGGAAAAAACCATGAAAAATAATGAAGCACATCGTCAAAATAACGAAAACACAATGAAAAATAATGGATCTACCCATGATCAATTAAAACATGTCACAATATGCAGAAAAAATGCAATATCGTCATCCGCCGATCCAAGAACACCTCGTTTACTCACATCTGATATGTATGTACATGGTTGTAATTGTACATACATACAGCGCATATATGTGTGCATAATGCCGTTTTTGGAGGTTACCATACTGTTTAATCAACATTTCATTATCGTGGAGAATACCGTGGGAAAATCTCCGACGGGCATTCTAACCCTATTTATTTAGTCCTGAAACCCCTAAAACTCCAATTTTTTTGACGAATTTTTGACTGTCCCGTGTCTTCCATGTATATGGTACTGCAAATATGTAGAATACGCATGTAAATTGCCAAAAAAAACTACCCAAAACATGATGAAAAATAATGAAACAAATTCAAAAACACTAAAAAATCAATGAAAAACATGTAATTAACAACATTGAAAAATCAACGAAAAATAATGAAACACATCTTGAAAATAATGAAAAGTCATTGAAAAATAATGAACTAACATCCTCAAAATAATTAGAATCAATGAACAACATCTTCAAAATAAAAAACACTGAACAATAATGAACAACATCTTCAAAATACTGAAAGATCACCGAATGCCGTCCCGGATTTTTTAAGGGGGTTCAGGACTAAATAAATAAGGTTAGAATGCCTCCCGGATTTCTCATGCGGTACACGGGCTTTTTCTTGAAATCCATGTCTTTCCACCAGGGTGGCAATATAACTTTCGGTTGTACCATATAATTAGGGAAAAACAATGAAAAATAATGAAACACATCGTCAAAATAACGAAAAAACAATGAAAAATAATGGATCTACCCATGATCAATAAAAAATGTCACAATATGCAGAAAAAATGCAATATCGTCATCCGCCGATCCAAGAACACCTCGTTTACTCACATCTGATATGTATGTACATGATTGTAAATGTACATACGTACAGCGCATATATGTGTGTACAAGGCCGTTTTCGGAGGTTACCATCCTGTTTAATCAACATTTCATTATCCTGGGGAATACCGTGGGAAAATCCGCGACGGGCATTCTAACCCTATTTATTTAGTCCTGAAACCCCTAAAACTCCAAAATGTTTGACGCATTTTTCGACCGTTCCGTGTCTTCCATGCATATGGTACTGCAAATATGCAGAATATGCATGTAAATTGCAAACAAATCTTTCCATGAACAATAAACAATGTCATAATATGCAGAACAAATGCAATATCGTATTATAAATGTGTAGAATATGCAGGTATTCGCCAAAAAAAACATGCTCATGATCAGCAAAAAAAATATATGACCACTAAAATTGACAGAATATGCAGAAAACAGGCAATATCGTCATCTGCCGATCCAAGAACGCCTCGTTTACTCACATCTGATATGTATGTGCATGATTGTAAATGTACATATATGTAGTATATACAGCGCATATATATATATGTGTGTGTGTGTAATGCTGTTTTCAGAGATTACCATCCTGTTTAATCAAAATTTCATTGTCGTGGGGAATATCGTGGGAAAATCTCGACGGGCATTCTAACCATATTTATTTAGTCCTGAAACCCCTTAAAAAAATCCGGGACGGCATTCTATCCCTATTTATTGAGTCCTGAAACCCCTAAAACTCCAAAATTATTGACGCATTTTCGACCGTCCCGTGCCTTCCATGTACTGCAAATATGCAGAATTTGCATGTAAATTGCGACCAAACCTTTCCATGGACAATAAACAATGTCATAATATGCAGAAAACATGCAATATCGTACAATCATGTATAATCAATATGTAGAATATGCAGGTATTCGCCAAGATAACATGCTCCTGATCAGCACAAAAAAATAACCACTAAAATTGACAGAATATGCAGAGAAAATGCAATATCGTCATCGGCCGATCCAAGACACCTCGTTTACTCACATCTAATATGTATGTACATGTACATATATGTAATATATACAGCGCATATGTATATCTGTGTATGATGCCGTTTTCGGAGGTTACCATCCTGCTTAATCAACATGTCATTATCGTGGGGAATACCGTGGGAAAATCCCCGACGGGCATTCTAACCCTATTTATTTAGTCCTGAAACCCCTAAAACTCCAAAATTGTTGACGCATTTTCGACCGTCCCGTGTCTTCCTTGTACTGCAGATATGCAGAATATGCATGTAAATTGCAAACAAATCTTTCCATGAACAATAAACAATGTAAACATTTGCAGAAAACATGCAACATCGTATTGTAAATTCTAAATTTAAATATGTAGAATATGCATGAATATGCAGGTATTTGCCCAAAAAATATTGCTCATGATCAGTAAAAAAAGTACATGATCAATCAAAAATGACAGAATATTGAAAAATGCCATATCGTTTGTGTGTAATGCCGTTTTCGGAGGTTACCATCCTGTTTAATCAACATGTCATTATCATGGGGAATACCGTGGGAAAATCCCCGACGGGCATTCTAACCTGATTTATTTAGTCCTGAAACCCCTAAAACTCCAAAATTATTGACGCATTTTCGACCGTCCCGTGTCTTCCTTGTACTGCAAATATGCAGCATATGCATGTAAATTGCAAACAAATCTTTCCATGAACAATAAACAATGTAAACATTTGCAGAAAACATGCAACATCGTATTGTAAATTGTAAATTTAAATGTGCAGAATATACAGGTATTTGCCCCAAAAAAATTGCTCATATCAGAAAAAGAACATGATCAACAAAAAATGACGGAATATTACAAAAATGCAACATCGTCTGTGTATAATGCCGTTTTTGGAGGTTACCATCCTGTTTAATGAGCATTTCATTATCGTGGGGAATACCGTGGGAAAATCCCCGACGCGCATTCTAACCCTATTTATTTAGTCCTGAAACCCCTAAAACTCCAAAAATCTTGACGCATTTTCGACCGTCCCGTGTCTTCCATGTACTGCAAATATGCAGAATACGCACGTAAATTGCAAACAAATCTTTTCATGAACAATAAACAATGTCATGATATGCAGAAAACATGCAACATCGTATTGTAAATTGTAAATTTAAATTTGCAGTTTTTGCAGGTATTTGCCAAAAAAACATGTTCATGATCAGCAAAAAAACATCAATAAAAATTGACAGAGTATGCAGAAAAAATGCAATGTCGTCATCCGCCGATCCAAGAACACCTCGTTTACTTACATCTAACATGTATGTACATGTACATTTATGTAATATATACAGCGCATATATATGTGTGTATAATGCCGTTACCATCCTGTTCAATCAACATTTCATTATCGTGGGGAATACCGTGGGAAAATCCCCGACGGGCATTCTAACCCTATTTATTTGTTTAGTCCTGAAACCCCTAAAACTCCAAAATGTTTGACACATTTTTCGACCGTCCCGTGTCTTCCTGTACTGCAAATATGCAAATATGCATGTAAATTGCAAACAAATCTTTCCATGAACAATAAACAATGTAAACATTTGCAGAAAACATGCAACATCGTATTGTAAATTGTAAGTTTAAATGTGCAGAATATACAGGTATTTGCCCCAAAAAACTTGCTCATATCAGAAAAAGAACATGATCAACAAAAAATGACGGAATATTACAAAAATGCAACATCGTCTGTGTATAATACCGTTTTTGGAGGTTACCATCCTGTTTAGTCAACATGTCATTATCGTGGGGAATACTGTGGGAAAATCCCCGACGGGCATTCTGCATTCTAACCTTATTTATATATTTAATCCTGAAACCCCTAAAACTCCAAAATTTTTGACGCATTTTCGACCGTCCCGTGTCTTCCATGTACTGCAAATATGCAGAATATGCATGTAAATTTCAAAAGAATCTACCCATGACCAATAAAACATGTGATAGTAAGCAGAAAAAATGCAACATCGTATTGTTATTTACAATATGCAGAATAAACAGGTATTTGCCCAAAAAAACTTGCTCATGATCAATCAAAAAAACACACTATGCAGAAAAAATGCAATATCGTCATCCGCCGATCCAAGAACACCTCGTTTACTCACATCTAATATCATCCAATTAATATGTATGTACATGTATACATATTATGTAATATTTACAGCGCATATATATGTGTGTGTATAATGCCGTTTTCGGAGGTTACCATCCTGTGCATTTCAGGATGGTGGAGAATACCGTGGGAAAATCCCCGACGGGCATTCTAACCCTATTTATTTAGTCCTGAACCGTCTAAAACTCCAAAATTCTTGACGAAATTTTCGACCGTCCTGTGTCTTCCATGTACTGCAAATATGCAGAATATGCATGTAAATTGCAAACAAATCTACCCATGAGCAATAAAACATGTCATAATATGCAGAAAAATGCAACATCGTATTGTAAATTGTAAATTTAAATGTGCAGAATATACAGGTATTTGCCCCAAAAAACTTGCTCATGATCAGCAAAAAAGAAACCTGATCAACAAAAAATGACAGAATATTACACAAATGCAACATTGTCTGTGTATAATGCCGTTTTTGGAGGTTACCATCCTGTTTAATGAGCATTTCATTATCGTGGGGAATACCGTGGGAAAATCCCCGACGGGCATTCTGCATTCTAACCCTATTTATTTAGTCCTGAAACCCCTAAAACTCCAAAATTCTTGATGCATTTTCGACCGTCCCGTGTCTTCCATGTACTGCAAATATGCAGAATTTGCATGTAAATTGCAGCCAAATCTTTCCATGAACAATAAACAATGTCATAATATGCAGAAAAATGCAATATCGCATTTTAAATATGTAGAATATGCATGTATTCGCCACAAAACATTTTCATGATCAGCAAAAAAGTATAGATCACTAAAAATCACAGAATATGCACAGAAACAATGCAATATCGTCATCCGCCGATCCAAGAACGCCTCGTTTACTCACATCTAATATGTATGTACATGTATACATATATGTAATATATACAGCGCATGTATACATGTGTATAATGCCGTTTTCGGAGGTTACCATCCTGTTTAATCAACATTTCATTTTGTCGGCAATACCGTGGGAAAATCCCCGACGGGCATTCTAACCCTATTTATTTAGTCCTGAAACCCCTAAAACTCCAAAATTCTTGACGCATTTTCGACCGTCCCGTGTCTTCCATGTACTGCAAATATGCAGAATTTGCATGCACATTGCAAACAAATCTTTCCATGAACAATAAACAATGTCATGATGTGCAGAAAAAATGCAACATGGTATTGAAAAATTTAGATATGAAGAATATACAGGTATTTGCCAAAAAAATGTTCATGATCAGCAAAAAAGACATGATCAATAAAACATTACAGAATATTGGACAAATGCAATAACGTCTGTGTATAATGCCGTTTTTTGGAGGTTACCATTCCGTTTAATCAACATTTACATTGTCGTAGGGAATACCGTGAGAAAATCCCCGACGGGCATTCTAACCCTAGGTATTTAGTCCTGAAACCCCTAAAACTCCAATTTTTTTGACGCATTTTCGACCGTCCCGTGTCTTCCATGTACTGCAAATATGCAGAATATGCATGTAAATTGCAAAACAAATCTACCCATGACCAATAAAACATATCATAATATGCAGAAAAGATGCAACATCGTATTGTAAATATAAATATGCAGAATTTGCAGGTATCTTTCCAAAAAAACATGTTCATGATCAGCAAAAAACAAGATCAATAAAAAATGGCATATGCAGAAAAAATGCAATATCGTCATCCGCCGATCCAAGAACACGTCGTTTGCTCACATCTAGATTTCATTTATCTATTTAAAACCTATATAGAATTCATAAGTTTTAGGGGCATATGCTGCGGAGGCATTCTAACCTACAAAAAACAAGGTTTGGTGGCCCCGGCAAACCAAGCTTTTGGACGGTTTTCGACTACGGTATTTTACGGGTTTTTATGGGTTTTGATGAGTTTTTACAGGTTTTCGACGGTTTTTCTACGGGTTGTGGCGAAGCTGCTTCATCAAAAACCTGGTTTTGTTGGCTAAAACCTGTTTTTTTCGCAGAAACTAGCTCAAAACCAGGTGTTGATACCTCGACCCGCTTTTTTCAGGGATTTGGTTGATGTAGGATATATGATGATGATATCAAACTTTGGTAAGTATTTATCTCAACCGTCATTGGGGACCAAGATTTCATTTATCTATATAAAACCTAGATAGAATTCAGAAGTTTTGGGGGCATATGCTGCGGAGGCATTCTAACCCTACAAGAAAGCAGGTTTGGTGGCCCCGGCAAACCAAGCTTTTGGACGGTTTTCGACTACGGTATTTTACGGGTTTTTATGGGTTTTGATGAATTTTTACAGGTTTTCGATGGTCTTTCTACGGGTTGTGGCGAAGTTGCTTCATCAAAAACCTGGTTTTGTTTGCTAAAACCTGTTTTTTTCGCAGAAACTGGCTCAAAACCAGGTGTTGATACCTCGACCCGCTTTTTTCAGGGATTTGGTTGATGTAGGATATAAATATAAGTATATAGATATAAATATAAATATAAATATAAATATATATATATATATAATATATATATATATTATATAAGAATTCAAAAATCTATATATAGAATTCAGATGTTTTGGAGGCATATGCTGCGGAGGCATTCTAACCCTACAAAAAGAGAAAGGTTTGGTGGCCCCGGCACAACAGGTAGGCAAGTTTGATCAAACAATTTTTGAACATTTTTATCCACATTTACCAGCATAATACGGACTGAAAGGTAGAATTTTAGTAGAATTTTTAAGACAATTTTCGGGGGGGCATTCTAACTTTCAATGGATTTTTTTTGGTGGCAGGTGGGTCATTCTAACTTTCAGTCCGGCGGTATAATAGGTAAACCCAGGTAAACCATCTATAAATGGGCCATCTATACCATGGCTATGTTAAATAGCCAGATGGTATCCATATCGATCCAATCTATCCACTGAGCTTGCTGTCCATGTCTAGATAGATTACGTGTCCATTACATGGTGTATCATGGTGCCTACTCACAGGACTGCCAAACTTACCTTGGCTCGCGGGACTACCGAGCACCTGAAGTTGTTCGCTTGGGCATCAATCGGAAAAAAACCAGTGGAGACCAAGGGGGCTATGGAAAGCCTGCAGATATGTGGAGCCTAGGAGCGCCGTTGATCAGGAATCTGGCATCTCCTGAATGTTGATTTTCCATTGATGTTCAGGGGGATCATTCACTTTCCGGAGCGCTGACGCGTTCCATTCGTTCGAAAGGAGTGGTCGTCTATGTGATGCTCAGCGGTGAGAGGGCCTTCGAAAGTCAGAGCAAAGTTGAGGTCGAGAGCCTTGGTTCTTTCAGCTAACCAATCTGCCTGAAGTAGATATGAAGGGTTCCTACATGTTCCTACAATGGGGGTACCCCAAAAGCTGGATGGTTTATAGTTTGTAGTGGAATATCCGATTAAAATGGATACGTTGGAGGTACCCGGACTTTTAGGAAACCTACATATCAACAATTTCCAACATTTTGAATCTCGTATCGCTTGAAGCGGCCCAGGATTTTGAAAGGCCTTTGGAGCTTTGCGGCGGAGGTTTGGGGTGCCATCTCGCAGGCACCCTGAGATTTTCACGGTTGAGCCATTGATGTCTGTCCGCCTATCATTGATTGGTGTGTTCCCTTCCCCTCTTGGGATATAATTTAAACTCGCTAAACTCTTTTACTGTACACTGTAGACTAATTATTTGATACATATTTGATCCTTTTTTTCATACATGTGTTCTAAATTTATTTATGGGTCGTTGATAAACATGTTTTTTTCCCTCAGGTGAGGTGCAACCAGCCCAGCCCCATCCAGCCAGGATGCCAAGGAGTTGGTCAAGGCCCTGATGCAGCAAGAGCCCAAGAAGCGGCTCCAGGCGTGCGAACTGCTCCAGCACCCGTGGCTCATCGAGGCTGCAAATTCGGCGCCGGAAAAAAAACGGCGGCGGAGTCGGCGAAGGGGTTTTGGGGCAGCGGCGTGAAAGACATTGATGGGGTTTGAATGGACGATCTACAAGAACCGCGCTTTTCTTCGCGGCAACTTTCGGGTATTCCTGTTCTGGGAAAGATGATTTGAATACATGGAGGAATATGTTGGAAGCCTGATGATTGGATATTGTGAGCATCTTGGGGGATGGTGAGCACAGGTAAGCTCAATGTGCCTATAGAACTATGAGGAAAATGAGGAAAAACCACGGAACTCTACAGTGTTGTTTGACGATTCTGCAATGTTTTCGTTTTTTCCTGAGAAAATGCTCCAAGATTCTCTGTGGGACAGCTCTAATTGGTTCTCAGGATATGTACCGCGTGATTTTTCATCCTCAGATGGTATCAGTGTGCGACAAAGTCAACTACAAGGCGCCGGGTCCTGGAAGTTGTGGTGTGCAAACAGGGAGAAAATGGCAGCGGCTTCTTTTGTACCATGAAAAAGACAAGACTTGTTTTTTAGTAAATATTATGTATTACTATGTTTACAACATATTATTTATCATTATGCTTAGGCGATGGAGAGATTATGCTTAGTTTGCTATTAGTGCTATTTTATATAGTGGGGTATACGGCAGCGGCATACTCCATGTTCGGGCAAACCCAGATAGATTGTGGAGATGAACCTTGTACTTGGATGTATTTGACACTTTTCCTCTAACTTGAAATGAAAAGGATTATACGCACCAATACCATTTGTGGTGCATATCCCAAGAAGATTTTGGTGTTGAGCAGGTCCCGTAATGATGGTGGTAGAATATCATCCTACCCTATCAGTCCAGGTGACCCTAGTGGTTGGCCGGCCTTCACCAGGTAGGTAAGCTATTCACCTTTGCATCTTCAGATCCTCCAGTAATTTGTCACTTCACGCGGGGTGCTGATCCCCAACCGGACTTGGGCCATCCGCCAGGCGGACCTTCCTTTCACCAAGGAGCCGGCCGTTGCCATCTATGCCAATCTGGCGAAGCCCGCAGGTGTGGAGGATCACCATGGGATTTCCATGTGGTTTTGGAGTAAACATATTGACCAAAGCCCTAAAGTCCATGAAAATCAGTGGTTACCCTCGGGTAATTCTCACATAGCTATGGAAAATTGACCATTTGCAGATGATTTAACTATGTATTCAAAATGGTGATGTTCCATACTTATACATATAATCATATATAATCATATATAAGCTCACCGAGGGGTACCCCCCACGACCGGCGTCGTAGAACTATGAAAAAAAAACTAGTTTGCAATGAAAACTAATGGAATCAGTTAGTGTTCCTAAAAAGATGGTTAACTATTTTCGCTGGAAACGTGCAGAATTGTTATAGGAAAGTGAAGAATTTATATGGAAACATAATGAATTTGTCTGGAAACATGAAAGAATTTATATGGCAAAAATATGGAAAAGTGAAGAATTTGTATGGAACCGTGAAGGATTTATAAAGACAAGTGAAGAATCTCTATGGAAAAATGACGAATTCGTCTGGAAAAGTGAAAGAATTTATATGGCCCAACGATATTCTAAGTATAGGTTTTTTGACGTCAACTGTATTCTAAGTATCCTGTTTCAAGTTCAATTATGGGGATGCCCTGGGAAGCCAAAATTTCAATTCCATATTCTAAGTGGGCGGGGTACCTTATATATATATAGAATGTTAAATTAACAGATGGTAATCATCACTATGCCTAGATTACTTGATGGCCATTTGGGGGGTATGGCATAGCTGGTCAGACCACATCATTTTTGGGGCGATTTTTGGGGAAACAAAACAAATAAGAAGTCCAGCCATACTAATATGTAATGATGGTTAATGATGGTTTTTAATAATGGTTAATATGATGGGACAATACAATGATTGAGAATGAACATATGGCAGCAAGGGAGAGGGCGACTACACTCCTGGATCGAAGAAAACATGTTTTCAGCCCAATATTGTGCTCTGTGTATCTTCAGCATTTCAAAGCGGCAATGCTGTATCAGATGGGTCTGTATCGTCCCATGTAAATTTGCAAACTATTGAATAACTATTGTTGGTAAATCCAGGTTCCACACCCAAAATCTCACAGCAACTTGATCCAAGTTGGCTATCCCGTTGTATTCTGATTCAGAAAATATGGTTGATATAATCCTCCTGTTTGGCTGGTGTACTCAGTGTATTCTTATTCTATCATTTATATCCCCATCCTTGTTAGTTTGAGACCCCATCTTTGTTAAGAATCATTAGGGTATCAGTACGATTTCCCATCAAACCAGTTTTTTGTTGGTGAATTAAGAGAATTCAAATGATGAATGGGCCACAATGTTCCCATCACTTCCGTACGTCGAAACCACGAAAATCCCTGGGATTTTCCTAAGGCGTCGATGAGTGTTTCGACGTGCGCATCTTCATCGACCCTGCCAGCGCCACGTGTCGACAACACCGGGTGCTCTACCTCTTCTCAGTGCTTTGGCGGTTTGGGTTTCTGGGTCTTGACCATTAATATTAATGGTAATTATTATTGGTAATTAATATTAATGGTTTGGAATAATGGTAATATTCTGATATTGTAATTAATATTCCAATTATTCCAATTATTTATTATCAGTAATATGAATTACAATATCAGTAATATTCCAATTACAGATGTTTAATATTACAAAATCTAAATCACCAAACATCTGTAATTGGAATATTACTGATAATAAAATCACTACATAATAGTACATAATTAAGACTATTAATAACAACAATGTTCTGTAATGATGATATGAGTATGATAGTAATATTGATGCTAACATTACAAGTAAATATGTATGTATATATATATATCTATATACTAGTTGCCATATATAAAATGAAAATATATTAACCACAATCTTAAATAGTAATCAGGTAATCACCACTAATATAGCTAAGTTGTTTGTTGGAGTTTGACATGTTTGCTTAAGCAACAAAGTTGGGCGAATGAAACTGCAAGATGTGTGTACTTTCGCCTTGGTGGAAATGCCACACTCCGTTGAAGGGGATGGCCACATTGGATCCATCTTGAAATTCCAATGCCTGGATGGACTTTGTGAGTCGTATTTCTGGTTGGTGGTTTGGAACATTGGTTTAGTATGGGATAATGATGGTTAATGATGGTTAATAATGGTTAATAACCACTGGTTGGTGGTTTGGAACATTATTTTCCATATATTGAGAATAGTAACCCCAACTGACTAATATTTTTCAGAGGGGTTGAAAGCACCAACCAGTATTTCTAGGTCACCATACTTGTATCATCTTTTACCGGCTTTGTTAGGCTTTGTTTCATTGTCACTCTCATGCGGATGGTTTGGGCGGCTTATTGACATATGTACTTTCAATGTCTTTCAAATAATCACATCCCATCCCGACCCGAACATTTACCCCTGCATTAGTAGGCCATTTACACATATTTGGAACCATTTGGAAGGTCTTCAATCTTAGGAAGATGGGATAAATTCCGCTTCAACTACAGATCTAACCGTCTAACACCACTTTTAATCCCTGGAAATTTAACATAGCTATTGAAAATGGCCATTTATAGTGAGTTTTCCCATTAAAAATGGTGATTTTCCATAGTTATGTTAGTTTACCAGAGGGTAATCTCTGCCCTTGTGATTTTCTATGGTTCAGTCCCAGTAAAGTAATGTTTCGAGGCCAACAACTCCGGACACATGGCCGTGCCTTGTGCTGATCACCGTAGGGCAGATGGGTACCCTGACATCGGTTGGTATATGGCCAAATAGCATCAAATATCCATTTTCATAGGGAAAAACATGCTCATCCATTGGAATCGGAGATAGCGTATTGTTGGACAACTCGATATTTTCGCAGTTGTTTCCGTTTGCCCCTATTTGTTGTGCAGATGCGTTTCTTTGTTTCCCGCAGATGTGTTTCGATCAGGAAAGGTTTGGAAATTATAGCGATAGTATGCGATAGTTCTTTTGGTGCGGTATGTAAGAGAGAAGCAGGGCGCGAGGGTGTTTGTCAACTTCGTCCATGCAGGTGGAAACCATAGATTGCAGAGTGGGAGACACTCAGGGCCACGGGATCATGATGATATCATGATGGCACGTTGGAGTGAGCCCATCAACTCTTTGTGATATTTTGCATGCCTATATGCACAAGTATGCAGGCTTCATGATCAGTTGCATTGTTGGCATGAATATGACCGCTTCCAAAGATACAAGTGATGCAAGGCTTACAGGAACGTGGATACATGCACTTCTGCATATATACTGTATTAATTAAATAATGTTAGATATTACTTGGATTATTGTAATAAACCAATACCATAAACCTACCACTTGGGGATGGTTTATACGACCCACAAAAATGGTGATTGTGGGAATGGTTTATGGCATTGGGTTTGAATGGGTAGTTGACTCCTCGAGGTCTTCATGGTCTACGGCGCCACACCCGGTCTGCTCTATTCAGAGGCCGGTCGACGACGTCAGGAAACGGTCATAGAGGTGTGGTTTTGCCCACCGAGGTTGCACAAAAAACAACAAATGGATACAAATGGGGTTTACCAGGTTTACATGATTTTTATTGATTTTTCATCACCCTTCTTCAGAGCCACATAATTATATGGTAAGATTCAGTATTCTTGGGCTTACTGATTTCATGTTCATTCGATTTGCGTGCGGGTTTGTTCCCAAAATTGGGGAGGTTACCAGTAAAACATGGTGATCCATTGGATCGTGGGCGAATCTTAGCCAACAACCCAGCCATGGTAGGCGCGAGCCTTAACTGTTCATTACCTTCTGATAAACGACCATTGACATCCATGGACCATAACCATAACTCATACCCTCTGGTAAACTAACATAGCTATTGAAAATTGCCATTTATAGTGGATTTACCCATTAAAAATAGTGATTTTCCATAGCTATGTTAGTTTACCAGAGGGTAACTATGAAATCAGAATTTTCACGGGGTGAATCATGGAAGGAAATGGAAGTAAAAGGGTCCATATCTTCCGTTGCAAAGTGTTAGTACTGTTCGTTTAGTTAGTTTACTGGATGATATTGATGGGGTCGCCATGTGAGGGTTGGGTAGTTCATCCCCATGCGGCCATTGGGGCGAAGCCGCGATACAGGAAATCAGCTGCTGCGGCGCCAAGAAATTCCCGGCCTTGGAGACCTTTGCGATGCGCGGGATCATCGGCAACAACGTGGACCATAGCCTCAACCTGAAGAGGCGATGTTACGCTGGGAGCTTCGGGGAAAACTGGTACACCTGTGCCTTTTCTCCGGGTTATAAGATACTATATATAGGCTATACGTATGGTATCTAATATACGTATTTATATGTATTTATATATACATACATATATATATATACACAACCAGGTGGTTTGAACACAAATTAATTAACTATGTAGATTGATAAATAGATTTGTATAATAGATCTATCTCTCATAGATCACAGTGAAACCAGTTGTAAACCAGAGCTATAGATGTTTTACAGCAACTTCCAAGACGATTTCTACTGGCTCCTTCATGGTTGGCCGCCAGGTGCGTGAACCGGACCAAGACCTGATAGACCGTCTATATCTCCAGTGCTCTCCACCAGTTGGGACCCGAGGTCCAACAATTTTAAGTTCACCCATCAATTCAAACTGGAAACGCGCAGTGTGAAAGATTGCGGCTGCGGGTCACGCGGGTCACGGCGAGTGTGGAGCGCAGAGCCACTACGAAGGTTCAAAACATCTTTTGGGAATCTAAGGGATCGTTCCATCTTTTTGGCGGTGCTTGCGGCCACTTTTCCGTGCCTGTTTGGGACTTCTTATCGCTTTCCAACTTCCGCAGTTGCAGGACCCATCCCCTCAGAAAGGCCTGGTGGTGGGTGTATTCAGCAGTGACCAAGACCAACAGACGCATGTTTGAAAATACACAGTGCCTGGTTGGAAAATGCTTATATGATTTTATACGAGAATCATGTGTATTACAGTATATAAATATAAATATATTTACACACGCACACGCACACATATATATATATATATATACACATACACACATACACACATACATACATACATACATAGAATTATGTAGAGATACCGCACATGCACTGTGCACCCATCATGTTTTTTGGTGGGGGGGTGGTTTCAACGGAGGTCGCTTGAGTTCCTCACAGGTGCCTGGGCGAAGCTGGAACGTTTCAAGGCCTTGTTTAGTTAAAAAACCTATGGATTTATATAACAAAAAGATGAAACCCATTTAACACATGTTAAAACCACTTTTATTGGAATTCTGAAATGAATGAAGATGGGAATTCAACAGGGCACGACTTCTCTCTACAAGTGCTGGAGTTTCCATGAATAAATCCCATGGCCAGAGGGTACTTGCCCGGGCAAGATCAAACTAGAAAATCTTAAACTAGAATACGTCCTTGCCTCATAGTAGCAGGTGTGTCGTGTTTGAGCCAAGTCTTCCAATGTTTTGGAGATATGTTCTCTTTATCCCTGTGCAAAGTTAGCATTGAAGTTGGAGTGACAAGAAATTGTGAGAAACGCATCGTTGACACAATCTCCACAATTTCCACGAGGTTGTCTCAATGTTTTTACGATCTACATCATTTGATATCATTTGATAGTCCAAGAGCATTCATTAATATCTCATTATTATCCCACCATTATCCCACCATTATTCAGTTATATTATCCCACCATTATCCTACTATTATTCCACCCTTCATTAATATCCCATTTCCATTCCGCTCTGCCTGGGACTCTCTATTAATGGTTTGTGGCAGAGAGCAGACCATTAATATCCCATTTATATAATTTTATATATTCATATATCCCATTAATGGTATATTAATCCCATTAATATACCATTAATATACCATTAATAGACCATTAATAGACCATGTAATCCCCTTATCCCATTCATATCCCACTATTCAGGCGAATGCTGCGGACTTTTCCGAAGGGGTTGAAGGGCAGGTGGGGCCACCGGCGCCCGGATGTGCCCGGATGTGCCCGGAGCCGGTCCTCGAAGTTGCAACCGTAGAGCATGAGCATTTACTACACTGTAGATAAATAATGCATTATATATTATTATTATACATTTTTATTTATATATATATGATTATAATTAATGATATAGTTTTATATAGGATGTGTTATTGGTATGTTTATTCATCTATATTTAAACATATTGCATACAATATTCTAGATTATTCGCCAATTATATATATAGATACCCTCGATGACCATCCAGTCACCTCCATACCGTAAGACAGTGTCCAGGACATGCAGATGTTTGATGATGCTTGTGTATATAGTAACGGGAAAATCATGCAATGTGGTGCCCCCAAGATAGCTAAGTTGGTTCAGAACTCTAATAACTAGGATTTATGGTAGATATATCTATAGTTAATGGGATTATAAACCAACTTATAACTGGGGGGGGCACCACCTTGTGGGGATATTTGGATAACGAAGAATGCACAAGGGGATTGTCCACAAATGGAGGATTGAAATGATTGAACCAAGAATTGGGGAAGGGTTGCAGCTAACCATGTTATGTGGATGCAAAATAAAACCAACGGCGTGATTTGGGTTTGGCTAAAAATGTGGTATTGATTCGTTTTCACAGTCAATTTCTCGCATTCTGAATGAGAAACCAATGAACAAAAAAGTGGGGGCACTTTGCACTCTACTTCTGTAAAAAGCTTATAATTTGAACCCAATCAACAGGGGCTTTTGTATGGAACTTCCTTTTTGACCCAGTCTCAATGGATAGTCCCAGATCCGAAAAAACAGTGGCGACAGGAAACCTACGAAGATGGCTCATCTTACATTGGACAGCTGGCCAATGGCAGGCCGATGCACTTGCCTGTGACCAAGGGTATACCATTGGGGTTAGTGCTTTTAAAGGGTGTTAATCCGCAGTATATTATGATAAATTGGTCAAAGATAGCGTTTATCGACAATTATATAGTGGATAATCCATGATAATCCAATAAGCCATGATAATCCATAGTACTATGATAGTTAAACAATGTTAAACATCTTTATCCAAAACTTGAAGAGATCCTCGGAGTTGAAGCAGGCGCCACGGCAACGGCACGTGGAAGTCCGCTGTGGAGCAGTATTCGGGGCAGTGGGTGTTGGGGACACCCAGGGCAGGGCCTTTTTGGGTTTGGGGGGATTATCGATCCAGGCCTATGGGACACGAAGCAAATTCTGGTTCCCAATGCCTCAAACTTTGACTCATACCCATTTGGGTTCACAAATTGATGCGCACCAACCGCCAGCCTAAATTTTCGCAATTTGCGGATGAAAATTGGCGCAATTGCTCAGGGATGTTCAGGGGCTCACTGGAATACTGGGAAGAGTGGGTGGGTACTTTTATAAGCACCATCGATATCATATCATATACAGATCTGCAGATATTATAAATGTGTGTCCGTGTTTGTGTGTGCACATCAAGTCACATCAAGCGCTCCCTTCGTGGGTAGAGCACCGCAGGCGATGGAGTATCATGACGCCACACCAGCCAATGTGTTACGCACAAAAAGTCGTGTGGACAGCCACTCCCAAGGAACGACCAGCGTGATGGATTCGCCGGGAGCCTGAAAACCTCGCTGTGTCTCAAGCTGTTCTGCCAGGGAAGATCCTCTTATGTGGCAAACCTTCACGAAGATAGAACTGTCAAATCCTATAGACTCCTACTACTCTTGTGTTTTTGGGTATGATTTGGGTATGAATTACTAACTATATATATATATACATATATCCTGTATGTATTGCTATATATAATTATGTTACTTTCCTGCGTCGGTGTTATTGACTATTGTGAAAAGTGAGAGTAAAAGCAAAGTTGCCCCTTGACCCCAGGGCCGGCAGACATGGCAAGACGGCCGCGCATATGAAGGCAACTTCAAGCAAGGCGTGGCCGACCACAGCTGCGTTCATTTGTGCCACTAAACATACCCCTCGTTCAGGGGTTAGCATTGGGGGGTTAGACTAACTGGTGAATCGGGTTATAGATGGTTATAGGGGTTAGATTCTGGCTGGCAGTTTCACATATATATATATATCTCTTACTTCAACATTTGTCAACCATATGTGCGATGATGAGTTCAATGAGTTCAAGGGGTCGAAATCACCACCCAGCATATCCCAAAGATCGTCCAGAAAACATGTGAAAACCATCAGAACCAAATCTCTGGAACATGAGATTCAATAGATTCACCAAAACCATCCAAAAACCATAGTTCTATCACTATCAGTAGATTCCATACACCAAGAGATCAAAGAAATAAGTGCAGAAACTCCGACGTCTTGTCCATGACACTCCTTCCGCCAGGCAAGTTCCATGGCAAGGGTCGCCGGGAGCCGAGCAAATTGTGGTTGCTGGTAGGCGGTTTCAAGGATTAGCAGATTAGCATGGTTTTACATGAAGGTTTTTGAAAGAAAATTGGTTTTTGTACCACAATAACATAATCAATAGATAACATATGGTTTTTCATGTTTAATTTTATGTTCAAAGTGTCCAGCTATGTCCAATGACAACCCCCGAACTTGATTGATATCGTCACGGGGGTGAAACACCAACTAGGTCGTTGTGGAATGTGCTGCCTGATATTGAGGCATGGAGTGGCACACACCCAACGGGCTCATGCTGTACGAAGGCCGTGAAATTCACCGTAGCGATTTTCTTGACATCACATGCAAATCTGGACCAGGATCGTTTTTTCAATGTTTTTCGGATACTGTACCAGTTTAGACAGTTTAGAGATTAAAAGGGCGAGCTCCTCTTGAGGTGTGACCAGGATCGATTTTTCGGATACTGTACAAATTTAGAGATAAAAAGGGCGAGCTCCGCTGGTTTTTGGTGCAGAACATGTTTTGGAGAGCAGAGTAGACCCCAGGGTGATGTTTGCAGTGCCCATTGTTTCCATGGAATAAATAGGCATGGCGTGTTTATCATCGATGTATATTCCATTTTGGAACAAGTTCAGCATGTTTTTCTTGGTTCGTCCGATGCTGGGGTGGAGATGTACTAGTGGCGCCAGGTGAGTACCGAGAAGACTTGAAGCACGGACAAGGTGCACCAGCGAAGAGGATCAGGGAGTTGTTCTTCTCCATCCTCAAAAGTATAGTGAGGTAAACCCGAAGAATGAAATGTGGTTTATTAATAATCATGTTTATTATGATTGCATCCTTCTTTTGGCATCATGTAAAATAAAGTCCGAATTTTGAGACCAGCCCATGCTCAGGGAGTAGGGATGGGTAGGTATCCGTCAAAACCACTCAAAATCTATCTATATCCATGCATTAAGCAGCTATGTTGATTTGAAAACAAGGTGCCAGGGTTTTGACATTTTTTCCCTGAGGGAATTCTCTCAGCCATTTGCAGATCAACTCTATGACATCCTATGACCACATGTCAGGTAAGTACGTTTGGCCTGACGGGCGCACCTACCATGGTGGCTGGAAGGCGGGTCTACCAGGTTCTCTCCTGTGATTTCACATACATGGCATTGAAGTGCAAGGTCCCAGCATGTCCCAGCTATTCATCACTTCATATCACTTCGCAGCTGGCTTCTTTACAGCTAAAAAACATTATATATATAATAATTATATAATATATATATATATATAATTAATTGGAGCCACCTTCATTTTGTAGTGGTGTTGGATGGGTTGATCGGTGGACTTTCTGTGTCCCCAAATCGCGCCTCCAGGAAGGTCAGAGAGCAGGACAGGCTGTCTATACCAATGCCCAGGGCCAAAGTCGCAAGGGCATTTGGAAAAACGACAAGGCCGACCGGATGCTGGTCGCAGGGACTGGATGCATGATGAGGTGATGATGTCAACCACAAAAAAACATGCCAGAACACCTAGGCAAAACCATACTATTTTACTTTGGTCAATAATATGATCCCAGAGGAAGTGGCTTTCCAAGAAGATTATATGTTTTTTATTAAACAAACAGAACTATACAGACGCTTATAAACTACTGCCCAATCGAAACCTTGGTGTAAGATAAATCTGAGGTCTGATGAAACAGTTCTGGAACGCTTTTACTGCTCCAATGTTCCAACTCAATTCAGATCTGATTTGAGCTGGAAGATTGAGTCCCATCCTTCAGTTCCTTCAGTTTCTGGCCATACCTTGATATTGACATCCCCGTGGGCCGCAGGTGGAAAGGTGGTTAGATGATCCACCCAGACCGTGAGACAGGTAGTTGGCTGCATGGATCTTGGCCGACTCGAGGTTTGATGCTGTTGGTAGGGCAGCGATCTTGGATCTGTTTCTATTGTTTTGTTTTTTTGGTGCGGTAATTTTTGAAAACGATTGTTTTCGGAGGCCTCATCGTTTTGAACAAAGATGTGTATATTCTTGCCTCTTTTTAGCATATTTCACCTTATACACTCATCTTTTTTCCAACTGGGTTCATTATGTTTTGTTGATCATGGTTAGGAATGGCTGTGAATTGCGGTCTATGGGGTAATGATGGTAACGGGTAATGGATACATAATCGGCGATTGTTGCGTGCGCTTAATGATTATTGGCTCATCCGACATATCATCGACAGCGGATCTACACTGCCTAGCTACCTATCGACATGCCTCCACACCTCCCTGCATACTTACAGACCTTCAGACCTGTTTCATCATGTTCGCAGGAATTTCATGCCTACATATATCTACAATATTCATTCGTCGTTATCCAAGACCTTCACACAACAATGCCTCCTGGATGCTCTCCAGACTGACGGCCTGGAATGATGTGGATATTTTCGGCCACTTGTTCGATTTTTTGTTATGGGATACCCAACCAAATGCCGAGGAAGATGGATGCATGATGTAACTATAAATCAACAGCAAAAACAGAAGAGAATCACATTTAACTCAACGACGACAGGGATAAAACGCCGTGAAGATTGGAGAAAAATGCACAGATTTCGTGCGACAATACAATAGCGAGAGAGATGGTTGCATTGTTATCTCCACCGTCAACCCTTTCAAAATCTTCCTGGACACTGCAAGATATTGAAACATGCTTTCAGGATTGGCAAAAATCTCGCAGAAAAACATCTCTACGAAACAATAAGTGTTTTATGCTCCTGATGCTAGAACAATGAGAAGATATACACATGTTATGGAACAAGCGTTTTGCCAGGCCGTTCATATTTTTTGAGGTCATAGATTATGATTTTATGTTCATTTGTTTCTAATGTGACCATTTGTTTCGCCACGACCATGCTCTTTGAATGCCGCGCAAATGTACTGTCATTTGGGTCAACCTCCTTCCACTTACTGTCGCTTGATTGTTGAAAGCCATTGATGATATGAGCACCTTTGTCACAATCAGATGATGACAAAGATGGATTAAGATGTTGACAATTCTCCGTAATTCTCCCGGGAGGGGGTTGTCCCAAACTCTCATGGTTTCATTCTGTGCTGTTCTTGTCCCCAACAGTCGGCTGCAGTCCTTAAAGCCAAACGAGTTCAGCTGAGTGATATCTGTAAAATGGTACCCACTTCATCCTTTTGGTTTCCCATGTCCCCAATATGTTCCCAATGGTTCCCAATGTGCCTAATGTGTTGCATCCAAATACCGAAAATCCACCGCCTTTTTTTGCTGGCACCAGCTGTGACAAGAGCTCGCATCGCGGGGGCCATGGGCCCTGTAGCAGGGGGTGATTCACCTGGTATGACCTTGGCTTCGACCAACAAGACGGGTACCGGTACCATCAGGCACCTGGGCCACACTGGTGAGTTCACCCAACTCAGCAGCTGCCCTTCGTTTCACGGATTGCGAAGCGCCGAGTTTCCGTCAACATCCACGCAGAGGAGCGGAAATCAATGACGTGAATTGCGCATATGCATGCATATGGCTATGTAATCATATACATTATATATACTGTACTATTATATAGTGGTTAGGAGGGAACTAAGGAGATATGGGTATCCATGCTCTCAACATCCGATGGGGAGCCAATGAGCAGCTACAGATTGAGTTTCGCAAGCACATAATATTGACGGGAGCTCATCGGTAACTTTGGCTATGGGCGATATAAACTAGACCAACAATGTGGACAATAGACAACATAATCCAACAACAAGTAGGGATACGGACCAAACATATTGGGCATATCAAACAATGGTGGCTGAGGGTCCGAGTTTGAAAATCATGACCCAGGGGTCCTGCCAATGTGAGACAAATTCAACCCCAAACTGACTACACGATTCAATGTGGGCAGGTAATCATAAACTTCTAATAACCAAGACTCACTATGTCTTGGTTGTCGTGTCCAGCCGTGTCATATATCTCGGTTTTTGGTATGCTTTGGTTGTGTAGGTTTTATTGGCACTGACTTTCAGTGCCCACTTTATGGATTGAAGTTCTCTCTTATAAATTCCTGGGGGAGCAGCGTATCTTGTTCTTGATGTTCCCAGCTTGATCTCGCATTGAAAGGGCGGATGGTTCGCAAAGCTCTTTGAGAATGATATTGTCACCACATACACATAGAATTGTTTGAGCATTGAATAATGATAGCCCAAACAACGTGGGTCTGGAGCAAGATTTGGACCCCCCTAAGGATTCACAAGTTTTTATTGTGGCTGTGCCTTTTTTTATATATATATATACATTTAAACTTTTTTGATACCTTAATTTGACCTGGGCCTTGCCCATTCTGTTTCTGCCATGTTTTTCGGCGGGAGATTGGCTGAAACTGGGCTGCACGCGCTATCCATGGCAGAAAAGCTGTCACAAAAAGTCGCACCGCAGAAGATGGTCAGGAGAATTGATGTTCACCATTGAGCTAAGGTCAAGAAAACCGTGTTTACTTTTCTCTAAGTCCCAATGTTGATCCATTTTGAAGAACACCATCCAGTGAACAAAGCTGACAGTGGAGATCGTCCCATTCTCAATGGAAAATCTGCAAGTGGGGGATGATTTCCGCAGTCAGGTAGCTTACCATACAGTGGGTCATAGGACCATCAGCTATCAGACTCTCTCTGGTTTTTGTGTGGAGGCTGCTGATGTTTAATCTTGGCTTGGTGACACGGTGGATCATCATGGGCCACCAGGTTGCTTTGATGGCTGCAGCTTAGCTTTAGCGGGTTTGGTGCATTTGAAGGGGAACTCCCATGTCCTTCCTTTTCAAGGCCTGGTCGCTGGTTAAGCGGATTGAATTTCTTGGTGGATAAACAGAAAAATGCATTAAAAGGTGCTGAGTTTAGTGTTGATGTCATTTCAGAATGATTGAATTTGCTGAAAATTGGTATTCAATGTGAATAGATAGATGGATAGATAGATGGATAGATAATGATAGATAGAGAGATAGAGATAGATATAGAGATACAGAGAAAACTAGAGATAGAGATAGATAGATAGATAGACAGACAGACAGATAGAGAGAGATAGAGAGAGATAGATAGAGAGAGAGAGAGAGATAGAGATAGATATATAAATATAGATATAGATATAGATATACAGATACACACACATATATATATTATATTATATATTATATATTATATATTATATATAGATTTGCATATATAAAATGTGTAAGTCAGCTTCCTTGTTATTTTGCATCCACATGTGGCCCGTTCATGCCCATTGTAAAGTCCATCCCCAAAAAGAAACGTCGCTAATGTCAACCTTGGATTAACACACCATAATAAACCCCTCGGCTGTTTAACTTGGGGGTACCGATGAAGTATCATATTATACATATATATATATATACTCATATCATCATATATAATCACTATTTGGACGATTTGGGGGCATATCATCATCATCATCATCATCATCATCATCATCATCATCATCATCATCATCATCATCATCATCATCATCATCATATTCATATGCATATTCATATTCATATTATATATATATATAATCACATATAATGACTATTTGGAGGGTATAGTACCAATTTAAAGAACTCCGAGGATCCCTGAATCTTGATGGCGGCGTCAGGCCTTCGGGCTGGCATTCCTGGCTGCGAGGGCAGGGAAAGCCCAGTTGTCGAACTGGGATGGGCCGGTGATGGTCATGGTGCTGGTTTTTCTACAATGATAGTGGGTGACATGGTTGTTTTCTAAAGTTATATTATATATATATATATGTTTATGTTGTAGATCATTAGATAATTAGTTTAAAACAACATCAAAACTTAGATGCTTTGAACTTAGAACTAAATATAAAAAATACTCGCAAGACTAGTTAACGTAATTGATACTAGGCCAGAGGCCTTGTTTTTTTATATTCAATGTGTCAATGGATAGAATGCAAATGAACATTAGCATTGGTTTGGTTGCTGGTTCAATTTTCAGAGTCTATTTTCGGAGGGGTGAGTGGGATTCAACCATAATCTTTTGCAGAGTAGGGTGAATTTCGATGTGCCGCCAAAACAAGACCAAACGGACATGCCAGAAGTTACGATGAAATTTGGCCAGCACTTGCATTTTTTTATGCATGTGATAGTTTTAATAATTTCATGTTCATACCGATGTGTTTTGGCGTTTCATCAGTTGAATCCTTAAGACAATCACACATGGGAGCTGCCATGCAGTACACTTGGCCTGAGGCCCCGCCACGAACCCGTGCACCTGGCTCGTTGCATGTTGGGCACGAGCCACAAGTGTCGCTCGGCGTGCCGTAGTTTGACCCATCCTGGATGGGTCATGGTGACGGTCTCATGTCATACCCAACATGGCCATGGGAGTGGAGCAAGCACCGACAAAGCATCTTGTAATTAAACTTCAGTCATTTTTAAACATCAACATGTCAAACATCATCAAACATCATCAAACATCATCACAGCATGTTTAGTGCACCCCCGTTATTTGCCAGTTCGATATATACCCGAGGGTAAACTAACATAGACATAGATGTGGAAGAAACCAACCATATGTGTAGATCATGTTCCCAACGGGTTTCCCGTGGGTTTTTCTCATGTTTTCCAATGTTTCCCCTAATGCATGAAACCTATTGAAATCTCATAATTAATGATAAATATATGATCCTATAATCATATATAATCCATGTAGATTCCATGAAATCCCTATGAGATCAGCATCCAAATCACCATGAAATCACCATCCAAATCACCATCCAACCCCCAGGTCGCAGCCCGGCTTCGCTGGCGATGCCTTGGGCCTTTGCTGCGGCCTGGCCGGCGGCGCCGTGGCCGCCATCTCGTCGAGGTCGCGATGTCGGCCCAAGGCGCTAGGCCAGCGCCGTGGGGAGAGTTGGTGCCGTCATCAGCCATGGAAAATGACCATGAACAATAGGTAAATCGATGTATCCTCTGGTAAACTAACATAGCTATTGAAAATCACTATCTTTAATAGGTAAATCAACTATAAATGGGCCATTTTCCATAGCTATGTTAAATTACCAGAGGGTAAATCGATGTAAATAGCCAATACATCAGCTATGTTTACCCTTTGGATCCCTTTGATAAGTTAACATAGACCCTGAAGGTCAGAAACTGATCTTTCAAGGTGTATCTGGGTCTATGTTAATTTACTGGCGGGTATATAGTTTGTCATGGAACGCTTGAGACGGCCCATAGATAACTATGGAGAATTTTACGTTAACATGGCCATGGAACATGGCCCATTTATAGCTGATATATAGCTGATTTACCTATTAACCTGGTCGATGGCTAATTACCAGAGGGCGCATGTGGGTGATTCCCCCATCAATTTTATACCACAATTGAACGCCTTAATGTTACCATATTTTATGAGTGAATGATCCGATTTACTCAACTTTGGACCATGTTGGGGGGATTACAAAAACAGTACTTGAAGCTATATATACCTACTCTTCATGCTGTAATTCAAGCTGTGCTGCTTCTGGGAATACACACGATAGCTTTTCTGTTTTTCTTGTATGTCCGTGAAACTGTTAGCTTTATCCTGTTCCAGAGGTAACACCAGCTTCCATATTTCATGGATGTGGATTGCTTCTTCGTGCTATATAGATTAGAAAGATGGAGGGACACACAGATGATTGGATGGCTGGTTGGAAGTTCCCACTTTATCACAGATGCTTTCAGATTATAGTTGAGGAGCGTTGAACTGTGGGGTGTAATCAACCAGTTTGTTGATTGCAACACCATGCGTGATCCCCGGAACCTTCCGCTTGGCCAGTCTCCAAGCGTGGCAAGTGCGTGCGTCCGGCTGAAACCAGCAGCAAAGGCGGGAGGACGGGAGGCTTCCAAGATGTTCTTGGAAAGCAGAAGGGTTGAAGGGTACTGGCGGTACTGGGTTAACTTCGGATGGGTAGTTTAGTAATTACTGTATTTTTGGGCTGTAAATGGGAATATGTTACTCACCAGCTCAAGAATTTCACTCTTGCTATCGGTGCTTGCTATTGGCCATGCGTAGTCTAATGTTGACCATGGGTAAAAATCTGCTGTATATGATATGTAGAGGCATCAATGCTGTGCAAGTAATGTGATTGGATATGATGGTAATGTGTAGACACATGTAACCATTGGCTGCTGGGGTCCCACGCTCAATTTTGGTTATTCGCAGAGCGTCCCTGTGTCAATTCTCATGACTCATGGTTATATGTCTTTGTATGATTTTATATGTATGTATATGTATGTATATATATATATATGTATATTACATAGTGTGTGCTACTATGGCGGGGCCCGATAAGAATCAATCCAAGCTTAGTCATGGTCAGGATTACAGCATTACATAAATCAGATGAGGTGTGGTTGTTAATAAATCTCCTATCCAGTGTTTTTGGTATGGTTTAACCAAGTGGTCAAATTTAGGAAATCATCGATAGTTCATGATTATTCATCATTCAGTTGACTGTACCACATCATCCTTTTTACCATTTCTTTGTCGAATTGGTTAAAGAGAACAGTTTAGACAAGACATGATTTTTAATTCTGAATTTAAACCGCGGTTTTTTAGGAAAAAAAACGTGGCTTATTGTCTTCAAATTTGAAGGGCCACCCCCCTTTTGGTTGTGAGCCAACAATCCCAACTATCGGCCTATCGGCCCCAAATCCTAACCCATAGGATCCATGTATGCTATATATGGTAACATTTACCATCAATATACCCCCAATGTTAGCATATATACCATACATGGATTCTATGGGTAATGGTGCCCAGGTACCACGAAAACCGTTCCAAAGGTTTTGGTCGTCAATTTGGACCGCAGCCCGCAACGTTGGGAATCTGCGCAGGTGGAGAGAGCTGCCATACGTATGGTATATACATGGTTTATGTGTGTACATTATACGCACACACTATGTATTATATTATGTATTATAATTTATTATGTATTATAGTATATATTATATATATATATATATGCACACAACATACGTACACAACATACATACATACATACATACATACATACATACATACATACATACATACATCCATTGACATTGCCATTGCCATTGCCATTACCATTACCATTACATTACATTACATTATTTTACATTACATTACATACATTACATACATTACATCCATGCATCCATGCATGCTTGCATGCTTGCATGCTTGCATGCTTACATGCATACATGCATACATGCATACATGCGTACCTACCGGCCTACCTACCTCCCTACCTGCCTACCTACCTACCTGCCTACCTGCATACCTGCATACATACCTGCCTATCTACCTATCGACCTACGTATCTACCCATCGACCTACGTATGTACATATATATTATATACGGATATATATATATATATGTGTATATCTATTTGTATATGTATATGCAGATGTAGATATGTTTGTGTTATTCCTCCCAATTTGTTGTCACATGTAATGGTTTACGGCTAGTTTCATGGATTTTATCCATTTATGTAACATACATGGGGTGTATGGGTTCATAGTTGTATAATGTTCAGCTGGATTTTTTAAAAAAATGTTTGTGTTTTTTTCTCTGCCCTCTTCTGATGTAAACGGAAAAATATCAGGATTAGGGTAATATTTGCAGGAAGTTCCTTTATTCAATGGTAAAACCGGTGGTTTCCCTCAGATTTTACCTTCAACCCACCCAATGAAGGCACAGATTTTACCAGCCTTCAGCTCGGCCTTTGGAGGTCGAATTCGCCCGAGAAGGACTGCAGGCGGGTAATCCCAAGCCATCCAGCTAGCTGGTGGATGGATGTAGATGGTGATAATCCTTCAAAAAAAATCTAAGCGTGTGTTGGAGGAAATCCTATGTTCCGATACATGTGTTTTGATTAAAAGGATCCTAGAATTCCACTCCCAAGACTGAAAGACATGGTGGAACGTATTGGATCCAATCAGTTTCAAGGTGATATAGGACAACATATCATAATATTTTGATCGGATGGGATTAGTTTGGGACTAGTTCCCCATGTTTTTTCCGTCAATGCCTGGGATTTTTGAGGTGGAACGCTTCTCTGGCACGGATGGAAAGGCCCTGAAGCCGGAGGAACTGAAAAAAGTGGCGACATGTCGGGTGTCCAGGAGACGTGTCGTGGGCCGAGGGCTTCTAAAGGGGATGGTTCAAATGGGTCAATTTGCCATTTGGATCAGTTTGGTAATTTGACATGGGAAAAAAATGTTGATTTATATTTGTTAAACCTATATATATTCGACCTATTAAACACAATGATGTTCCATAGCAAACATTTAGATTACTAGTAGAGGGTACAGTAAAGGTACATATCGCACACGGCAGGGTTTTGATATGTTTGATAAATTTGGATGAAACTCTATGGTCCTTGAGTCGTTCCGCGCTGTCTAGCGGATTGGTTTGCGACGCATTTGAGTTGGCCAACAGTTGGTGAGGGAACCCTCACTCTCCACAAATCTGCCAACCTCTGTGTTTCTTTGGACTCAATGTTTGCGAACTGGAGGAAGAGCATAGAACTGAGCCCTTTTTATACACAGCAATGGTTATAGGTTCAGAGCCACCACCGATTTATGTGCATTAGGTGCAAGATGGTGCAGTTACCCAAACTCAAGAGTATTTGAATTACAGTAACCAACCAGATATTTACATCGTGGTTAAATCGTGGTTGTTTTTTTTGGAGCAAGAATCGTCAAGGTCAGGCAGCATATCGGGCATATCGAATCTCCGAAATCATGATGCAGCATGCCTGGAAATTAAGACCACAAAACTTGACGCCAACGATTGAGCTTTGCTGGTATATATATATATATACATAATATATATGTAATGACTGTAATGTAGATATATATATATATATATTATATTATAGTTTGTTGATTTTCCCTAGCGGTAATCGCTGGCTAGGGCCCAGAATGAATGAGCGACCCAAAGGTTGGATGGTTTATACATAAAATTTGATGTTTACGGCCAAAACTTTTGCAGTTTGTGGTGCTCCCGTGTTTGAGCCGCAGCCGACCGTCGTGCTAAGTCTCAGCCAGATGGTGCGGACCCTCAGGGCCAAAAATGTGCGCTTGTCACCTATTGCTCTCTTTCACCATTTAATGGGATTACCAGAAATCACATACATGCACATGCATATGCAGTTTACCTGACAACAACATACAAAAGCAAACAATGGAAATCTTGCATGCGTAGACACCACACATATGCGCATCACTTGAGTCAAACGGTGAATATCTCGTAATGCTTGTGCGCCTGTTAAACTTCAGCTGAAGAGTTTCCACTGCGACGCAACTGCCAAAACTCAAGCTTTGTGCAAGAACCAGCCACAGCCTGCAACCGCGAACACTGCAGTCACTGCAGCCCCAACCATTTGTGGATCTCCAGCTGCCATCCTTCGAAACCAAGTGAGTGTCAAGATCTCCAACTTAACAAATGATGTCCATCATGGCTACCCTCTGGTAATTTAACGTAGCTATTGAAAATGGTGATTTATAGTGGATTTTCCCATTGAAAATGGTGATTTTCCATATGTTCCAATATGTTCCAATGACCATTCCAATTCCATAAAGCCAAGTGGTGAGTGTAGACATAGACGTAGCCTCACAATTCCACTTGCTTCACCACCGTCCAGCCAGCCACGTTGCTGCTTGCCCGTGTGCGCTGGGTGCCGGGTGCCTTCGGCCGGAGCAACTTGGTGTTTTGGTAGCCGGGTTAACGTTGGATATGTTGGATGGGTATAGGAACCCCCAGCAAGAATCCCAAAGATACAACAATACCATACAATACCTGACTGCCAGATTATTCTTTGGTAGGATTTGATTTGTCTATATCATTTGTTGGGTTGCGATACTTATGCGTTCATCAAGCTGATGCCACAAATGGGGTCCGGGATAGATTAAATGCATTTTAATGCTATTTACTGTCCAGCCTCCTTTTGGCTACCGACTTCACAACAACCCCAGCGAAATGATGGAGAAAGGGACACCATTCGTGCACCATCTTTGAGGGGCATCATCCATAATTAACCATTAGCTATTTCGGCATGAACATGATGAGAAAGAGGAAGCTTTGACCCACGCCACCTTATTCAACGTTTGGATAGTTGTAGAATGTTATAGATGTGTTGTAGATTAAAGGTGTATTTATAACCTAAGCAGCAGTCGCTCTATCACTGTACCATTGATGGCTTCAGGTGTGATTGCATATAGGTAGATGAAACGTTCAAGATTAGACCTCATCCATTACCACAAGGAATCAGAGATGGCATGAAATAGCAACCCTTTTGGCCAATGGTGCACTGGCGAGTTGTTTTTTTGTTCCGGGGCTTGCATGTGCGCTGCATTGTGTCGGAAGAAGATATCAGATATCCCCACTCATCCTATGTTGTTGATTCAACCTTCTGTTTGACCTTTAAAAAGCAAACATGGAAATGAGAAAAAATCAAAGGAGGGGAGGAAATTTCCAACCAAACGTGCTTCTTTCCGCCAGTTGCTTGCCGGAGTATGGCTGAAGCCTATCCTGCAGAGGCAACACATGAAACGTGCTGAGATCATATCCAAGATTTGCAACGGTTACTGGGGAATAAACCGGGTAACAGTGGCAAGAGAGTGGCAGCACAACTGGGTCTTTAACACAATATTGGGAAGTAGTGTAGCGTGATACAAATTGGTCATTGATGATTGAACAATATCAATGTCAATGTTTACTTCTGGTTCAATCTCCATGGTTGATGGCAACAAATCTCAAATAGCCTTCCTTGTTGCTGCTGTCGCTGTCGCTGTTGTTGTTGTTGTTGTTGTTGTTGCTGTTGCTGTTGCCGTTGCTGTTGTTGTTTTTGTTGTTGTTGTTGCTGCTGTTGTTGTTGCTGTGGTTGTTGTTGTTCTTCTTCTTCTTCTTCTTATTATTATTCTTCTTCTTATTCTTCTTATTCTTGTTGTTGTTTTTGTTGTTGTTGTTGTTGTTGCTGCTGTTGTTGTTGTGGTTGTTGTTGTTTTTCTCCTTCTTCTTCTTCTTCTTCTTATTATTATTCTTCTTATTCTTCTTATTCTTGTTGTTGTTGCTGTTGATGTCGTTGTTGTTGTTGTTGTTGTTGTTGTGGTTGTTGTTGCTGCTGGTGGTGGTGGTGGTGGTGGTGGAGTTGGTGTTGTTGGTGTTGTTGGTGTTGTTGGTGTTGGTGTTGTTGTTGGTGTTGTTGTTGGTGTTGTTGTTGTTGTTGTGGTTGTTGTTGCTGCTGGTGGTGGTGGTGGTGTTGTTGGTGTTGTTGTTGGTATTGTTGGTATTGTTGGTGTTGTTGTTGGTGTTGTTGGTGTTGTTGGTGTTGTTGGTGGTGTTGTTGGTGGTGGTGGTGGTGGGGTGGTGGTGCTGTTGCTGTTGCTGTTGCTGTTCTTGTTCTTGTTCTTGTTCTTCTAGTTGGAGCTTCAATCCCAACTTTTAATATTGCAACATCATGAAACACCCCGATGAGCCCTATGAGTGTTGATGCTGAAACATCCCCGTTGTTTGATTTATCTTAAGTCCATATAATCAATCCCCATGAATCTCTATGTATAGATTCCCTGTACACATACAACACAAATCCCCATAAATCATCATAAAATTATGGACCAAAAATCCCCAGAAATTTCCCCAGATCCTGCCCCTGTTGCCAGGCTGAGCCCAAGGCCAAGGTCAAGAAGCCCCGTCCACTGCCGCCTCCGCCACCCCCAGCCCTGGCCACCGCGGCGCTGTTGCTGCGGGGCGCCGCCGCGCGAGTACTTGGCCCATGGGTCTAACATTTTTGGGTCGATGTCAATTTGGAGGTGGGTAACTATTTGGGGATGGGTCAAAACCCTGGTACCCCTAGTGAACCCCAAAATAGCTGGTAAATGGATGTTCATCCCACTAAAAATGTATCTATAGGTATTGACCCATACCCATTTAAATATTCTAAAATTGGGAGATATAACCAGTGATTTCATGACTGGTGGTTTCATTGCTTCTCTACGGATGACACCGCCAAATAATTTAGCTTTTGATTGGTACTTCAATCCTTTCATTTGGTGCTGTTAGTATTGACATATTTCAACACCAAAAAACTATCTTTCTTGAGGTCTTGAGGGGATGGATATGGGGATAGGCCAAAGCTTAAGGCCCAGAAAGCAACAGATTTGGTCACTTGTTTACGGTTTTCCATCCAGATTTTTGGGTACCCAATTTCACCCAGATCCAGATGGGATGATGGGGAACTGAAATGAACTGAATATTGATGGAAACATATCACCCTGTAAGCTCCTTATACTTGTATGTATGACTTCTTACATGTGACGAATATTTTGAGCAACGGATGCTCCAACCGTTGCGACTGTTTTTGGAGAGTAAGAGTCTTCAGCAGATCTCAATGCTTACCAGTACAGATATACAATACTATTATACCCGGCGGCAAAATGGCAGTTTCAATGGAGAAAACGCTGATCAATGCTAAGATTTGGGTTTTTCAGAGCCAACATGGCATTCTTTTGCTGGAGAAAATGATGATCCCCCAAGATTGATTGACTTGATGACTTGATGACCATGTCCCGAAGGGAATCTTCTGGGCCACCTTGGCATACCTTGGTGGAGCAGGTGTGCAGCCAGGGCCATGCGGCGGCGAGTTGCAACCCATTTGGGTCACAGAGCCCAACTGTTCCAAGATCACCATGTCCCTGGAGGGCTCGACACGAGACCCCTTCCCCAAGGAGGCCCGAGGGCGCGAGGTCTTGGGGAGGTGGAAAGAATTGACCATACGCACATACATGGCAGTGTTAATTGGGAAAACGTGGGATATTTATATTTGGGGATAGGTCAAATGCAAGAAATTCCCATATTTTTTTTGGGGATGAACATGTTCTAACCACAGCAATTTTGATGTTCACCATTGCACCAGGTTTTTGATCCTCGCAAAGTGAGAAAGACATGGCAAGGAATCTGATTTGGGTCTTCCGCCTTGACAGCAACACATGGCAACCTTCGCAGGGCAAGTTTTGAGGCATTTGGAAGACTGATCGTGGCGAATTACCAACTAATGAAGAACTACTTGTTGCTGAAAACTGAAGATCACCCTGAAACAACTTTAGTGCAGTGCCATCGAATGCACACATAAATGTTGTAGTCTACGAATGCGACTTTTCCCAGAGTGCCCGGTCAAGCAACTTTCCAGGTGTTGTTCCAACGAGTTCTGTGGTTTTGTTGCCACCCACTTATACGTTATATCAGTGGGCTGGGTTTCATTTACGATTGTTTTCTCGCTTCAAAGAGGACAAGAGACAAAACGTTTTTTTTCCCGCAGTTTGGGACACGTTTATGTTTTATGTCCACTGCCTGCATTCTCTGAATTTGGAAAAATGCAGCACTGGCACTGCCATCCCCAGAGAAGTGGGTTCACTCCGGGCCTGTGCCCGGAGGAATGTCACCTCGGGGCCTTTGGAGATGATCTCAACAGGTCCCAGGTTTTAATGAAACAAACAGCTGCCATCAGCTGCCTTCATGGGATCCATGGCCTGCCGATCCAACCAGGATGGCCATGCTGCTTTGCTCTTGGCTTTAGAAAAGGAGACGAATCAGCTGGCGCAGAACGGTGGAAGCATCGCAGTCTTCGAAATGGAGAAGGACCGCTGGTGAGCACTGGCAGTGGATATTACTTTGGGTAGCAAAGTTTGCCAAGGAGTATGACTGAGAGAATGACAATCACTTCTTTTTTGCTGCCTTTCACACATCCAATCCTGAAATACATTGACATACTATGACCGTGACATACTTCCGAAGCCAAAGATTTTTGCGTCACAGAAGCCTGGCAGGCAGAGGCCGAACAGCGATATGGAGAGGCCATCTATGAGCCCAAGTCCCAACGAGCTGAACGTCTACGACTGGCGCATTTGCCTGGAGCTTTGTTGGTGGAGATCCCCAACAACTGGACCTTGTGCAGCAGCACCCAGGATTGCGGCAGGATCGAATTTCTGGCCAAAGAGGTAGAGGCTGGATCCAAGAAGAAACCTGACACAATGATCATGGCCAGAGCCTTAGAAACAGGTCGATTCCTAGTAGATGATGCACCTGCAGCCAGCTACAACATACATCAACGTACCAGATATCCCATGATATCCCTGCAGGATTCACAACAGTCCAGCAGTAAGCTACTTCTTTTCACGTGCAACTTCTGTGTGAAGACGGCGGGGTACCAATGATGAAGCTCAGTGCAACATGGTACGACAATGCTTTCCAGATACATTTGTTATCATTTGTTGGTGGTTGTTGTTTATCCCCACCCTAGATGACAATGATAATCCCCTATAGATCCCTGTGACTATTTTCCCAGAAGGTGGACCAAAAAAACACGAGTTGGCCCATTTTGAGGAACGACATATGCCAATCTCTTCAAATCCCAGGCCAAAAAGAAGCAGATCTTCGTGAAATTCAGCGTCGAGAAAGGGGAAGCAGCTGCTGCTGAGATGGCTGGTGAGGCACCACCAGCTGAATCTTGGTAAAAACAGTGGCCTCAAAACAGCGTTATAAAATGTTACAAAGGGCAAACTCATTCCCAGTATCCCAAAATTGGGTTTGCGAATTTGGCTGATTTGCCGTGTTTTTTGCAGAATTGGCCATTCCAAGTAGTGAAACATGGTAAAGAGTGGGGACGCTCCAATCCATTGATCTAGATCTCAATGACTCTATGTACTGTATAGATGGAGATACGACATATACACTACATATATAAACATATACATATAAATACATATGTTATGATGTTATGTGTATATGTATATATGATGCATTATTTATAATATATATATATATATGATGCAGTATTTATATATATATATATATACTTTAGGTATATATATATGATATAATTAAAAACTATATTATTGCACCGTTTTGGGCAGGTTTCATGGGCATCGAAACTGTATCGTTGATATCGTTACCATGCCATGCATTGAGCATGGCTTGATTCACTATCAGCTGTGTTTAGCACTGAGGAGGTGGGAAAGTTGTTGGCTGATAACAGCGTGCGTGGCTTGGCTTATGACGCAGGGAACCTCTAGCCATTTCCATTTGCCAAGGCTTGCTCTTAAGGGCTTCATTTGTGTTTTTTTTCAGGTCCTCCATGGTCCTCCCAGGTTGGTCGTTGGTGTTTCCCATGAAACTGAAAAAAATGGCGTCCCCAAATCACGGCCCGACGGCCGGCTGGGTGAGGTGTGTCAGTGGTTGGTGTGGATGTGCCTGATGAAGCGAAGGACTACAGAATTATGAGACATTCTCCCATTCCCTGAAAATTTTGAAATCCATCCCCAGGAACTCTTCTTTGGTATCTATTCATTTTGGGATGTTTCATATTGGGGATATAGAACATTATAGAACTGTAAGGTGCGGCTTTTCTGGGAATGATTGAAAATAAAGTACCCCAAACTCCAGTGTGCTCTCATAATTCTACCATTAACATTGCTACATTTTTGTGGTCAATACCTCATTTTCACTCATACCCAAACGTGATAAACGGTGGGAAAACCAATAATGAGCCTACCATTTAGGGATGGTTTATACCACCCATTTATGGTGTTTTTGGGTATGGTTTACTATTGGCTTTACCACATTATTTAATTATATATCCAGTTGTATCCCCATTCTGATAAGTTTCAAGAACTGCCCTTTTTTTGTTGGTGAAATCAGAGCAGTTTCAAGAACAACCCTGGCCTGCCTTGGAAAATTTGCAGGAGTCCACCATCAAGGCTGCTGCAAGCAGCGAAGCTAAGGAGCAGGCCTGGGGCTGGGAAAATGTTGATCGGTTGCAGGTCTTCAGAAAATCCTAAAGGGACTCCACCCCTTGGACATTTTAATAACGTTTAGTAAGATTAACATTTAGTAATCATTGTTTTTGAGCATTGATTCTGAGTTAAGGGCGGCCATAGGCGACCTAAAGCTCCAGTCCAGTCAGACTCCTCATAAATTGTTTGCAAATGATCTCCGGTTGTTCAAGTTGCCATCTTGTCGTCTCTGACGTGCTTCTCTGGCGTGGCTTTAGGTTGAAGAAAAGGAAATGGTGGTAGATCCTTGGTCAGTCAAGGGTCCCTCGGCCAAAAAGAGGAACATATGTTGGCATATGTTGGCAAAAATTGCACCCCATGGTGCGCACCATTTGACGTTTGAAATGCCGCATCCGCTTTGTTTACCGTAAATACCTCCCGGAGTTTTACATTAGGACCCCGAATGAACTTGAATCAATAGTAAAAAAGGATGATCTTGCAAAGGGAATTGATGAGATAAACCCCAACAACAAACCATATCCAACTGGGGTTTACTCTCAAAGCATGTAGCACATTCCAAGGGGCCGGGCTCCTTTGCAGAATCTCTGGAATCCAGGTAAGATCGACTACGAGAAGCTGATCCGAGATTTTGGTTCCACCAAGATCTCCAAAGAGCTCTTGGAACGGATGCGCAAGCTGACCGTGGGTTCAGGTGAGGTTCTTCCCACAAACCTCCCAAATTGGAGACCCCCAAAATGGAAGATGGCCGAAGATAGAACCACGTCAGCCTCCCTCATGATTTTATATGATTTTATAATATTTTATATATAGATGTTAATTTTGGATATGTTTGTTCATTTGCTGTTGCCTCCTGGCCAGCCACAGTTTGTGATTCGGACCCTTAGTCGAGGAAGGTGGCAATCTTACGATTTGACACGACTGTTCAGTAAACATCACCCACAAATTTCCAAGGCATCTTGAGAGCACCAAGTCTCTGTTTCACTGTTACATTTCAGGGATGCCAACTGAAGGTTTGTTGTTTGCCCAGTTTGTTCAGAAGATGCCGGGCGTAAATCGCAAGCGCCAGGTAGAGTATCTGATCTCCACTGCTGGTTGTGCCCTGGCTAAGCAGGTCTGATGTGAAAGTTTTTGAAGGCTTAACTTTATTTTTCCATGTGTTTCCACATTTGCATAACATATCAATGTGCTTCCAAGTGACTTTCATCCGTTTCATCGCAATTGAGTTAGACGGTCCCTAAATCCCAAACGGGGACCGGTCCGGATGGGAGCCTGTTCCCAACTTAGAAAGGGGGTTCCCTACCCAAAATATCAAAATCCAGTGGAGAGATTGTGATTATAAATGAATATCATGTGATTCCATGTTTGTTTAGTGGTTTATTATATGACTGATTATCATGTTTTTTCTCCATTATATATGTAAAATTGCTTAAAATTGGAAGGGATATATTATAATATTTGTATCGGCTGAGTAACCCTGCGATGATGCCCAGACGTCGCAACATTTTCTTCTCCCATCGAGAACTGGATGCGATTTGCGGTCTGCAGGATGGGACTTTGGCATGGGGAAGGCCAGGATCAAATTCTAAGTGAGATAGTGATTGTAGTTGTCTTGCATAGCTGGATATAGCTGGTGTATAATTGAATCTAATTTCATCATATTTCATCCTGTTGTTTTTCTGAGCCAAATGAGCTATGGCGGGTTGGGATAGGTTGGATTCCCTTCAGACATGGGTAGTAACGGACAATATGTTGGCAAACAATGGTTGGGAAGTTGATTTGCAAACAATGGATGGGAAATTCATGATAATTCACGTTTGGGTTGATCCATATCAAAATTTATGTGGCCCCATTTTCCTGTAAGGAACATCGAAATGTTCTGCATTCAATAGTTATATATAAATCAATTTAGGGGTTATAACCTATTTTTGACCGGTTACCCGAATAAGTTATTGTATATAGTTAGACCCATATAAACCCATAGGCTGTCTGATTGGGTCGTGATATCAAAACACTTCTTGGTGGCTAGTAGCCAGGTCTTTGGAAGAGTGAAACATGACAAGGTGGACGTAGGTCTTGCGTTTGCCACTCCCACAAGTCCACATTTGAGAATACCTCACAATCTTTCGGGAATATGGTGGAGTTAATATAAACTGAAAATTAAAGACCCAAATTTGGGGTTGAACATTGGATTCTGCTAGATGTGGAGGACGCCATGCCATGTCACCCCCCATGTTTGATGGTCCCCCGCGACACCAAAACCTCGACAGTGCACTGATCTCACAAACCTGGCACCGCAGATCTTGCCTTTAAACTGACAGGAGAAAGGTAAACCTTTCTACCTCTACACCGGGCGGGGTCCAAGTTCTGCGGCGCCTTGGTTTTTCGCATCACAAGAGAGCAATGAGGAATGACCTGTAGGCAATGAGGGTACTTGACGTCATTAATGGTATCCCATTAATGGGAATAATGGGATATGAATCCCTACCATTAATGGATATAAATGGGATATATCACCCTGAACCCCGCAAAACAAAACAATAAATTGTGCACTGTTTGCCTTTTGGGTTGTTTTCATAAGAACACGCCAAGGGAGAAATCCCGATTTGCGCCTTTTTGACGGTGTTTGCGCCTGTTGCGCCTTTGTTGCGATACAATTTGTTCCCCAAAAATGCAGGTTATAACCCAACTATTTCTGCCCCGACGCGTTAACATCTAGTTTGCAAAATTGTTCATTGATACCTGTTGATAGCTTTAGGGAGCATGGGTTTACTGAGTTTTCCTCACATGATCCCGTTTGCCAAAAGTTTTGCATCTAGTTACGGCCATTGCATCATGCCAAGTATCTGGCACGGAGACCCCTTGGCGTAAAAAATGCGTTTTGTGTCGTTTTGCGCAAAAAAAGGTGGTTTTGAGCAAAAGATTGTCACTGACCCAAAAGGTCCAAAAAAAGTGGATTTCGGGTGTCCAGGACTACTATTATTCGTTCAATTCATGTGTGATTTCGCTCTGCAAGACCATGCAAGACCATTCAGCGATTCCATTTCTTGGGGTGGAATGGGTTCAAGCTCAAGGATGCGTGTCCCGGCTTGTCCGCTGTGCAGGCAATGCACTTGGGTCACTTGCTGCCCTTCATGTTCACACAGTTCCTCGTTGGAGCTTTGAGGTTGGGAAAAATCTGTTTCATTCCTTGGGGTCAACGATTTTGATGGAGTCAACCTGAGATCCATGGGCAGTGGCATTGCGGGGGCTAGCTGACATTTGAAGTAACTACCTCACTTCATACCAAACAACAAAATTCAGTTTTGGCGTGCAGCATTGCGAAGCCTTGTGCGATCTTGTGCGCCATAGAGCTCTAGGAAGTTTGAGTGAGACTCCGGTATACGGTATGAGATTGGAGTCCTCCGGCACGCGGAGACGCTGCCAAGGTGGCTGCAAAAGGCCTTTAACGTGCCCTTGGTCATTCAGATGACCGATGACGAAAAGTTCTTGTGGAAGGCGCAGTAGCTGCTGTCAATTGGGCAATAGCTGGGTGGTCCATGAAACGTGATTCGTGTGGAATGCCCGAAGTGACATTTGCGGAACGTTGACGCCAGGGGGAGTATGACCCTGAAAAGGGCGACAACCTGCAACTTGGCGAAGTTGTGTTTTCTTGTCATCTCTGGCCTTGCACCTTTGGCACGCAATAAAGACATATTCAGACCCCAAAAAGGCTTTCAAAAAGCATTGAAATTCACACAATCTCATGAACAAGTCCAAAGATGCACGGTAATCATACAATTCAGTAAAACGAATGGATCAGTTTGAGAAATGTATTGGCTGCCTCCTCATTGAGCATTACCAGATCACTTTAAATGATTTTCGCAGTGTAAAACGAAGCATGTCGCCCGGCTGAGCCAGGCATGTATACCAACGATACACCATTGAGAACGCAAAAGATATCATCGCCTGCGGCTTTGATAAAAGCAAAACCTTCATTTTCTCCGACTGTGACTATGTCCCTTGGCACATCCCATCACATCCCATTTTTTGGTGTCTATAAAAGATCATCCCCAAAAAAAAAGTATCCAAATCTGTAATTTTGTTCAACTTGAGGATTTCAAACTTCAACGGATGGTGACATCGTGGGCTAGTAACAGGTCTCATGGCACCGCATCGAAGCTCAGGTGGGGCACATGTATCCGAACATCGTTCGAGTTTGGAAGGCGATCACCTACAACACCGCCAAAGGGGCGCCTTGGTGTTCTTAGTGTTCTGCAGGGCTTCAGGATGTTGGATGTGGTTCTCTTGGTGCGATCGCATAAAGGGAAGGGACTTCTAAAAGATGTTTGGCTGTGATCGGGAGACTGCATGCGTGGCTTGACTTTTATCACCTCCAGGGCTCAAGCTTGATGTGGTCAGGTTCATTTGTTTGGCACAAGAGTTGGCATTTTGAAAACAGGGTGATCTACACATTTGTCCGGTGTGCCTCAGATTCAAGGGGAAAGACGGTCGTTCCAACGCTCTGATTCGACAAAAGAATGTTGAAAGTTGGACGATGTTGAGATGTAATGAGTAGATGTTGTAGTCGATCCTACTGTTCTAAGGTGATTTGAATACTTGAAGATACCTTGAGCACACCCCAAACCCTTCCAACACCTGGAAAATCAAATTTTCATAAACCCAATTAGATGACGTCCGTCAGGTGAACTTTCATTTTTTGCATGGCTGGATTCCAAAGTTTGGAACTACAAAGGGGAAACGTTAGAACGCTGGGAGGTCATGGGAGGTCTAGATATTGGCATTGTTATTTATTGCCATCAATTAACAATTAACAGGAACATCTAGAATTTGTAATATATACACAAATTACATACACACACACATATCACACACATATATATATATATATATGTATATATACATGAATAATTCATTGGTATCCTGATGTGCACCATTTTTGTCCATCGTTCATCGTCCACACGGTTTTTTGTGCGCGATTTTCGTTGCCAGATCAAATCATGGGATGGGGGTAGCTTCCATGGGGGGGATACCACCAATATCTTAGGACATGGCCACCATATATCATCATAATATCATCATCATATCATTGATATATCATTGATATATCATTGATGCAAGTGAAATCACTTGTATACAGGCTTCGCAGTTCCACGCTCATCCGAAGCTTTGGAGTACAAAAAGGAGTGCCGGCCAACCCATCTTGCATCGCCAGATCTGTGAGCCATAGTCCTCCTTGTGTGTGCAATCTCCGTTTCAGCTTGGGCATCCCTACCATTGCACTTGCATGGTAGCGGAGCCTCACAGAGGCTCGTGAGAAAAGAGAAGATCCAGGGGAACCACCTTCGCTACGCCAGGGTGGATGACGAGTGCAGGGGAATTGCCAAGAACCAAGGATGGAGTACCAGTTTGGGACGGAGAAGCAGCTAGCTTCCAAGCCTACGAGGAGTTGGCCCTGCAATGGGAGCAGGGAATTGCATGGCACAAGAGGTATCTTTGTGGACCTCGCCCAGTCAGCGAACTCACTGGCACGGCCCGCCGATTCATCATCGGTAAGAGGCCATCATGGGTGTCCTTCAATGGTGGCGTCCAGTACCTCTTGGAGCACTTACGCGGAGCCCTGGGCAGGCCTCAGATCAGTGACATGACAGACCACCTCAACCGCTACTTCAAGGCCACCAAGCGGAAGAAGCTGGAAAGCATGAATGAGTATGTCACTCGAAAGACTGAGGCTTACGCAAGGGCCCGACAGGCCTACACCAGGGTGGCGGAGCAGTATGACCGCCAGACATGGAGGAACTGGTCATGGAGGAGCAACCATGATAGCTGGCAGAGTTGGACTGAGTCAGCCCGAGGAGAAGAAGAGGAAGAGTACCACTCCGGAGTGGATGAGACTCCAGAAGGAGCTGAACAAGACCCTTGGGCCCAGTTTGACCATCACGCCTCAAGCAGGGGAACTCATTCCGTGACTGAGGACGAACACTGGAAGCGTGATGGCCATGAACTACTACCAGACTTCTTGCAGGGATGGTACTTGCTGCAAGACGCATCGCTCGATGGGAATGAGCGGAACATGGTCCAAACGGCCTTGCAAGGGGACTTCAGCCTTCACCGAGTAGCCCAGGAGCTACGTGTTCAATGGCCGGAAGATGAACTTCGCCGACGAGATCAGGGCAGTCGTGCTGGAGCAAACTGGAGCGATGAAGCCCTATATGGAGAAGAAGAATGGGAACCTGAAGGTGGCTACTGGAGTCATCAAGATCTACAAGGACTCAACGACGAGGGCCGAGAGATCATGTGGTCAGCTGAAGAAGAAGCCGAGGGAGCCTATGCTATGTTCGACCAGGCAAGACGCACTTTGCGCGATGCCAGGGAGAAGCAGAAGATGGTCAAGATGTCAAGGCAGTACTACAAGACCAACACCTACCGACCGAGGTCATGGGAAAAAGGAGGCAAGGGCGCTGGGAAGAGTCAAAGTGTCAGCAGCTGGACCTGTCTGAGGTGTGGGGGAACACATCGTACGGGCCAATGTCCAGACAAGCAGGCACCGACTTCAAAGGCAATGGCATCCGAAGAGGCGCCATTTGTCTGCTATGTGGAGAAGGAGCTCAACTACCAGACCGATGACCCAGAAGCTCTTGCGGCAATGGGAGCCACAGGATGCTTGAGCACCCAAGAGGCTATCGAGGCCGGCATGGGCATCATTGATGGGGGTGCCACGAAAACCTTGGCATCGGTGCACGCAATTGAGAAACTCATGGAGGTGAACAATCAGAAGCATGGCGACACCAGAGTCATGGACATCAACCTGGAAGAGCAGCCCACCTTTGGCTTTGGCAACTCGTCCAAAGATACATGCGTCTCAACGGCAAAGATGGGCATCCAGGCCAATCAGAAACCAGGCATGCTGAAGATCCACGCTCTTGACAAGGGCCAGGGACCCATCCTCATCTCCGTGGACACACTGAGAGCCCTGGGAGCAGTGATCGACTTTGAACATGACTTAGCAGTGTTTCGTAGGTTGGATGATCAAAAAGTCATCCAGCTCCAGCGCTCTGCGTCAGGCCACCAGTTGATCTCACTGTCTGACGACTTGTACAGTCAGGCCAAGGACTGCACCAGACCGGTCCCCAGCCTCGCTGAGTTTTGCTAGGGACAACACCTTTCTTCTTTGGAGCCTGCCAGAGAAAGAAAGGGCCAAACAAGTAGTCAGGCATCAGAGGTAGGAGGGAAGTGGAAAACTTCCAATGAGAACAATGGAGATGAGATCAGGGTTGAGAGTTTTGAGAAACAAGGTGTTTTTCCAAAGGGTCGTGAGCATGAGTGCACACCTCCACAACACACACATGTGCATGGACCGCAGCCATTTTGTGAAGACTCCGACATAGCCCAACGTCCATCAGCCACCGCTGAGACTCATGGCGCCCAAGACCAAGAAGGACTTTGTGGCAGAGATGATGCAGCTGGGAGAGGTACCTCCCGAGAAGTGGGGGATCACAGAACTCAAAGTGCGCTTGGCAGAGCTGCGAGAGGAACGTGGTCTGAACCAGAAGAATCCACAGCAGACAGATCTGCAACAGTGGGTGCTGCTTCTGAACCGGGCCTCCCGCAAGAAAGCCGACCTCCAGAAGTTCAACCACGACCAACTGCAACTTGCAGTAGCCGAGAATGCCACCATAGCTCAGCTGCAAAAGCAGGCCATGGAGCGCATCTACCAGATGAGCAAAGCAGACCCAACGGATCCTGTGGGCTTTGGGGAGCACAGTGCCCTCTCTTACCAGGAGATCCTGGTGAACCAGCCCGCCTACTGCAAGTGGGTGATCCAGACCAGCTCAGAGGGACAGTGCTGTGCCCGTCTGGCACGACTGGCAACATGGCTTCAGGTCCAGAAGGACAAACCGGTGCCTATGCCCGTGCCGGTGGCCATGCCAGCCAAGAAGGGCAGCAGTGCCAGTTCCGATATGACTGCGAGCAGTACGGCTGCTTTGGTCGGTGTGATGCAGCAGATGATGGTGAAAATGGACGAGATGAAGGAAGAGATCGACGAGATCCGGGGGCGCCCACACAAGAAGGCAGTGAAGAGCGAAGAGATGGACGATCAGAGTTCATGGAGTCCTCTGACGGAGACCTGAGAGGCCCCAACGGTGAGAGAGGCTTTGATATGAACGTCAGCAGCTCGGCCTGCCCATTGACACAGCAGGAAGGTAAGTTTCTGACTCCGGAGGCCAAACGGTTTTTTCAACATGTTGATAGGGATTTGGCTGCTGTTGCTTTTGACCAATTGTCACAAGAGAGTGAAACCATTCTCTTGGAGGTGGCCTGCAGTCCGGAGAGTAGGTTGGCTAGTGCCGTGCAACTGGCTGCTGGGCGAGAAAATGCAGCTGTCCGCTGCTCTCACTGGAATGGGTGCGATCTTGGAACGGATGCTGGAGTCCGTTTGGTCATGTCACAGGTGAACCGGTTGAAACCAAAACATGTTTATATTTCCCCCGAATGTGGTCCTTATTCCCCAGTTCAAAACATGAATCAAAGAAGTGAACAACAAAAGAAAGAGTTGGAAGAGAAGAGACGTATGGTGTTGAAACAATATGTTGGGGCTTGTTGTGTTTATCAACATTGTATCCAAATTGGGGTTCATGTGACATGGGAATGGTCTGAACGTTGTCAGGGTTGGAGGTTACCCATCATGCAGAACTTGCAACAAAAATATGGTCTTTTCACTGCGGTTGTTCATGGATGCCAAGTCAACTTGAGACACCACCGAAAAGGGGAACTCATGAAAAAGGGCTGGAAACTTATGACTACTCATAGAAGGGTTGCTGAATACATGAACTTGCCATGTAGGTGTCCACGGCAGTACAAGCATGCGGTGTGCGAAGGAGACATGACACGGAAAACTGCATACTACACACCTGAGTATGTCAATAGGTTTCTGGCTGCCATCAAATATGAGATGACTCAAAGTCAGTTGGCGGAAGAACTCCAAGGGTCCACTCATAGGTTGCCTCGAATGTTTGGAGCCGGGTCCATGTGCCACTGTAAAGAGGTTCATGTTCAGGGGGTTCGAATGACTTGCGGCAGTTGTCATGTGGAGCCAGTGGAAAACACATGTGAACATGAAACAAACGGAGAAACGTCAGGACTTTCCCAAAGGCATGAAGTGTTTGTTCATGAGGGTTCTACAGGGAATTCCCTTAGTGATGGTATGTTGCAAAAACAGCTGTACCTGTTACACTCAGCCACTGGGCACAGTAGCGTAAGGAACATGGTAGTAGCACTCCAAAAACGGGGAGCCAGCCAGCGGGTCTTGGATGCAGCGAAAAAGTTCACTTGCGCTGTGTGCGCAGAGCGTCAGAAACTCAACACCAAACATGTGGCATCACTTGAAGCCTTGCCACTCAAGTGGGCAACTGTGTGTGCGGATGGAGGAACTTGGACACATGTGGGAACCAAAGAAACGGTTGGTTTTGCGGTTTTGATTGATGAAGGTAGTCGGTTTAGGGCTGCTAGGATTCTTAGTCGGGGTCGAAAACAAACCATGAGCGCTTCACAATTTCTTCATTACTTCAAAGAGGGTTGGGTCCAGTACTTCGGTAAGCCAAATACCTTAAGACTTGATCCTGCCGGAGCCTTTCGGTCCAATGAAGTTGAAGCGTTTTGCGATGCTGAATCCATTTTCTTAGATTTCATACCAGCAGAGGCTCACTGGAAATTTGGAATCTGCGAACAAGCCATCAGGGGTATCAAGGAGGTGATGAACAAGTTAGTCGAAGAGGATCCCAACATCACCCCAGAGGATGCCCTGACCGTAGCTGTCCGCACTTTCAACCACCGTGAAATCACCAGAGGTTTCTCCCCAGTGCAACACGCACTAGGTTTGGCGCCAGATGAAACAGGCCGCTTCATCAACAGTTTGGAGGGCCGAGGTCATGAAGAACTGGTCAGAAATCCAACTGGTGAGTTCCAAGAAAGTATCGAACGAATGAAAACAGCAGAACAAGCTCACTCAGAATGGATAGCAAAAGAGAGGATCAGTCGTGCCCTCAACAGCCGGGCCCAACGTACCAATCACTATCAGCCAGGTGATTTGGTATACTACTGGCGGAACCAACTCCCAAAAAGTATGACCGCTTCCAAAACCGGAGGTTTTCTGGGACCAGCAAGAGTGCTAGTAACAGAAACCAAGAGGGAAGCCGATGGTCAACTACGAGCAGGCAGCACAGTTTGGGTAGTGAGGGGCAGGTGACTTCTCAAGTGTTGTGTGGAACAGTTGAGACCAGCCACTCATCGAGAGGAACTCATCGAACACATGACCACCGATGAGGACAAGAAGGCTCCCTGGACCATACCACGGCTTGTGGATCAGTTAGGTAGTCACGAATATGAAGATGTGTCAGACCAAGCACCAAGTCAACAGCAGTGGCAGCAAGCTCAAGAGGATCCACCGGATCAGCCTATGGCAGAGCCAGCAACACCTCGAGTGAGACACTGGACAAAGCGACCATTGGCCACAACCGCGGCAGATCCCACAGGAGGAGAAGCACCACCAGTGAGAGCAAAAGGAACAGCCTCAAGCAGTTCAGGTTTTGAAACTGAGACTTGGTGGTCACAGGTGCATTTTTCAGATGCGTCCGAAGAGTCCACAGCCTTTTGGAATGATCCAGATGCAGCAATGGAGATAGCCATTGACATGCCTACCAGCCAGCGAGGCTGGAAACACCTGGAGGGAGATATGACAAGTTATTTCCTGGCGGCAATGCGGAAGCGTGCAGTAGAACTGAATGAGAAGAAGATGGATGCAGAAACCCGAGCTCAGTTTGAAGGAGCAAAGGGGATTGAAGTGAAGAACTTCATAGCAGCCAAGGCCTTCGAGACCATACCAGTCCATCTCCAACCACCACGTGAACAAGCCATAGGAATGAGATGGATTTTGACATGGAAAGTGAAGGACGACGGGAGCTGTAAACCAAAAGCTCGAGCAATCCTCCTTGGCTATCAAGACCCAGCCTACGAACACCGAGCAACAACAACGCCAGTGATGACAAAGCAAAGCCGTCAGATGCTTCTTCAGGTTGCAGCCATAAAACAGTGGCTGACTCAAAAAGGTGATGTCTCTGGAGCGTTCTTGCAGGGAAAAGAATATCCCAGTGACCTGTTTTGTGTTCCATGTCCTGAGATTTGTAAAGCAATGGGAATTAGCGAAGACAGCATAACCCGCGTAAAACGTGGTTGTTATGGCCTGGTGGATGCACCCATAGAATGGTACCGTAGCGTTTCCAGTTACTTTGAAAGTCTAGGACTGATCAAAACATGGGCTGATCCTTGCATGTGGCTTTGGAAACCCCAAGGAAAACTCCGAGGGATGATTAGCTGTCATGTAGATGATTTTCTATTCACCGGTGGCAGGGATGATCCTGAATGGGAAAACTTGCTCACCAAAATTCGAAACCAGTATGCCTGGGGCTCATGGGAGACAGGGAAGTTTGTACAGTGTGGGGTTTTAATAGAAGAACAACCTGACAATAGCTATCACCTGTCACAACCCAGCTACATGGAGAAGGTGAATGAAATTCCAATCAGCTCAAGCCGAAGAAAGGAACAACAAAGTGAACTGACTAGCCGAGAACAAACACAACTCAGGGCTGCACTTGGCTCAGTAAGTTGGCATGCCCAACAAGTGGCACCACACTTTTCAGCTGAGGTAGGTTTGTTACTGTCTGAGATCGCCCATGGATCAGTGGAAACAATAATTAAGACTAACAAACTAATCTATGCAGCACGACAGAGGAAGGATCACAAAATGATCATTCACCACTTCCCACAAAACGTGGAAGTGGGGCTTTTCGTGTGGGCCGACGCAGCGGGACAAAACAGAAAAGACGGCAGCAGCACTCAGGGTTTATTCTTAGGGCTTGCACCAGTGTCACTTTTGGATGGAAACATGGAAAAGGTTTCTCCTATATGTTGGCATGCCAACAAAATCGAAAGGGTCGTGAGGAGTCCGGGTGCAGCAGAAGCGGCAGCCGTAGTAAATGGGGAAGATGTTCTTTTTCATGCGAGGTACCAGTGGGGGGAAATTCTTGGTCCTGCGGTTGATGTGTTTGACATTAATACTACTGTGAACATGGTGGTAGGTGGTGTCATCTCTGATTCACGCAATGTGTATGACCGGTTACAGACTGAAGAGTTCAACACCCATGGAGCCGAACGAAGGACTAGCTTAGAACTCATGTGTGTCAAGCATGCTCAGAGGCATAACCAGGTTCACTTGAGATGGGTTCACTCTGAAGCACAGTTGGGAAACGCACTTACAAAACCGAATGCCAAGGAGCTCGAGCATTTTTACCAATTAGGAAGTAGATGGCGGATAGTTAGCGATGATGAGATGCGATCCGCGCGAAAGCGAAAGCAAACTGGCATGGAGATTTTGGAAAATCAACAGCGTGCACCGAACGTACCTGCACAACGTGCTACCTTTGGAAAACAGGGGTCTGAACAGTGAAATGTTTTTCCATTTCCGGAGGGGGACCAATGCAAGTGAAATCACTTGTATACAGGCTTCGCAGTTCCACGCTCATCCGAAGCTTTGGAGTACAAAAAGGAGTGCCGGCCAACCCATCTTGCATCGCCAGATCTGTGAGCCATAGTCCTCCTTGTGTGCGCAATCTCCGTTTCAGCTTGGGCATCCCTACCATTGCACTTGCAATCATCATAATATCATCATCATATCATTGATATATCATTGATATATCATTGATATATCCCGATTAAATTATAGCTCCATTCTATCACCACCATAATACCACCATATCCAAATGTTGATCCCATTGGATGAACTTGAAGGTCCCGGCCAGCTTGGAACGTCCCCATCACTTGTCTCCTAAGGCCTTCGGCTTTCAGGGCGAGTCCAACATCGGCCAGTCCGCATTTCCTGCGATCCAGGTAGGGTCTCCAGCGGAGCAGCTACGACTTGATTTTCCCGACCATATATTTAACAGCGCTATGGAAGATTGTGGAATGTCATTAATTATATGGAAAAGTAGGAAATATTGCGGACTTTTATGGCATATTGGAAATTTATAAATGGCTCGCCTTTAGCCCTTTGGCTAAACTCTCGGAGACGATGAGAGAGAGAGAGAGAGAGATGGATGCTCTAGCTATTTACATGGTTAACACGACATAGCAAAGTGTTAAGTTCGCTGAGGCTAAAACCTGGTGGGAAAGAATCCCAATGTGGAACATCATCTATGACTGGATAGTTATGGGGCAAAATGGATGGTCTAAAGTTCAAAGGTTAAAAAATAACAAACTTGGTGGGTCCAGTGCTGCCTGAGTTTCTAGCCGTGCCTGGAGTCGATTTTGCTAGGGATAGTTCCATGATGTTTATGACTTGATGCACGGTCCCCATGGTGTCTTCCAATGTCAATTGAAGCTGCCCGGATTTCGTTTGGGGAGATGAACCATATGATCCCAACGTATCCATGATCCCGTGGCAGGCAGTACCCTCATTTCCTTCATCTTTTAGCGTTCCATTCAAGGGCGATCAGCATCTGCCGTGCTTGCATCCTGGCGTCCGAAGGGACCTTGAAGGATTGTTGAAGGCTGTGGATTTTTCGGAACCTCATCCAGGCGATGGAAAGTCCTTCGCTGCCCATGTGCTGAAAGAACACCAGAGAGCTGGCCGTTGCTGTGAAACTGAGGATTCCTTGCGCCATTGATCAGGATCCCTACTTTCGGGTGCCACGGCTTTTCAGTAGTTTACCAACTCCCGAGTTGGTCGTGAAGCACGCAGGTGGTTACCACCACTGGGGCTATAAGTTCAAGATGATCCAAGCATAGATCCAGGGAGAAGGATTTCCACGGGTTTCTAATGTCCTCATTTGCATATCACAGTTATACTCATATTTATTCACTAATAGGGGAACAATTTGTCAGAAAATGCTGCAATCTCTCATCTCTGAAAGGTGACCAGGGATATCGCGCACAAGCTGGTTCCGTAGCGTGGCAAGCACGGCATATGGCATAGGGATTGATTAAGGTAAGAATTTTGAGAATGGCGGTGATCGAGATGGTGAGGATGATGAATGAGTAAACAGCATGAGCAAAGCATGGCTAGCTGTCTGCCGATGTCAGGAAGGATCATCCTTTGAAAGGAAAGCCATCCTTGATCCACTGCAACTTGGTGCAATTGGGTTCTGTGGTACGCTAGATTTGGAGAAACATCACCATTCACTGGGGATATTTTGGTCGAGAGATCATGATAGTCCCTTGTGCCAGCAGCTTGTGGATGCCATTGAACTCGAAGTTAGTTGAGGAAACACTTTTTTTCCCATCGGTGTGTTCTTTGGACGGCAATTTCTTTGAGCTTTTCCTTTTTTGATAAAGTTTAGATTTTGTTTGGATTCCTGCTTTTCTGCTGTTCCTGCTTCTCTGCTTCTCTGCGTTTGCTTTTCTGCTTTACGTTTTTTTTGGCTTTTCCTGCTTTCCGTATTACGTTTCCTGCTTTTCTGCTTCTCTGCTTTTCTTGCTTCTTTTTTCTGCTTCATTCTGCTTCTCTGCTTTTCCGCTTTTTGCTTTTCCTGCTTCTCTGTCTTTTTATTTTTCCATGCGTTTTTTTGCTGTTTTGCTTCTTCCTGCTCGTTTGCTTCTCTGATTCCTTTCTTTACTGTCTCTTTGCTTTTTCTTTTTCTTTTGTCTTATTCTCTCCTGTTTGTATCCTTAATGAAACCCTAGAGAAACCCTAGAACCCCTAAATGAAACCGTAAAGATAAATTACACCCTAAACAAATCCTAAAGAGACCCTAAATGAAACCCTGAAGAAATCCTAAATGAAACCCTAAAGAAACCCTAAATGAAGAAACCCTAAATGAAACCCCAAATGAAACCCTAAAGAAACCCTAAATGAAACCCTAAAGAAACCCTAAATGAAAACCTAAAGAAACCCTAGGATACCCAACATGACACCCTGAAATACCCTGAAGAAACCCACATGAACGTTTGAAGACCAACATGTAGCAACAGCCATGCAAAATGAGAGGTCATGAAACGTTTGAAGTACCAACATGCACTAGATACCATACAACATGAGAGCCTGAAGTGACAAAGATGCAGCAAATTCCGTGCGAAATGGAAGCAAATAACATGCAACATGACAGGTTCTAGTTCCAAATTGTTGCAAATACAAGGCAAGTACCAGGAAAGAAATCAAAAAATAGAAACCTTATTCAGAAATAAAAACTATTCCTCACCCATTTGGATTTTCCGAGCAGCCAATTCTGGAACCATTTGAACATTTGAGATGCCAAGCTGGGACTAAAGCGAATTGAGGTAAGTTCTTTCCTCCCTTGACGGGGGCTGAAGGGAAGATGGCAGCATCTGATGAAAATTCAGCGACTCGTCACAACGAGCTCGCCACAGTGCAGAGCTAGTGGGTTTGTGCATCTATTCCTCCGGCCCAAGTCGTATTAATTTTTGGTAAAGTATGATATAAAGTTCATGAATGTTTGCACCCATTGATTCTCCAGTAGTAAGAATCCAAGTCTATTCATGTTGGGTCTCAAACTGATTCACCTGACTGTCAAGTTCAACCACCAGGGGCCCAACCGAAAAGTGTGAGAAACGGCCACAGCCAGCGTCGAATGCCGCAGCCTAGGCCATTTTCCTCACCGACACCCCCGAGGATATCGAAAAAAAGATCAACAACTACGCCTTTTCAGGCCCAGAACAAATATCCATGGTTCCATATTAAAACTTTGCAAACCAGATCAAACCAGAAGTTTCTCCCTCTTCTGCAGCTTTACTTAAAAACATGTTTATGTGGTTCAGGTGATCCATGAAACGGATCATATTTTCACATTTCTTGGCTTCACTGGGGTCCGGTCCGACCAAACCAGGTTTGGATCATTCTGGATCCATTGCGAAAAACTGAAGAAATAGAAGTTTGGGATAGTTTGGGATATTTTAAGTGTAGCTGTATAGCTTTGGCCTTGAAGAATTGCCCAGATTCCATCAGACATTGCAGCTCCTTCTTGCTCGTTCCGTGCCAACCAGTGCCACACATGGCCTATTCGGGATCCTCCGCGCCGGGTGCGCCCATGGAGTTTGGTTATTGGAAGATCAGGGGGTTGGGTGCAGAGCCTTGGCGGCAGATGTTGGGAGCAGGTTGGACCAGCTGGTGAGTTTTGGATGGGGATGTGGTTCAACATCCATGAGTCGTGGCGCCTATGAGCCTCCAGATGCCTCCAGAATGGGAAACACCGGAAACACCCCAACAGCAATGTTGAGATACGTTGCATCCTTTCCCTTTCTCTTGAGTCCTTCTTCCAGCCTACGTACTTGTAATGCGATGCTTGCCTCCTAGTCTACGCCTCTCAGGGGATCTGGGGGCCCTAAGAGATTATATATATATATATATAAATATATATATATATACATATAAGTATGTTAGCGAAATTACTGGCGGGATTTACCTGATGAAAGAAACCAGAGGTTTTAAGTTTTCAGACAAGACCGACAAGTTGCAATGGATTGATTCCGTCTACATTTGGCGGGTGATGGCAGATATCCCTCTTGAATCTAATGGTTCAGGCAACCAATCAGCTTGGGTGTTTTTTTCAGACCATTAGGACGGAAACGATTCAAAGTGAACCCTGAACAATCACAAAAACGCTCAGACTCAAGGCTCATTAGTATTGAAACATATTGAAACTGTTGCAGGTCTTCCGCATGATTCTGGAGTACAAAGAGGCCAAGTACGTCGACAAGCAGTACGCCAACGGTGACTCATTTGCAGTACCAGATCTAGCGACATGACTCGAAGTCTCTTTGAGACGAGGTTCGTGGGCCTCTCATGGCATCTCATAGTCGTCAACAGGAGACTCTCTGAATTTGCAAAGAGTATTAGTCGGAGAGGTATCATGAGCGCGTTGCTTGTGGCGCAAATATCAGAAATATGCATGCAAATTTATGCAGATGCTTTCCATCTGTCGTTCAGGTGAGGAATGGTTCAAGGATCGAAAGCCAGCCATTTTGGCCCTGAACCCTTTGGCAAACCTGCCATACCTCGTGGATGGCGACACGTGCGTTTGCCAGACGTTCCTCGGATCAGATTGGCTAAACGGAAGTGAGATCTTGCAGGTGTTAAGGCATGTCAAGGGTGTGGCGCTCTTTGGGGTTCTATGGTGTTTGTTTATTGTACTTTTAGGATTTTGTTCTAATGGTTGGTTCTCTTACTTTTCTGTTGCAGGCAGGTTGAAGAACCCACAGCCTCTCAAAAACCGATCCCATAATCATCATAGTCAAAGGACCAGGCCAAGACTCACGTCTTCACTTCTGGAGCTTCAGAGTTGGCCAAGCACTAAAGCACTAAACTGTTGGCAAGATACGCAGTGTATCGCAGTGTGTGTGTGTTTGTTTTTGTCAATCCACGGCTGGCTGTCAGTGTAGCAGATTTGTCATTTTCATGTTATGTTTTCATCAGGAATTCAATGAACTGGTTTAAGGGAAAGTCTCTGGTTGACACATGTTGAAAACATGTTGTTTTAAAGTCAGGAGAGGGTTTGCCAACTTTCAAACATATGTAATATATGTGTGCACAGCCCCGCGCAACAGTCCAGCATTTTAGCCAAAATCACATGTTCACAATCCACAACCTCATTCATTATCGATCATTTCAACCAAATCATTTCACAGCAGTCGAAACACACATTTTCACCAAAAAACATGTTGATGCACCCAAGAATCTCTATGCCATGAACGACTTCTGAGAGGGCAGACCGCACCAAATCTTTCCCCACCCCAAGAGGTTGCAACCTTGGTGATGCAGCAAAAAATGAGTTCCCCAAAGAAATCAAAACATTATTTTCAAGATGGTTGGGATATGTGGGCTTGGCAAAGGATTGGCAAACCCTGTCTCATAGGATTTATATTTTTGCATATGATGCATGCTCATGTTGCATACTGCATATTGCATACTTATATATTTATACAAGGGTCATTGTTTGTTCCGTTGCCGCTTTTTCTTTTTTTTTGTGATGCTTTATGTTGTGATTTCTATTCAGTTTGATTTTCACAATTGCAGATTAAACAAAAAGTTGTTTCTTGCAATTTGCAATGTTATTTGTTTGTGTCCTTTGATCCTTCTACATTGTTATTCTACATTGTGTTTGTTCATGTTTTTTTTCTGTATTCTCTTTTGACTCCAAGGTGGTGTTCTTTTTTCCTTTGATACTTTGATACTGTTGTTTTCTTTTATCTCTCCACTTGTTGCATGTTGCAAAGTGTTCTTCAAAAGCATTTTTTGTCTTGTTTATGTGGCATGAATTGTTGTTTATCCATAGTATGCTTATGTCACGCGTAGATATGTTTCCTTTGTAATATAGTCTTCTTGAAGATCCATGTCAACAATTTTCTCATCAATTGCTAAAATCTGTTGGTTGGTTGAAACGATGGAGATTGAATAAGGTTGTGGCTTATGATCATGTGATTTTGGGCTAAAAGTGATGAAATGTTCTGCGAGGGTTGGTAGACATAGTAGAGTATGGCAACCGGCAACCCCTGTCCCAACTTTTAACCCCGAATATGTTGGGGTTCGAATCCCAAAATTTTCGAGTGATTTCTGGGAGGAATGCCATCATGAGCTATTTGGGCGACAAGTTTGACATGAACGGCACCACCGAAGCGCAAAAGATTCGAACACAGGAGGGATACCACCGGACACCAGCGGACAGCTCAGACAGATCTTTTGTTTGTATTGTTTTTGTTTTTTGTGGGTGAGGGGTGTTGCTACGGTATGGTGTATATATATATATAAGTTATTTTGTTTTCGGTTTAAGTATGAATATTAATTACATGTTAATTATATATGTATATTTTTTGGGGAAATTATCCCGGTCAGTAGGCAGTTAGACCAATAACTCTTGTTGTAGTTGGCTTCAAGTTGCCCCTGAGACACCCAACCTGGCAAGATGCCAAACCCAGCTGAGCTTATTGCAGGAGTTGTTGTGTGAGATCTATGACGTGCGAAACAGCACCTCAATTGCAGCATGTAGCCTATATTATATATATAATATGTTGAGGTATTTGTATCAATGAAAATGGGTATGTATATATATATACACAGATGGTGATGGTTCACCCCCCCAACCCTACATTAGAGATGGAACATGAAGTACAGTATCTCAGGCCTCCGGCCTCCTTCGGACCTGATCAACCTATCATTTGGGGATAGCTGACCTAGCCATAAAAATGGTGAATTTGGGGATTGCGGCTTAGCATATGAGTTCTTGAATGATCACTTCAACCAAGAAGATGGCAATAGAAAGTGAAAAACATTGTTTCCAAATCCTTTATGAATAACCATCCAGAGAGCCTGGTTCAGTATCAGTTTTTTTCATTTTGGGTGCCCATCCTGCAAGTTTTGTCTCAATACTATTCTGAATATAACTATACTATACTTTGCTATGCTATACTATGCTATACTAGGCCGACAACCGTTTTAACCATGTGACGTGATAGGAGGTTTGGGTACCAACAATCCATGACGGCCGAGCAGCTGAGGCATGATCGATTTGGTCTACCCTTTCAAGCGCCTTGTTCAAGACTGGCCAGTCACTAGCGAGTTGTGCTGTTGTTCATAGTGATTTAACCATCAAACATGGTGATTTAAGCGTGAAACATGTTTAAACATATGCAAACCATCCAATTCAGAACGCACAAACAACCCAAGATGAACAGACCCCCCGCCTGTCTGGTTGAAGTTGGGTTGGATGTTTAGTGATTTACCTTCTCATACCTCCTTATACCTCCTCGCGAGGTTGAAATCACATTATACAGTGGTATGTAACAGTATGATTGGGAGATCCCACCGGTCCATGTCTCAGGTTCCACATGCTAAATATCTTTAAGGATGGTTTCAATATGTTTCAACTAATTCCTTCGCCAGGAATGTGACGCGAACCAAAGAGGAGTTCGACACCAACGCCAAAGCAAAAGCCTGGGGACCCGGGAAGCGGACCTAGATCTTCGTGCAGTCAGTAATTTCAGTCTGAATGCAGTCAGGAAATCTGCCCGAATCTGAGGATTCCGCCTAAGGCTCCAAATTCCGCTCGAACCCACCAAAAATGTCTTTGCGTTCTCAAAAAAAATCGCTACGGCCATTTACGCCTGAATCACGTGTGTTTGCGCCCGAATCACGCTCAATTCCGCCCGAATTCAATTTTCCCGAAAAATGCAACATTTCAATGTTTCCGGTTGTTGAAATTGAATTCCGCCCGCAGTCAGATTTTCTGTCCGACAGCCCCTTCCGGCATATAATGTTGAAAAGGCAGAACTTAATGTCCGCAAGAAGATCCAGGGATGGGTTGTTGAGCAACTGGCTGCCTTTTTGGGGACCAAACATTGGGACCGAATGGGGATACAATGATATAACCGATGATCATGTTTTGGGCATTTCATAAAATGTCGTGAGACCCAAAAAAACAGAAGAATCGGTGTACTTGGGGAAGACGATTTTAGCTAGCTGAACCATTGGCAATCAGCTTCCGCCAGCTCCAGGTTGGCAAACCACCCTTTGCGAAGTTTGAAAATCTACTAGCTTTCAAGGCAGGAGCTGGCAGCACCAGTTTTCGGACAAGTACAGTACGTGGTCATGCTAGTTGAGTTAAGATCAGATGAGTTGTTTCATTTTTGTCTCCTTGGACCACTTCTCAACATTTAAGTTAAAGCGCTTCAGGCTACCAGTAGGGATGAGGTAGTTGATTCCACGATATCAAGACCCTCGGGTAATTTAACATCCAAAACTACGCAGCTGCAGATGATTTACCATGTCTATCTGACTATCTGCCAGATGGGGATCGTAGCCAGGACAACCTCAGTGGTGGCAAGTGGTTTGTCCTACAAGATGGCCCTGGTGTGGCTGACTTCCACATTTGGGAGATGTGACCTGGCCATGCCTAGAGCCTAGAGCCTAGAGCCTACATGCCGCAGTACCGCCATGCCTAGAACATCCCAGACGCATGGATGAATGGATAAATTTTGCATAATTTGTCCATATAGTTTTCTGCTTGGAAATGATTTGAGGTCAAAGCACTTTACAACTGGGCACACTCGAGTTGTTTCAACATGTTTCAACCATATTTTACAATTATTTTACAGGCGGATCCAGCAAAATGACTCGTGCGATCTCGTGTCCCATTTTTAAGGTTCCAGGGGTATTGATTGGCAAAGTTGAAGAACAAAGAACTCATCATGTTGCGGCCACCGCTCCAAGGTTAGACCAACACAAGATGCTGTCCGAGCGTATAGGCGGACCAGACATCTTCGCCGAGTTCCCCAAGTGCAAGGCCTGCGGTTTGTTGGGACTGGGGACCCTTGGGACCCCCCCTGGGACACCTGAGGGTGGATACGAAGCTCAAAACAAGTCACAAAATGCAGGGTAACTGAGGTTTGCGGTTTCCATTAATTTGCCATATTGAGTCACAGATTCACACACCCTTTCATGATCTTTCATGTCGATTGTCAGCCATTGTAGATATATTCAGGGGCCTCGCCTCGCCCGATATCGGCAAGATATATAATCTCACCGATTATCTTCAATTTACTGAAACTTCATGAACATAAGCTGACCTTCTATTCCTGCACGCGGGCAGTCTTTCCACAACCTGTGGAGGCGGAGTCCTGTGTTTTGTTTTTGTTGCATGTGTGTTTATGCTTAGCATGTCTTTCAAAGCGGGTGAACATAGCCTTGCCAAAGCAAGAAACAATGCGCTACAGAACTGCCACCATTTCATTGCATAACTTTTGGATCAGAGGGTTCTGGACTCTTGGCGACTTAAGTTGTTCGCATTTTATTTTTTGGCCGACAGCAAACCCAAATTGTCATGAATAATTGCAAATCATTACAAAGTAAAAAAAAAAAACATTGGGAACACTCCAACTAGTTTGCCTGAGGCAAAACCCCTTTGGTGACAAGAACTGCATTCTTTGGGGGCCAATAACAATCTTCCATCGTCCATGGTCCATCACGACGGGTTGAAACAGGCCTTCTATGATGCCTTCAAGGCCTTGCCAACGCTGAAGAACTACTTTGCCAGCGAGGCCTACAAATTTGATGTGTGCCTTTGGCGGTGGTGCCAGTTATTGGCAGTTTATAGAGGCTTTTACTGTTCATGTCATGAAATGTCATTAAGCCAAAAACATAATCCAGCTGTCAAAACAAATCTGGATGTTGTTATCCGTTATCCTTTTGTCATGTGAAGAATTTTGTAAATTACTCATGTGAAGAATTGTGCATTGGCACATTGTAATAGAGAGAGAGAGAGAAAGAAAGAATCCCTTTCACTGTTTGCTTTGCAGATGCTTTGTTTATCTTTGATTCTATTGTTTTTCCCCTCGTAAAGAAAACATGTTCGAACTAGGTCAAGCAGTGGATTATTGTGACATGATCGGCACGCATTGGTCACTTGTTGGAGCATTGGTTAATTCCTGGTGGTCACCTTGCTGTCAAATTGGCTGAACAATCACCATACCCAAGAGGTACTTAACATGTGTTTGTCCATATATATATATATAATATAAATATACATATTGTATGCTGTTTTTCCCGCAACACCATGTTAGTTTCCTGCAAGGTAATAGGTTCTGCCACACAGATGATGGTGAAAAGAGCAAACATGGTAGATCTAGGGCTAGGGCAAATCGAAACCAACAAACGGTTCGGCCAACTGCAAATGCTCGCACAGTCGTGGAGCAAGCAAACGCAATTGTATGACGCCATCAACAATCAAGAAAAAGGTGATTGGTAACAAAGGGAGGGATACGATCAGCCGGCATTAGTATATAAGATAATAAGCACCACGGCGCAGTTTAGCAGGCATGCATGCATATGCAACTATGCATTATTTAAATAAATAAGTAAACATATAATAATTAGTAATAATAGTATTAATAATAATAATGATGATAATGATAATAATACATGCGTGACCGAAAAATGCGTGGCATGTCGGGAGTTTTTTGCCAGGGTGTCAGTGTGTGAACCCGATAGTCAAAGGAAATTGGGAAGCAATCTTCCGAGTTATAAATGACCCTAATAGCAAAAACAATACATCACATATCAATACATCACATAACAATACATCACAGAACAATACATCACAAAACAATACATCATTCAACAATGCATCACATAACAATACATGACACAACAATACATCACATAACAATACACCACACAACAATACATCTCATAACAAAACATTACATACCAATACATCACATAACAATGCAAAACATAACAATACATCACATAACAATGCATCACACAACAATACATCACATAACAATACATCACACAACAATACATCATTCAACAATGCATCACATAACACTACATCACAAAGCAATACATCATACAACAATACATCACATAGCATTACATCACAAAACAATACATCACACAACAATACATCACATAACACTACATCATAAAACAATAGATCACATAACAATAAGTCGCAGTGTAATGGCTGCATGAATGTTGCATGGGACTCGTGTTGGGGAGGCTCGGAGGAAATACTATTGTGTTTTGCAGCTAGACATCGTCAATCGCCGCGGCCTGCATGCGTCAGACTATTGTCCCTATTGTCTTTTGTAGTGCAAAGTTGTACTGGAAGGTACTCCGTGCAAGCTTTGTAATACAAAGTAGTACTGGGGAGCACTTTGTGCAAGCTTTGTAGTACAAAGTAGTACTGGGAAGTGCTTTGTGCAAGCTTTGTAGTACAAAGTCGTACAGGGAAGTACTTTGTGCAAGCTTTGTAGTACAAAGTAGTGCAGGGAAGTACTTTGTGCAAGCTTAGTAGTACAGTAGACAGGGAAGTACTGTGTGCAAACTTTGTAGTACAAAGTAGTAATGGGACGTGCATTCTGCAAACTTTGTAGCGCAAAGTAGTAGTACATGGAAGTACTTTGCGCAAGCTTTGTAGTACACAGTAGTACTGGGAAGTGTTTTGTGCAAGCTTTGTAGTACAAAGTAATACTGGGAAGTGCTTTGTGCAAGCTTTGTAGTACAAAGTGCGGGCATTGTAGTAGAAAGTAGTACTGGGAGTACTTTGTGCAGGGTTTGTAGCGCAAAGTAGAACTGGGAAGTGCCTTGTGCAAGCTTTTTAGTACAAGGTATTTGTAAAGGTTTTTTCTGTGTAAATGTATCTGTGTCTCAAGCTTTTGTCCGCAAAAACTTTCTGCGGTTAACGGCTTTTGTGTCCAACAGGTTTCTCTCTCACAGTAAAAGCTTTCTGACGTGCAGAAGAGCTGAGATGAGTTGAGAAGAACTTCCGTGAGATGAGAAAGCTTGAGCAGTGCCCAGATGAAATGAATAGTTAAGAAGAACTTACTTAGATGACATGTGAGAAGAGATGGGATGAGATGAGAGGAGCTGAGATGAGGTGAGAAGAGCTCACATGATTTGAGATGACATGAAGTGTGGAGTGTGAAGTGCAGGTGTGAAGTGTGAAGTGCGGGGTGTGAAGAGTGCAGTGTGAAGTGTGAAGAAAGTGCTCGCTTGGCGTTGCATTGCGCCGGGGTCGCGCGCAGGTCATGTTCTTGGACAACAACAGCGCAACAGGTTCGCACAAAGCACGCACGCACGGGCCTGGCTGGCGCACGGCGCATGCATGTTCTATAGATGAGAAAGCTCTTATATAATAGTATAACCTTAAGGCAACTTCCGCCCCGCCTCGTGCGGGTACTACTGGTAATGTGCAATCTTCCATGTCAGGCATGTGTTCAAACCAAACACCTGATGAGTGGGCAGGCTCTTCTATTAATAGTGCGGGCGTTCACCACTGTGTAGGATTTCATGGCTCATACATCTTTTACCCAAATTGATCAACTACACCTGCACCCAGATACGTAGAACATTTTTTTTTTGGACATTTGATTTCTTTGGTAAGATTTGAGATGTGGAGCTACTCAGTCGCACCCTACCCCATGCAGTGTGAAAACGCGTTTAATTTCTCTAGAATTTGCCGCATGAAATTGGTAGGGAAGAAATCACATATATATATATATATTATATATATATATTATATATATATATTATATATATATAATATATATATATATATGTGTGTGTGTGTGAAAAAAACAGAACATGAAACAAGTGATGGCTGGGCCCAATTTCACCGTATTTAACCATATTCCACCCACGTTTGATGGTGGTCCAATGTTTTTCTTATTGTTTTTTTGCTGGAAATGCTTGGTCCTTTTTTTGATGTCACAGCTTTCAGCTCCATGGGGATTACCAGCCCTCAGGAACAACAAGATTGCGAATACCTACTTTGCTTGAGCTGTCGCTATATGCTGTCGCAATTTGCTATCGTTGCATCGCCGACGCCACGAGGGCCGGCGACCTATTCTTGTAGCTGGGTTCCTTGGTTCAGGATGTGTTTTCCAGCGTGGAATTTTGCGCACTAAACCCGGCAGCCGCTGCACTGCGATGAAAAAAGGTTGCGTCTACCGTGACGTGTTGGACCCTGCAGTGTTTTGGAAGAGAAATGAAGGACAGCAGTTGGAAATATATCGACCTCACTGCGAGATCACTGGAATATAAATTCTTAGTATATATATGTTAGTATACGGTGTTTATCATATCATATCCGAAAAGGACCTTATTTATTGGTTGTTGAATTCATATCATTGATCCGGAAATGGTTGAAAAAGGCATCAGGAAAAGCGTCATGGCTTCCAGAGGCGGCCGGCAGACGGCTAAAGAGCAGAGGGAAAAGGGAGCAGATTTGGTGTCCTGGTCGCAGGGTGGGGCAGAGGAATGCAGGGGATGGTGATCATAGGTAAAGAAACAACGCGACCTCACAACGAGGTAAGCATAACTGCCGGTAGGCAAGGGAAGAATCTCCCAAGATTGGCCTCAAATTTTGATTTGGTATGGGAATGAATTATTGTAATAGTTCAGAATCACATTTTCACACCCATCATTCTGCAAAGCACTTGCTGTCGCACCCATGACTCCTGGCTAAAATTTTGATTACCCACCCTCTTCTCCTCCTCTCCACCTCGTCCTCAACCGACCTCCAGATCTCAGTGGGCACTGCTGGACCTCAACCGCGAGCGCCAGATGCCAGACAGAATGTCAGATAGAATGTCAGAATAGATGGCAGAATGAATGCCCTAAAATCATGCCAGGTAATATGCCAGAATAGATGCTAGAAAGGATGTCAGAATAGATGCCAGATAGAATGCCAGAAAAAATGTCAGAATATATACCAGACAGCATGTCAGAATGATTACTGTAGATGCCAGAAGAAAGAATGTCAGATAAGATGCCAGAGCATATGCCAGAAAACATGTCATATATATATATGATATGATACACGCCATAGATGTATGTATATATAATTTTATATATATATACACTTCCAGATGGTATGTCAGAAACTATGTCAGAAAAGTGTATCAGGGCGCGGATCACTCGAAGAAAGTAGTGATTGCGTTTTTTTTTTTGTGTGTGTGTGTGTCACGTTTCAGAATATATAGTCATCAGGTTTCAGTTTGGGTTGGTTACCTTTGGTGGGGCGCACCATCCGATTTCAAACATGTTACCCATACCCGATTTGTGATTTTTGAAATCCGGTACCCATGCCACCCATTGTTCCCATTTGGCTTTTTGAAGCAGCGGCTCACCCTGGCGTGTGCACCCTGAGGATGCTGATGTCTCATACCAGTGGCTTGGAAAGACAGTGAACCCCTTCTCAAAGATACTTTGTCACATGTTCCAGCTGCTGTCACATGTGTCATCATGTGCCCGTTGCTGAGGTAGGAATTTTGTAATTTTGTCGGATTATTGTTATAAGTTGTTATTGATGATTATTGAGTGGCGATGGGACATCACTCTGGCATCAAAACAGGCAATCCCAGAACCAAGACATGGCTATGTAAGTTCTCTCAGATCATCCATGGTATCAGCTTACGGCAAGGTGGTTGCGATTCTTCTTGGACGATGATGTGGAACTCAAAAAAATTGAGGAGCCATGAGCTGCGAGAGCCGCTATTCAAAGCCATCAGTCACGGCAGGTCATTTATACAGTGGTGAGAAAGGAACCAAGCAGATCTATAATGTACACATATTCTATTATGCGCTCCATTATGCATCATTATGTTCCAGTTGGAGCTTAGGAATTGATTTTCCCAACCACATGATAGTCATGATATGTGCATGTCATCCACACGTTGTAGCTGGCTGCAGCGGTCCGTCCTTGAAAGATTTGAAAGAGAACCCCTGCAAAGTAACTTCGGTTTGGGACATTTGCAGTTTCCCTGTGGAAGGTTCATTTTCATGCTAGATAAAACACACGCACACACAGACAGTCTTGTAATTGTGTGTGAACATTTACATACAGATACCTCCAGAAGAACTCTGCCATGCACCATGTGGATCCTATGGCCCTGCTGCATGGTGCTGTTGCCAGGAGCAGTATGGAAGTGGCCAGGGCGAGGACTACTGGAGCACTGGACAGGCCATTATTGAACCATGGGGGACCTTTGGGGACCTATGAAACCAGCGCATGGGTTGACCATCCAGATACATCCAGATTGTTGAGTTTGGACCCTGAGATGATAGAATATTTGTCAACTCAAAGATATTCTCCATAATATCACGACATGAACTGCTTCAGCTGGATTTGAAGCATCAAAGAACACAATCAAAGGGCACAACTTTATTCGCTGCCTCGCTGAGCAAGGCATATTTGTGCCATGTGGGTGTCTTTAAATTGGACAATATCTCCAAATGTGAGCCGCGTCAAATCCCCAGTAGTTCATTTTTAGTAAGGGAGTGGCAACAGGCAATAAGGACTCTGCGTGAGCAAAACCCTGGTGTGCATAAGCCCGCGTAAGCATCAGCATAAGCTATTCCTGCGCGCAAGCTAAAACTGTGGGTGCGCAAGGAGCACACAAGCGACCGCGCAAGCATTGCCTTAGCGCCTCCAGAAAGACAAGACCTTTTGGCCGCGGCTCATTTCAATGGGAAAATTATGATAAACAGTGATAAACCATGACAAACCATGATAAACCACCCAATTTAGGGGTATTTCATGGTATTTCATTTTCAGACAAACCCATGCAATGGAGGTCAAGAAGAAGCTGATCGAAGTACTAAAGGATCTCGTGAAAAGACACCAGGCCAGCCCAGCGTCGGTAGCCGCCAGGGCTTGGGAGATGGATGAGATGGTCTCAGGGCATGAAGCCAAGTGCACCCAAGCGCTGTTTTATGACACTCATTTGTTTAAGGGAAAACTATGTGAATGGGAATAACTCTCCAGTTTATTCCAACTTAAAGAGGGCATTCACCTATGGTTGATGGCTTGACGGGTTTTTCTTTTGCGATGCGATTTTGCCAAAGTGTTTTGTTCCCGCAAATGGCAAGATTATATAGTTCGATTACTCTTTGCCTATCATGGCAGGTCTTTGCTCGTTTTCTACGGCCCAAAGTTTATTACATGGAAAACCACCCACAGTCTCCAGCGCGACAACTGTGCTGTATCGCCGACCGCTGGGAACAAAATCCAAAGCAAATCGATCACCCTAGACCCCAATGCGCGGTCTTTTCCGTTTTGCATAGCTTGATCATGAAAGTTTCATAAGAGTGAAACAATCGTTGGGAGCTCCATCAAATGTCGCCATGCTGTGTTAGTACAGGTTGGTCCGTGTTCTACATTATTCAGTGCAAATGAAGATCTACTGCCCAGCTACAACGAGAGTTTTTTTGTATGGAAATAGTCCATTGAATATATTGAATATTAGATATGAGTAGATATGGTCTCATTTGGTTTTATCTTTCACAGAACATGGGCTACAGTAGCGTCAGACATGGGTGGCCCATCTCACGAGGAGATCCGGGCGAAGATCACCGATGAGGAGGTCCAGGAGTGGATGAAGGTGCGTCCCCTGGACTTTTGAGGCGCGGACCCTGGGTTTGGATCGCTGGATCCATGTTGGGATCCGAGAAATCTGTTGGGGAAGATTTAAATTCTTAGGAACGGGTGGAATATCTAGTGGAACCATGTGGAACCCATGAGAACGGCAACTGCAGGTGGCCCTGACGGCTGATGTGTTGGCAACACCTGCAGCTGGTGCTTAGCACTCTGAACAGCTGCATCGGTTTGTACAGTGCCACATGTGCCACGTGTGGTGGGGCGCGCTTTGGTGCGTACAGCTTTTTGCCATGCTCATGGGCTGCTCATGGCTGCTGACAGTCTAGTTGGAATTTAACATGAAAAGCATGGGTAACATGGCAATGGGAAGATAGCATGGAACCAAAACAACCCAGAGGTTGTTTTTGTTCGGTTGACACCAGCGATTTCAGTGCCCATGTGCATCGCTGTGCGAAGACCCTGCAGTATTGGACTGCAGCCACCAGCACGCAAAGCCAAGAACACAATGTCCTGCTTATGCTTCGAAGTGGTCATGGCGGTTGGCAAGGTAAGCCCCAGGGCCTCGCAAGGTCAGCGGCACTTCTTGTTTATTTTGACAACTGGATTTTGGTTTCAACAATGCCAGTTGTCACTTGGCACCCTGATTCAGGTATATAACCCATAAAAACCACCCAAATGGCCAAGTTGCTGTTGAGATGTGACTGTGAACTTGTGAAGCCAACAACTATAGTCACGCGTTGTTTGCAGCACCGATGATCACCCAGAGTGTTTATTGCACCCCTTTACATGGGTTGGTTCCAATCCCATCCATCAAGAAAGAACCCCCCTAGATTCTAGATGGAAGCCTCTAGGAATAGATCATATATGTAATAGAATTAATAGATGCCCTATAGGGCCAGGGTTTTTTGGGGCGGGCTTCATTAGGGGGAGAGGATACAATGACTCGATGACCAGCGTCAAGCTCAGGCTTTGCACGAAGGGAATGATTGGATGTTTCTTAAGCCACCGAAGGATTTGGCAGAAGGCCTAGGGGCCTTTGTACGCACTGGGAACCGGGGACCCTATCTGGAGTTTTCAATTTTTTAGATGACCCCAAATTCAGATAGTCGGACTAAGGTTCTACTTGGTAGAGTATTATGTATTGATGGGTAAATGGCTGATGCTTAACCCCCGGGTGTTTGACAATGGATTATAGGTGGTAAACGGTCTGGTGTTTGATGCCCTATGGACCGACGTTCATTTGGAAACTGTCAAGGCTGTCAGTGCCCAGAGGAACAGCCCTCATTTGCGATTCATTGGGCACATTGATTATGCATGTGGGCGATTCATATTACAGATTTTTTCAGGGTAGCTGGGTTGGTGGTGGGGTTTCCCTGGTGAAAGTTAGCAGAGTTAAAGTGGGGGCGTGGTGCGGAAATGCGCTCAGATGATTGCACAAGATTTGTCTGGAAAATTGAACAAAGCCATTACGTGCTGCGCACGTTTCTTTTGTCAAATGCCATATGATTCCGATTTCTTCACAATGTTTCAACTACCAGCAACCACCATTCTGCAGTATCCGGCCATTTCGCCCAATTTGGGCCACTTCTGCCAGATGGTGAGTGAGAAATTGCCAGCCGTGGTGGTACTGGAGGACTGGAGCTCCGGGCTCGGTCCCTGCTGAGGATGGACCCCAACATGACTGCAATATACAGGATTATGCAGGTAAACATGGGAAAACCCCGCGTGTATACATATACATACATATATATATATATCTCTCTCTCTCTCTCTCTCTGTGAGTGCATTTACTGTATATTTTAAAGATCTATTTTTTTAATGATGTTTAATGATGTAACATCATTTTCCCTGACAATTTATTCATCTTTTTTTTGGTGGCATCCCTGTTTTAAAGACACCTGAACAGGGGTGGAAGAGGGACTATACTAATTACTGTAGAGATAGATGTTGGAATGGTGGCTGGGAAGCCAATGCCCTGCACAGTGGTGTTTGCACAGCCACGATCAGCAGATGCGCGCCATCTCCGCTTCTGAGACTGCTTTTGTTGCTACGTGAGGTTGGTGTCCAATACTTGTCAAACATGATTTAAATGCAAGTGTCGTCAAATTTAATTTCCATGGTGCTCACAGCATGTCTTGTGCGTTTTACTTTATGCCCATCTCCTCCCCATTTAGCAAGAAACCATGCCACTAAGTTTAATCTTTAGCAGTTGAGTTTCCACCACAAGACCTTTCGAATCCTTTGGACCCATCATTTGGGATCCTAGGGTCGGCTATGAGGACGACGTGCGTTTAGTGGAGGGCTTCAGCGACAAGCTCTTAAAACTCATGGACGAGCTCCCTGCGGATTGGGAGGCCACATGCAGCATCTTCCAGCCTTTGGGGATATCATGGGGTATCCATGTCTTAGATCCCATTGTCAAATTTTGCAGTTGCCCGATTTTCTACAGTTCAGTGGGTGAAAACTTCAAGAAATTGCTACTGAGCTGCTACTGGATATGGATAAAAACAGTAAAGATTCAAAATGAGATTGTTTGAAGTTCAATGCAATTTGGATTGGATGTGTGTGTGTGTGTGCAACGTGATGTAACGTGATGTAACGTGATGTAATGTGATGTAACGTGATGTAATATGATGTATTGTGATGTAATGTGATATAGTGTGATGTAATGTGATGTAATGTGATGTAATATGATGTAGTGTTATGTCATGTGATGTAATGTAATGTAATGTAATGTGATGTTTTGTCACGTCCTGTTTTGTAGTGTGCAGCATGTAGTGCATCCAGTCATGTAACAATGTGCGTACGCTATGGTGTGTGGTTCTGTGTTATGTCAATGTCATGTTACGTTATTGTAGGTTATGTATGGTTATGTTATTTTGTGTTGCGCTGTGTTTGTTTATGGTAAGGTTCCCTCGAGGGCGTCGCGGAGTGTTGTCGTTTTTTCATGTTTGCGTTATTTTCGAAGCATCCATTTCATGCCACGTTTTACAGTGTTTTCTTCTGCTTCGTTGCATTTTCTGCTCTTTTTTACTGTGTTTTTTGTGACGTGCTTCCTGTGATAGTTGCGTGTCGGCATGCCAGGGTTTGCTTGGAGGGTGGGGTGGGGGGGTGGGGGGGTGGGGTGGGGGGTTGGGGGGGGTTGGGGGGGTGTTGGGGGGGGGGATGATAACGTTCTTGTTTATTAACGTTCTTGCATCTGCGTTCTTGACACGCTTTTCACTTCTGCAAGTGACGGTTTGACACGCGTTGAATGTTTTGGTTTTGATATGTTGACGTTGGTGTCCGGTGGCGTGTGGGCATGGGGTTGGGTTTGGGGGATTACAACGTTCACGTTAACCAGCGTACTTGCAACTACTTCCTTACACGCATTTCTTATTTGCAATTCATATCATCATCATCTCCAACATCATCATCATTATCAACATAATCATCATCATCATCATCATCATCATCAACATGATCATCATCGTCAACATCATCATTATCATCATCATGATCAGCATGCCCATCATCACTATCAACATCATCATTCTCATCATCATGATCAACATGATCATCATCATTATCAACATCATCATCATCATCATCAACAACATGATTATCAACATGATCATCAACATGATCATCATCATTATCATCATCATCAATCGCTTCGGTGAGGTAAAAAAAAAGTTACTTCGGAGACCCCTCTTGGAAGATGCATTTTAAAAAACTTCACGAAATGCAGGTTTTAAAGGCGTTGTGCGTTGAAAAACGGGCGACGCCCTCGAGGGGACCTTCCCTTTGTTTATGCGTATGTTCATGTGTATGCGACATATGTATACATATATAAATAAATAAATACATAAATAAATAAATACATAAATAAATAAATAAATACATAAATAAATAAATACATATAATATTATACTGTGTATACATAATATATATATATATATTATATATGTATATATATATGCATTTATGTATATATATATATATATATATCTGTGTGTGTGTGTTTGTGCCCTTTTTTTCGGCGAGATATGATCAGATATGCCTGTGCCTCAACAACTTCATTGCCAACTCATCATAAACCAGCAAGCTCCACATCACTGAGACGCCAGGTGTGTCTACTTGGGGCCATTGCTCCTTGGCACCACTGTGCTTGCCAGGTCTGGCAAGAGCCTCTGGTAATCGAACAGGTTGCAATGAAAAATAACCCAGGGCCCATTGATGACTTTCCTTAGCAGACTGTCAAATTACCTGGTAGTCGGTGAGTTCCATTGTGAACAGTTTGGAGTTACTTTCGCTTTATAGTGGAAAATCCAGGTCCAAACTGGCTTGGTGATTGTTGTATATTGTTTTTGGCGTTCAACCCCATCGTGGGCTGTTTCATTCAACAGTTGTAACACACACACACACATATATATATATATAATTATATATAGAGATAGGTATAATTAGACATATATATATATATACATGTATCTTATGTTTTCTATTTATATATATATAATTATATATACATAGTATATAGTGTCTGAAGATCTATGTCTACTCAAATGGATCTAGTTAGCAATTAAAGCGGGCAGCCAGTTGCAGCTGTTACCTTCCCTGCAACTTGTTCCATCTCAGACCTCAGCTGAGGGGAATATCAATCCTGATGTGGAGCCCTTCCACATGAAGATGCTCGGCAAAGCCACGGGATGACCTGTGGCATAGTTACTTTAGTGTGGCACTAGGTTTTTCCTCCACACTTTCAAGCGGCCTCACAGCCTAGTTCACCTGGACCACTCAGAACGGAACATAGATTTTCAGTATTTGGGTTATGTTTAGTAATAGAGGGGAAGGGTTCGAAGAAGAATATCCGCTGTCCCTTTCGAATTGCCAGACGTTTGATTTGGCCAACATCCAACGTGTTTTATTTTCATGTGTTCAGCGGGAGGATGCTATTAGTGCCCCAACATCGATATCACCATACCATGGAGCTGGGGTGATGGTGCCCATTGATCCTCCACCCAGGCTGTATTCCTTTTGCCGCTTGCTCAATGTCAGATGATGTTGAGATTCTTTGGCAATGATCCAACTTGGGAATACTAATAACATGTGATAAGCATCAGTGCAAATATCGTCACGTACTGCGTTACTGCATGCTCAAGACGCAGACGCAGGGTCAGTTCGGGGATGTGGCCATGAGGTCTTAAGATGAACATATGTCAAGCTGATGCAGCCCAGCAATGATTCACCGGAGACGCGGCTTCCGCCACGACCTCTTGAAAGGTTTCAGTATAGCAGATATCAAATTCAACTCAAGTCTTGCAACTGGACTTGTGCCTGAGAAAGGTTCATATATCTAGCTAATCATGATTAAATCATGATTATGATTAAATTAACATCATGCACCCTTTGGTAAACAAACATAGCTATTGAAATGGCAATTTATAGTTGATTTACCCATTTCAAATGGTGATTTTCCATAGTGCCATAGTGATTTAAGTATGTTTACCAGAGGGTAACCATGCCATGAACATCCATGAAATCTGATGAAATCAAGAGATCTGCCAACCCAGGAGCCCTTCTTAGCTCCGAGGCGTTGGGGGAGGGCGACCATCCCCGGGAAAGACCCGGCGAGTGTCGTTGGGAGACTCAGAGATTTCGGCTCAGTTTTAGTCCATTGGGGTTCCAAACTCATCCAAACACCAGTTTTAGATTTCTATATGCTGTATCTATATGTATTTATTGTGTAACTGTTTAACTATATCTATATACTATCATATCTAGATGATTTGTGTACGTATAGTTATCGCCATATAAATTAAAGACATGGTAAGACATTATTAGTATTATTATTATTATTTATGATAGACTGTTTTTTGAGTGTTTTATCCGTTGTTCTCCATTCTATTCTTTGGTCAGAGCCTGCAGCTCAGGAGACAAAAACAATCTCAAGAGAGAGAGAGAGAGAAGGGTACTCAAGGGAGTTAATTCATGAGGGGGGTTACCCCAAAATGTTTGCGATAGGAATTCCTAGTAAGATTGATACCCCACCTAGTTGCTTCAATCAGTCAAATGAAATGAATGAACCACATGAACGAATATGCACATGGAATTGTAGTGAAAAACCATATGTGTATATATATATATAACGACAAAACAACTAAAAACTTCACAAAATCAATACCCGATCTTGCATCTACAAAAGCGAAAATAAAGGGAGGGAACGTCCAGGTACACAGCTGGTTAGCATCCAAAAATAATCCTTTCCCCCTAACACCAAACCCCTGCTCCCTTGATAATAAACACCTGGAGTAGTTTCCATTGTTATAGGGAGTATTAGTATTAGGTGGGTGTGAATTTTGCTTTTGTGATCACAAAAACATTCACATTGTCCATTTCAAGATCGATAGCATCCCTTATTAAAGTATAACTGAAATATTGAAGATGTGCAATTTCAATATCGATCAAATGCCTCATATTCCCTCATTAAGATCTAGTTGAGTTATTGCCAAACATTGGCTTTCGATCTTTCCCCTAATAATAAAATCAAGCCTTCATATTTTTGTTAACAGCTAAACATGTCCTTTTCAAAATCAAATAAACAAAGTTCCTTGTGAAAATGTAGTTAGATATTGACACATTGTAAAAAAAAACGTCACTGTTGAAGCTTTCCCCTCACAATCAAATCAACATCTTAATTTAAAAAAAGATGCATTATTGTCAGTGATCATAATAACAAACCGCCCCCAACCAACTAGATTTTATTACTAAGGGGGGTAACCTTCAAACGGGACCTTGATTTTTGAATTGTCCGAGCAAGATTGATTAAAAATCATATTGATAAAATTGAATGTTCCCAACATTGAGAGAGGACCCTAGCTTTTATTATTTGGTGAGCCTTCAGCAACAGGGGGAAGGGATTATAATAGGGACATAACCGAGTGGCATGATAATCTTTCAGGCAATAGTTTGAAGTGCTTCTGTGATTGTTCCAGGCAATAGAAAGTGTGGTCTTATCATCCAATAATCTTCCCTCCATCCCCCATGAAATTTCAACAGGTTGTGATGATGCATAAAGAAACATCATGTCAGGTTGGTGTGTTTTTCCCTTCCATGTCTCTTACTTGTCCTTAGGGAATGGGGGAATGGGTTGTTAATAGTTGTGAAGGGTCATACCCCCATTCCCTACTAAGCACATCTAAGCACCAGTAAGTTCTGCGATTGCTCCGCAGGGACAATGTCTTTGTGCCGCATCGACCTGCAGGTCTGGCAGTCCAGTTGACTTGGACAACTTGGGTTTGATATACAAGGTCGCCCCCCAGTTATGTTTGTTGGTTTATAAACCCCATGAATGGTTCAAGATATCATGATATATCATGAATTCGGGGTCTCCACCTTCAGAAAGCCAGGTACCCATGCCTACTTGGCCGAATCCTTGGTGGATTGCATGGTTTAGTTTAGTGGAGTCAAAGCTGAGGAAACCATAGGGAAGCACAGGAAAGCCATGGTATAATATGTATAATGTGGTTTGTATTCCGAAATATTTGGGAGTTTCCCAACGAACCTTGCCCTCCCATCCTGAATTCTGGACACCAACTCAGGTGTCCCTGAAAGGCGCCGAACGCTTGGTGAAGGCCTCTAGATGCCTCTAGGGACCCTAGGGTAGCTCTGGATCTCTTTCTATACTGCTTGGTGCTTTATTTTGGTCCATCTTCAAGCGAAATTCTCCATGTTCAAGCGAAATTCTCCAAGGACACGACATGAATTTCAGGAGCGGAATGTGAAGCCTGATGAATCCGGGGGAGGTCACCCCCAAAAAAAAGTTACAAAACCGGTATCTTGCTATATCCAACTATTGTTTGCCACCATAAAAAAGGAGGACTACATGAGACTATATATATATATAAGTCCATCACTTTGTATCACTTTGTTGGTTAAATCGTCCAAAGTGGTACTGAAGTCCTAGAGATTCACAGCCCCAAATTCACGTCTTTTGTCCATGTCCAGGAGCTTCCTTTGGCGTGTTACCATGTGGACCTGACCGCCTGGAAACTCAAGGGTTCAACGGAAGTTCAACGGGTTCACCGGGAAAAGAAAGTGGGTACCAGTCCTACCAGGGATGCGATTCAGTTCCCATGGGGCGCTGAGCTGCAACGACAAGCTGAACCAAGCTGAACCAAGGCCTGGTCTTTGCCCAACCTGAAGCTGTACGCAGCGGTGAATCAGATCGCCACACAGGCTAGCCTTTCCGAATATGCGTAGGTTAGCCGAATGCTTGTTAGATGGTCTTGCTTCTTTTGTTTTCAGCCGGGAGTCTTACAGTACCCAACAAAAAACAGAACACATAGCAGCTGGTTTGTGAACAATTGTGTCCCTGTAAACGGGCTACCATGCTCCAAAAGTGTCCGTCCGTGATACATCGTGATACCCTTCAGTAAACATAGCAATGGACAATCCCTGATGTCAATCATGGTTAATCCAATGTTAATCCACATTTAGATCTGGTTGGTGGTTTCACACATGTTTTATTTTCCATAATGTATATATATATATAATATATATATATATGGGATGTCATCCTTCCCATTGACAAACTCATATTTTTCAGAGGGGTAGGTCAACCACCAACCAGAGATAGTCTTGTGTACAGATCATCAGATTGTAGCCCCTCAACAGAGCACAGATCCTCGCAGATCAGGACTTCGAGGCGGCCTCCACAGCCTCAGAACCTAGGAAAGTCATGGTTCCGGGGGTTCCTGACATGGAGGTACCCAAGAATTGATGGCAAAAAATGGAACGTGTTCAAAATGCTATGACCATGGGTGATTTGGGGGTGCCCCCATTTCAGGAAACCTCCATGTGTATCCATTGAGGCACTTATATTCAGGGATGTAAGTAAGATTGAATTGGGAAAATAATGGTTCGCTCAATAAACCCAGATTGTTGGGGCTGGTCACCCGGCCGACCGGACTCGAACCAAAATCTATAGACTTACTTGTCAACCAACCAATCCCAGATATCGAAAATCCCAGAGGTACATAAGATTTCAAAACATATTGGGACACCATGTTTCAAGTTTTTGTGCTAACACTTAGGATGGGGGTTGAACCATTATATGTCCCAGGTGTTTCATGTACCCAATGATTTGGGGGAACGGTACATGTTGTAACAAAGGGACACTTATGTTGTCCCCCCATCACAATAACGACTAATATATATATATATATATACTATATCCACATCGATCTACCTACCTACCTACCTATCTATCTATCTATCTATCTATCTATTTATCTATCTATCTATCTAATCTAATCTAATCTATTCTAATCTAATGTAATCTAATCTAATCTAATCTTATCTATCTATCTATCTATCTATCTATCTATCTATCTATCTATCTATCTGATCTTATATTATCTTATGTTTCTTATCTTATCTTATTTTATATTATCTTATCATTATCTTATCATTATCTTATCTTATCTTATCTAATCTATCTATCTATCTATTTATCTATCTATGTATCTGTGTGTGTGTCATAGCTGCAGGGCCCTTTAGGAAAACACATCCGAGGTTTCTAAGAGTGGCGCAGCCATGACGTCGCGCTTCCTGCAATGGGCTTGGACTGTTTCAGGCGCATGGATGAGCTTCAAAACTGTTGGGGAGGGGTTCACATGCCTCCCACAACTTTCCTTTTGGCAGTGCCAGTTCTATCCTATCCTATGCATTGCCGGGACACAGTTCTATGGTTTGTACTGAAGTGCAAGAAAACGCGATTGTCATTGGACTGAACTTGTGACATGGAATGGGGACAGACCCGGACATCTATGTGTTTGCTCGTCAGTTGCAAGTATACATGTATCCCATCAAAAAAACATGTTCAAACTGTTAATTATCACCCAAGTTGTCTAAGAGCGTCTAAGGGATTTGACTTTTTAACGTCAGAGTGGATCCGTCAATATAGGCCTCATTGCGGCAGATTGGGCGCCAGTCAGCCGTTGGTGTCCCAATAGTGAAGGAGACAAATCAATGAGAGATCATTGGAAGCGCCATGACTTTGAGCCGCCACTACACGAATATCATGTTGTCACCTGTCATGTATGATTATTATAGATGCATGCATACGTACGTACGTACGTGCCTACATACCTACATACCTACATATACCTACATACCTATATATGTACATAATATATTTATATTAGGGGCAGATGACATGGGAATAAGTGGGGATTTGTTACCCCGTACGTTGAGCAGATGACATGAACATGGTTTTGTCCCGAAACATGTGCAGGCAGATGACTTGAGAGTTGTCGACAACCCGATTATTTTTTTTTTGTGCGCCGCCATTTTTGGGTTTTGATAGCAGATTACATGAAAGAGACTATGTGACATGTTTGGTCGCTTATGACCAAGTCATGTGTTCATGCACCACTGCTGCACAAGGGCGAAAAAACACTGCTGCCTACGTCACAAAAGCACATGAGATGAGTTCTCAACTCTGGCTTCGGGAATGCTCTTGGTGAAATGACAGTGAGCCCTTAGCTGAATCTTTGCACCTGCTCTTACACGCTTGAAGGCCATGTCACCATGTCTAAATATATTTTAAAAACTAATTTAAATTTAGAAAGTTGAGAGCTCGTCATGACATGTGCTCGGGGGGCCTGGTGTCGAAACCCCAAGGTGAACCGGGGTCAAAACCAGCTTACAATGTCAATTTCTACGTTCCCTGTTTTTAGTTGAGAGCTCGTGACATGTGCTCTGGGGGCTTGGTGTGGAAACCACAAGGTGAACCGGGGTCAAAACCAGCTTACAATGTCAATTTCTACGTTCCCTGTTTTTTGTTGAGAGCTCGTGATATGTGCTCTGGGGGCTTGGTGTGGAAACCACAAGGTGAACCGGGGTCAAAACCAGCTTACAATGTCAATTTCTACGCTCCCGGGTCTTTTGTTGAGAGCTCATGACATGTGCTCCGGGGGCCTGGTGTCGAAACCACAAGGTGAACCGGGGTCAAAACCAGCTTACAATATGAATTTCTACGCTCCCTGTTTTTGGTTGAGAGCTCATGACATGTGCTCTGGGGGCCTGGTGTCGAAACCACAAGGTGAACCGGGGTCAAAACCAGCTTACAATATCAATTTCTACGTTCCCGTGTCTTTAGTTGCGAGCTCATGTCACGTGCTCTATAGGCCCGTACACTTTCCAGAAAAGCAGAAAAGAACAACCAGAATCAGGGATGGAAAAGGAGAAAACTGTGGGTAAATGGTTGCAATGTCTGCAGAGGCCGAGCCATCAACTGGATTGAGGCCGCACACAGGCGGGGAAGAAGGAAAACGGGCACCAGCTACCTGGCCCGACAGGTGAAAAGACGGAGGGAACACAATGGGAAGGAACAAAACCATCAACAGGCGGGCCCAGGTCGGTGGCAACCGGGGGAAGACGACAGGGACAGCAAAGGGAGGCCTCCAGGCGAGCAGGCTCCAACAGGTAACCGCAACGGGGAAAGCAGAACGAGTAAATGAGAAATGGTGGGTACATGGTGGGTAAATAAAAAAACGTGGTTTTATATTAATATTATTTCAGGAAACCTGTAGATGTGTCATCATGCATGCTTTGTTTATGTATGTTTCATAATTACGTTTTGAATGTGTTGTGCATGTGTTTGGAAATTTTGGGCATAATTTAAAATGTGTTATGAATGTGTTTTGGACATATTGTCTTCAAAATGTGCTGGTTTTCTGTTGTTTTTGCTGGTTTTGCTGCTTTTGGAGAAATATGCCCACCCTTTTTTCTTCATTTACCATTCAAAACCAGCATACCCGTGTCTTTAGTTGAGAGCTCAAGTCATGTGCTCTGGGGGCCTGGTGTCGTCACCACAAGGTTAACAGGGCTCAAAGCCGCTTTACAATTACAATTATAATTTTGTTTACGTCTTACCTGATTGTTTTTTTGTTTGTGTTTGTCTGCAATCTTGCTTGAAGGCCAGATCGTCCATTAAAACCCATCGAACAAGAAAATTGCCAAAAGAAACCCCGTGGAGGGGACGGGAGGAGGGAGAGGGGCTACAGTCGGCTCCACCATTGCTTTGCGTGTGTGCATGGTGTTTGTGTATTGTTGGTGCGCAACCTTTTTTTTTTGTGATGACATGACATACAGGTGAATATCACGTGAATGAAAAGTGTCATAGGGCAAACCTATGTTTTTCATATGTTTTTTGTGTTTTTTCAGATGGGCTGGAGATCGCATGTCATGAGCTCATATGTTTCGGAGGCAGGCGTAACAAAAACCTATCGCAAAAAATAGGTATGGTACTTTTGGATACTGTTGGTACCTAAAGCAGATGACATGTTCGCTGTTTTTGTGTGTCAAAGAAAAGCGCACTTGGGAGATTACATGAGAATAGTGTTTTCATGTGTTTTCTAAAGTGCCTTTCACTACACTAATGTCATGTGAGCACAGTTCATATACGTGTACAGTATATATATATATATGTATATTATCAGTATACACTCATCCTCATCATCATCATCATCATCATCATCATCATCATCATCATCATCATCATCATTGTCATCATCATCATCGTCATCATCATCATCATCATCATCATCATCATCATCACCATCATCACCATCATCACCATCATCATCAGTCACCAACCATCAATAATCAATCATCATCATCATCATCATCATCATCACCATCATCATCAATCACCAACCATCAACCATCAATCATCATTCATCAATCATCACCATGTGCACGATAATTCTCATAATGCGGTCAACCCCTGGGAATCCCACAACGAGAGTCCAATGAACATGTGTCATATTAGGCAACACCATCATACTTGGGGTTGAAGGGTTGCATCCCGCATAAGTTGGGACATGACTTGCATATCTTAGGGCAAATTATGGTTATGCATTATAGCATAAGGAACTGCATGCCCCTGTGAATTATTGTAAATTTACCAAAGTGCCCAACCCCGAACCAAAAGCGCTTCGTCACATCTCTGTAAGTTCACATGTGGGTTAACAGAACAAGAAGCACCCCCCCCCAGACATGACGTGTAAAAAGAAGGCTTGGGTGCCATGGGCAAAGCCGGCGGTGTGCCCGGGAGCCCCGATATACCACTGGCGGTTGATGTACGGTGGCGACAGCGGTGCATATTTGAGGGGATGAACATCCATGAAATTTGATGTTCACCAGCGGATTACAGTGGTTTTGAACCATTCCCATATTTTCTGACATATGCAATCGTACATGAGTCATGCATATACATTGCATGTGCAATCACATACGCATGTATGTATATATATATATATGTATTTTTGATACTTAGACTTACATATATATATATATATTTATTTATTTACTTTTTTATTTTTTTTTTTTATATTGTTGAATCGATAAACAAATTTAAATAATTAATTTTATAATATATATATAAGAGTGTAAAATATGAATGTATATATATATATATATATGTTTATATGTACGTTTGTGTGATGTATATTTCACATAAGCCATCATCCAGGTGGATCGGTTTGGAAGGCCACCACTTGGTTTTTCATCTCGCCGTGGTGGCCTTTTCCAGTTCAAACTGAACTGGACACCCCTCCGCAAGCAAGGCAGCTCGTCCACAGTCAGTTGTCGTGCCAATGCAGTTCCATGTTTGGTAGATTCTTGATGGTTCTAGAATGCAAATGGTGTGTTTGATCATTGATACCTGGATGATTATTTACAATACTTGTAAGTCCATGTAATATAGCGTGTGTGTATACATATAAGAGTGAAACAATGGGAGTCAGACAATTAAAACAAATCAGAACATAAACAAAACAATGAATACAGACAGTACATCACGCATTATCGAACATTATCGAACTATGTTTTAATCGTATATATGATGAAACATGCATACAGATATGCCCACAATTAATTTAGTTTTTTTGTTGGTTGGGTAGAGCGTATAGCAAAATCTGTTTTTTTTAGGTCTTTCCATGTCCACACATTGGTTGACAGATTGTTCCGACCTGAGGCAATTGTCAAATTCTTGTCAGGACAGGGGATGAGCTTTGGTTGTGTCCCGCCAAGATATGTCCGAGAACTGACCGCATTGAACAACGTTTGGGTGACCCAAGATATGATTTTTCCCCACTTGCCAGGTGAGGGTCTCTAAATTTTAGTTTCGCAGAGTTGCTTTCTACTCCTCGTCCTTCTCCTTCTCCTCCGGCACTGCCGGACCTGAATCGCGAGTTCCAGATCACAGTGGGCATTGCCGGACCTCAACTGCGAGCTCCAGATCACAGTGGGCAATGCCGGACCTCAACCGCAAGCGCCAGATCTCAGTGGGCACTGCCGGACACCAACCGTGAGTTCCAGATAGCAGGGGGCACTGCCGGACCCGAACTGCGAGAGCCAGATGTTAATTGGCACTGCCAGACCCCAACTGCGAGTTCCAGATCGCAATGGGCACTGCCGGACCCGAACTGCGAGAGCCAGATGTTAACTGGCACTGCCCGACCTCAACTGCGATAGCCAGATCTCAGTGGGCACTGCCGGACCCGAACTGCGAGAGCCAGATGTTAACTGGCACTGCCCGACCTCAACTGCGATAGCCAGATCTCAGTGGGCACTGCTGGACATCAATTCCGAGGGGAAGATGTCACATAGAATGCCAGATGCAATGTCAGAAGAGGTGTCGGATAGAATGCTTGTTAGAATGTCAGAATATATATGTCAGATCGAATGCAGATAGAATGTCAGAATAAATGCAAGATAGAATGCCAGGATATATGTCAGATCGAATGCCATATAGAATGTCAGAGTATATGTCAGATCGAATGCCAGATAGAATGTCAGAGTATATGTCAGATAGAATGCCAGATAGAATGTCAGAGTATATGTCAGATAGAATGCGAGATAGAAAGTCGGAATAGACATGCCAGATGAATTTCAGTTGGCAGGGATCACTCAAACAATCTTCAGGGGTATTTTGATGGTGTCCTGGAGGTTTCCTTTGGTGCGTCGCTGTGTTTCCTGCAGCCTGGGAGGACCCGCGCCAATCTGCACAATTCAAAATGGCTGGAGAAAACTCGCAGAGTCAGGTTGCTTCAGTTGCTTGATCAAGCCCGCGCATGTGTCTATGGAGTTGTTTTTTGTTGGGGATTGGTTGAATCATAGGATCTTTTGATATTTATTGCGAGCATCCAGTGCCAGCAATGTTTGATCGTTTCTGGTTTGTTTTGTGGGGAGGAATTTGCTGTACCCAACTTGGTGCCTGATAGGTTGCTGAAAGGTGGCAGCTCTCCCAACCCACCTTCCAGTAGAGCAAAAACAATTAAACAACAACTGAAACAAACGCAATGCACAATTTGCCATGTGTAGATGATTTTGTCCACTAAATTGTGGAGTTTGTGCGAGGTTTTGTGCTGCAGGATGTGTCTAATCGCTGTCAAACCCATCACGAGGTCTGGCAAACGATCCTTATTGGCACCTTGGCGATGAAAACAATCCACCTTGTGAACCACCTAGGATGTAGATTGAACGAAGAAATATGATTAAATGACCATGTGGGTCAAAAGTTTCGAGGATGTGAGTTTGCCAACTGATGCCCTTCTTGTTCAGAGAGGATTGGAACGCGGAAGGCTGGAGATACCTTAGGAGACTAGCGTCGTTGGGTCTTGCGGGGTTTCGCCCTACCATCACTCACACTAATCCCTTCCTCTTAGCATGAATTTCCCCGATTTGGGCCCCACAAAATGAATTGGTCCAATGCCAAACCTGGAGATTTTGGGGTGTATTTGAGAATTAGTAGCGGAATGAGGTTGTTCAGCATGGCCAATGAAGCTCACGCCCCAGGCACGGTCTATATTGTGACAAGTTCCACGTTGATTTCTTTCAACAAATACCTGATGCAGCCCGGGAGGTTCACCGGATGGATGGTGATAGCTGCGATGTCCAAAACGAAAGATCCCAGGTGTGTGTGTCCCCCAAAATTGGGCCAGGGGAGCAATTGCATATAATTGCATACTTACTGATGTACCTGAAGGTACATCAGGGGTTTGCTGTGGATGTTCCCCTATGCCCGTCCGTTTCCAAGTATCTTAACGTGGCAGGACCAGTTTTGATAGCAATTGGCTCGACATAGGTCGCAGATGCGACACGAACAAAGTTGTTACATAGAAGAGCAAGAGCATCAGCCCATCACTCCTAACCTGCTGTATCCTGTCAACAGTAGATCCACGTTTTTCCTCTCTGTGGACGCTTAAGCTTGTGGGACCTGAATTACAATAATTTTCCAATTTCTACCCATACTATTGGGGTTTCTTATGAGAGTACTGTGTGAATGGGGGTCCCATCAGGGGATCACAACATTCCCAGGTTCTCTCACGCTGTCCACCTCACCGCCTTCCATATGGTGCCTTGGAGGATACAACCTGCCGACGGGGCCAACACCTGGTCCCCGGACAATGTTGTCTTGTGATAATGTGTGGGTCCCCCAGAACTTGTCCAGACAGATTAGACTTTGAATACTGAGGAAACTATTTGTACAGCATCTGGGGCTTCAGGATTGAGTTGATGCATTTTATACCACACACGCTTCTTCAGGTGGTCACGCTGGTCCTTTCGTTGGCTTTCTACAAGGTAGCGCCACAGTTCCTTTGCTGCAGTTCCGCAGGGGCCACCTGCTTCAGTAAAATATATGTATATAGATATTTAAAAAACACGTTGGAAGTCAACCAAACTGAGGTAATATGTAGATATGTATATAAAAAAAAGGTATATATAAGTTATAATATATATATATAGATAGAAACACATATACATATAGATATATAAATAAACAAATAAAACAATGAATAAATAAATATATAGGTGCGTGTATTTGGCCTCGTGCTGTTCATCATTTGAGCATATGAACTAGTCTCAGAAGGGACATGAACTGATGTTTCGTGCACATTCTTTATTCTGCACAGATGTCACTGCGATACTCCCCTGCCGCTGGAAGCCCGCCGCCACCAAGGTTTTATCCATCCATGGCTATGGCTAAGGCTGGGTCGCAAATGCTGGGGCAAAATTGTCGTACAGTTGTCGTCGAGAGAATCAAACAGCGATTCCCTAGTATGTTCCTTGCGTTTTACTGTGTTCTACTGCTTTCTTTCTATTCTTTTCGGAGACCTAACTGAAAACAATCCATATATGGAATTTGTTTAAATTGCTGGAAGCATGTTGGAGGATGTCCAAGGAAAGCATTCTGGTTGCTTCATTAGCTGGCATTGCATTGGCCCTTGCTTTTCAGGAACCAGCACATATGCTGCATGACCTGCGGTCCACCCATGGGTGGCCCGATGGAAAGACATGGAAATCCTGCAAGAGTGGATAATGTTTCACACTCAATCATACTGATGTATATATAAAGTATCATAAAGTATTTGGATACATAACATATATATACATTTAAGTTATTTATATTGCATGCTGTACACAGGTGTGCTGAAGTGTGTATATCAATATATATATATATATTACATAGATAGATACGCGTAGAGCCGTTGAATGCCATGCGCACAATGTGAATTCAGATGGATTTAATTGCAGCATGTTTCAAGCAACTTGGTAACTTGTCCATTTTCTCCACGGCCATTTCGCGCAAGGCGAATATTTGCCAAGTGGCGAAATGGATCGCTCCGTTGGGCTTTCTCTTCGCTCTAGCATTGCATCTCGGCGAAAGGCTATCGTGCATTGAGGACGGAAACCAGCAGGATATGATATTAGATATCATATATCCAACATTTGATTTATATGTGAAATCGGCATTGATACTTGACGATCTCAATTTCCAGACACGGCGGAGAATTGTCAGATATACAGGGTCGGAGGGTTTCATTACCATAGCAGTCACATGCATCGGATTAGCCTTTGTAGTAGGCCTTTGCATAATAGGTGTATTCATTTGGCTTACCGAGATAGCCATTATCATTCGTGGCAGCCGCCTGAGGTATTGCTCGATGCTTGGTCATGGAGGCAGTTGTGGGAAGATTATGTGTGATTATGCATGCTTTATATGTGTTTGCATGATTTTGCATAGCTGTTGGAGTAACGGTACTGCGATACCCACTGGGGCATCTATGGCATCCAATATTTTTTAATCGGTTCAAGGCATTTGGCTATCCGAATTGGGACCTTTAAAGGCCAGCACCTTTGGCCTGAGCAATCCCATGTGGAGATTAAAAAAACTGGATCTCATTTTCTGTAGCCCCCTGCGTGCACATGTAGGGATGGTTTGTGGTGAGGCAACTCTGTTTTTTGGAGGCTTGCACTGTTGTACATGTACACAAGAGAGAGAGAGAGAGATATATACATATATATATATATATATTCAAAAAGGACTTAACGAGTAAGTAGGGGCTCCCCACTTGTGTTCCAAGCTCCCAGCATGATGTACTACAAAGAGACATGTCCTCTTACAGGCCATCAAACCGGGCTGAAGGTTGATTCTTTCCAGCACCATTAGTCACCCCAAAAATCGCGCAGCGTTTGGTGTTGCATGCATAAACAGATACATGATTATGCCATGTTGATCAATTTCTGTATTAAAAGCCACTGGATCCTTTTGATCACCCGAGGAACCAGGCGTACAAATATTCCAGTGTGGCCTTCCTGCAGTTCTGCAAGCAGGGCAATGTGGCCTTGATGTTCTTCATGACACTTGGCGGCCAGTTGGCCCCTGGTGGTTTGTCTTTCATATTTTTAATATGGTTCTCATGGAGTTATGGCCATCAGGACTTGCATTGATGTTATGTCTTACAACTAGGCACAGGATTTATCGTAATTCTCCAGACTAAAGTGACCATAGAATGAGAAGCCATGAGATACCCTCTAGTTTGCCGCAAACCCAACATGTCGCCAAGACATGTTGGCTGGTACTGTGCCATTTGGCCCCGGGTTCATTTTTTTCCTCCCCTGAAAAAGGGGGGCATACTTACAGAGCTCCTAGATGCTATTAGGGGTTGATGGTGGTTTGTAACTGACCTTGTACTAAGGCTTCTAGCATTCAACTCAAAGTTAACCGGTTAGCACAGTGAAAAACATCATCGACAAAAAAATCTGACAGCAGGGTTGATGTACTGTCAGAACTTCGATCATTCTCATCTCCAGATTTGCAGCTGGGTGGTGCTTTCAACTAGATCTACCATCCCTGCTTAGGATGATAAACGCATTATCCCCAATTCAACTGATGATTGCTATTCTTGGGGGCTCAACCTGTGGCTCAGCCATCAACCTGATAGCTACCCGATCACCGTGGACCTCAGGTCCTGCGCAGTAGGAAGCCAGAGCTTCAGTTGGCAGAAACTCGCTGTCTTGACCGTTGTCATTGCGGGTTGTACCACGCCCCTTGGATCCCAAAGGGAGCTGGACGGGCCTTGGAGATAGGAGTCTAGTCTGGATTCTTCGGGACAACTGATTTAGGTTATATTGTTTCTAAAGCAATCAACACATTTAAAAAATAATTAATCAAGCTACTACAACTACATTATGTATTTATCATTTTTTGCAGTCGCCCTGTGAGCTCGCCTTCAAGAGAGAGAGAGAGATATGTAAATTTATTTCTATATACGTATAGAAACATCCTTTGGTTTGTTGATTGCTTTCTCCACTAATTTTGTGTCTCGGTCCATTTCGCAACCTACAGCCTTTTCATTGCGCTGCCTGTTTTGGCACGAATGCAGAGGTGTGCTCATGGAGAGATCCACTTTGTGCCCCCTGGCAAATCTTAGGGGATGGGCATGTGCAATGTGCTAGCCGGCGGGTCTAAGAGTGATTCATTTTTTATAGCCTGAGAAATGCCTGTGAGATGTTGTTTGGTTTTCAGCATTTACTTCGGCAAACCCGCTAAAGTGATTGCGTTATGGTTTAACATAGTTTTGATATAACACATGAGTCATCACCTGCTGTTGAAGGGATTGAAATGGATCTATTGAAGGCCTCTCATACCACATGCCAATTGATTACAACCTATAATATATATATAATATATATATATATACATACACATGTAAGCACGCACAATTTCAGAGTATGTATCCTTGAAGGCCTCTCATGCCACTCAATTACGCTTTACAACATTTTATATCTATATAAAGGCAACATTATAAATTTATACTATATAATAAATAAATAAATAAATAAATACATATATATATATATGTGTGTGTGTGTCTCTGTGTGATATGATTATGTAATATCCATGCGCAAAATTTCACAAGCTCACGCTTCCTTCAAGGGCCCTCAGGATGATTGGTCTAGTGCTGCAGCTGGCATCGCAGCTCACGGAGTGCAGCAAGAACCTCATCGGAGAGGCAGTGCCTCGAGCGACGAAATATGGCCATATTTTGGAGATGGAGATTCCCTGAAATTTCGGCCTTACATGGTAGGTACCTTTAATTTAGGTCCCCAAACTGGTCATTGATTACCGAAGGACATTTAGAAGTCAAACTTCCGACAATATGGACAGAAGAAAAGCAGAGGTGGGAAGAGTCAGAGAAGAGAAGAGCGGAAGAGAGAAGATCAGAGAAGAGAAAGAGTCAGAAGAAAGAAGATGCAGGTGCGCGAAAAGGTAGGAGAAAGACTCAGAAGAAAGAAGATGCAGGCGCACGAAAAGGTAGAATAGTCGCGAAGCCTTGTGCTTTTCCAGTGATTTGGGGCTCCGGAGGGTCGACAAGTAGGCTCGCTAAAGCGGCGGGTGCAGAGCCATCTGGGGAGATGAGAGATGAAAAATTGCACGCCGTTGTGGCACGAAGCACTTTTGGAAGTTGAGATCTTGAAAAAGCGGCGAAGCACATTTCGAAGTCAAAAGTGTTAAAGCTCTCCAAGCACTTTTTGAAGTTAAGACGTCGAAAAAGTGTACGCCGTTGTGGCGCGAAGCCCTTCTCGAAGTCAAAATGTTAAAAGCACACTACATTCGGACCACTTTTGGATGTTCAGACACACTACAACTACCGCTACACTACATTAGTTACACCACAACTACAACTACGACAACAACTGCAGCTACAACTACAACTACATTACATTACACTACACTACCCCACACCACACTACACTGCATTACGCAACACTACACTAGCACTACAACGACAAATAGAAATACAAATGCAGATGCAACTACAAGTACAACTACAGATGCACATATACTACGCTACAGTACACTACACTAATTATACTACACTACACTAATTACATCTAATTACACTACATTACACTGATTACACTACAACTACACTAATTACACTACAACTACGACTACAACTCCCACCATGACTACAGCTACAACTACAGCCACAACTGCGTTACACTACACTACGCTCCGCTGCACTGCACTGCACTGCTGTGCTTCTGCTGCTGCTGCTGCTACTACTACTACTACTACTAATACTACTACTACTACTACCACCGCAACCGCAACTGCAACTGCCATTGCAAATACACTACCTTACACTACACTACACCACGTACACTATACTACATTGCAGTACGCTACAGTACACTACACTACACAACACTACATTGCACTACACTTTTTACACGACACCGGCACCACAACCACAACTGCAACTACACTACACTAATTGCACTACACTACAACTACAACTCCACTACACTACGCTGCAGCTACAACTACAACTGCGCTGCACCACTGCATCCAGCAGGTGCGGGTGAGATGACCACTGCAGCCATTCTAAAAAACACAACTCCAACCACTTTTCGGTCCATCAGTGGATTCGCTCTGACATCCATGCGTCACAACAGTTCACTTCTCCTATAGTGTCCTATCTTTGAAACTTCCACCACCGCTTTGTGCGGTACTGCTATGTACTACTGGTATATATATATATATATATATTATAGTTTGAAATTAGCAAAGGAACTAGCAGGTTAGTGTATATAATTAGTAATCATCATATATTATAATTTAACCAATGATATTTAATACCATCCCTCCAACGAACAGTTTGTCCTGAGAGCCTGAGAGCCGGCCACTTTTGCAGGAGAGTAGTGCAGCCTTCAGCTCACGGCAGGGTCGATGTTTGTTTCGGGGATGTTAAATATTAATAACAATGATTAAGTTACAGTATGCTATTCTTAGGATTTGATCAGGTTAAAAATATTACTTTTACATAATATTCTGCTTTGTTCAGATTTGGTCATGTAACACTTGGATCTCACATATTGCATGACCTCAATTGGGGTAGTTGACATTGATTTAGTCACTGACATGCACAACAAAATGACCGTGCATGTTTTCGACCCAACTCTTCACACGGAACGGAGAAATTTGATGTTCGTTCGTTGAAGCTGTTAGGGTTTTCCGCCCCCACACCCCCGGAATTGCATTTGTTTCAGGTTCGTTGTTCCAATGGCTTAGGTTTCACATGGTTTCACACCAAACGAATATACTGGATAGATATATATATATATATATGATTATTTTTATATAAATATAAATATAAAAATGTAATGTACATATGTATAATTATGCTATACTGTGTGTAATGTACATTATGTTTTTGTATATGGTTGCATATGTAATTAACATTTGTAGTTGTCGTATGTTTCTAACTACAGTAAACCCAACGACCTTCTGAATTTATATGTTCGTTCTTTGAATTTAGAGCAGCATTGTGCGTCATATCCTCAAGTTTTGTGTTGCCTTCTCCTTGGCATGCAGCAAGGTCATGGGGAGTGCTGGTTTAAAACTCGATGTTTTGACCTTTGTGCTCTTCCAGGCACAATGCGCACATACGCCCCATGTTTGGATTGGTTGGAAACCTGGAAATTGCTGGCTATGCCCAAGGGCAATGGAGAGAAACATACCCAAGATTGGCCATGAGTACGTGAGATTTTGAGGTAAAACCATTTGTGACATTTTGTGACATCCTGATTTTCTGCTATTATAAGGTGTTTCTCACAGAATATCTTCACATTAGAGATCATTATAGTCAGACTGTTGAAGTTTGGGTGTGGTAAGGACATCACCGGGAAATTTGCAGGGAAATCGTCACGAAACCATCAGCTACATCATGCTACTTGTAAGGTTTGAGTACTTGGTTTCCTTCACTGATTCACTCCAGCGGATATGCTCCAATTACCATCCACGTACCGGTGTGCACATCAGATCGTTTTTGGTTGGATGATTCATTTCCTGTTGTTGTTTATTCCAGTTAATGTTGAACACCATGTTTTGATATTTTTGATACGAAGAATGACCGGCCTTTTCTGAGCTCATTGGTACCTCAGTTTTGAGCTATACTCGTGTGTGTTGGTTGATGTTTCCGGTGCTTCAATTCCTTTTTTGTTGCCGCTTAAATCTCACTGGGTGCTACCCTCTGGTGAACTAACATAGCAATGGAAAATGGCCCAGTCGAAATAGTGGATTTTCCCATTAATAGCATGGTGGATCTTTCCATTAGTTATGTTAGTTCACCAGAGGGTAAATCCCATTAAATCCCATTAAACCACTATTAAACCCCATTAAAACCACCATTTTCCTATGGTTATTGCTGACAAATACCCTATGTTTGTTGCTGACAAATCACAATGTTTCCACGGGGTTACATCCCCAAAGTGTGACTTAACTGTGTGTCGCTTCTTCACCCAGCAGCGGCCATTTTTTGGCCCCAAGGTTTTTTCCACTTAGCATCCAGTAAACTAAGATAACTATAGACAATCCACCATTTTTATGAGATAAATCGTCTATAAATGACGATGTTCAATAGCAAACTGTTAGCTTACTGGTGTGGCTACTATGGAAAGTCACCATGAGAGTTCTTGGATGATCTTTAGTCATTCAACATGGCGCCATCTTAAGTGACCCTAGAACTCCTAGAACTCCCCACATTTCGTCTATATTTCGGGGGTTTGCCAGGCGTCCACATTTCGTTGCACCAGGCGCCCTTCTCTTTGCTCTTCCTCTCGGTGGGCGTGTGCTTCTCCTGGACTCCAGAGGTGGTCACAGACTTCAGGAAACAGAGCCTTGGACAGCGGGTCACGACAGCGTTGATGCTTTGAATGAATGTATACCGTGAAGCCAATTAAAAAAAATGAATATATATATATATATTTGATGGTATTGTATAATATCAATATATATATATATGTATAGATATGATTCCACTGTGTCTGATATATATATATATACATAATGTATATATATATAATCTATAGTTGATAATAACAATAATAATAATATATATATATATATATGATGGTATTAGTGTATGTTAAATATAATGGATATTGACATTGATATTGTGATAATATTGTGAAGCCAAGGGGATTTCTCTGGATAGTAAGGATGATATTATAGTGTATATTCGTTTGGATATGGATTTATATTTAATGGTATTCATATTGATCAATATTAATGGATATTGATACTAGTATTGTGAATGGATATGGATTGATGTTGATAGATATGAATGGTACTCATATTAATGACTATTAATGGATATTAGTGTAAATCAGTGGATATGGATTGATATTGATAGATATTAACGGTACTAATATTAACGGGTAGTCATTGGTCAATGCTAATGGCTTAAAGTGAACATGAATTGTTTTTCCTCATTCCATATCCTGGCTATCAATGTGATGACCCTGCCATAAACCATCCCAAAAAACGCCATATCCGATCGAAATTTGCGCAAACATGTGTGATGAAACAGCTATAGCAGCTAAGGGAGTGATTGGATGACTTATTGAACACCACCGACCTGACCGACCTTGTGTGTAATTTCCAGATAGTGTATTGGGGGATGTTACCATGGACAATTGACGTGTAATTTGCTGTCCCCAGCAGAAGAGGTTTGGGGATGTGACAAGTGAACTTCAACTGATTCAACTCCAAACAGATTGACCAGTGAGGAATTGATCAAGAAAAGATGGTGTCACCAGCACAAAATCATGTATCTAACACAAACGTAGTTTAAGCACTCCAGATGTGGATGAAACCAACAAACATACACGCTTCAACCAACATAGTCCACAGTCTACGATTTAACACAAACAGCAGCACCAGCACCAGCACCAGCAACAACAGCAACAGCAACGACAACGACAGCAACAACAGCAGCAGCAGCAAACAAATAAACCGGTGTAGAGATGGAAACAGCGGTTGTTTTTAATATATGTTAGCTTATGTTAGCTTTCATACTAGTGATGTGTTTGTTCCATCTTGTTTTTTGCTGGTGCAGATGCTCCAAAATGACCTCACCATGAGTGACCTGGTAGGTTGCAAGGGGAATCATCCCTTTTAAACAGGTTGACGTACGTAGTTTCAGTTAAGGAGTTTATGTTTCTATGATTGTCATGTTCACTGTCATTATTATCATTACTGCTGTTACATTGTTTTGTAGTGACCATACTAAGTTCTGCGTAATTTGCGCATATACTCCATGTTATTTCAATCTTGCGATTCATGCATATAGCATAGTTTTCAGTGAACGATTGCAAAGTGAATAGTTATTTGATTTCATGATATATGCAAGTGCTATAGCGAATTGCTACAAATTCTTAGATCAATGATCCAAAACCAGCCGTGTTTGCGTCCCACCAGTTGGCATTGGCTCATGGTGAACGCATGCATCGCATTCCTTCTGAACGTGCCTGGGCTGAGTTCCAGTTTGTGTGGCAAGTTCCACAGGGAAAGTATGAGAAAAGATGGGAATCTATGGGAAAACATGGAACATATAGAAATATCATCATAGAGCATGGGATTTCCGGGCACCCTATGTTCACAGAAACCTTGGTTGGATGGTGACCGGTGGTTTTTTGTTCAATTTAAGCGGCCACAAGTAGCAACTGTGGAGGAATTGCAACTGTTTCAAACCCAAATATACCGTATATCTATAAGTTATAAGACCCTGTAAGATCCTATAAGAAACTAGTCATGACGTCCCAAAGTTCTGGACGTGGTCACGATCTCCTTAGGTGTTGGATTTATGTGATCCATCCATCAGTGGGTCCTCCAGGTGCTGATAGCTGTGACCTTGAAGAAACTCTCCGCCTTAGCCTTTGTGATCATTGGCGTCGTCAAGGAGATGGCAGACGTGTTTTTTGTTCGCCCTTTTTGGAAAGGGTTTGAAGGGAGACTGAACATGGGCCACCATGTAATTCATCATCGTATAATCATAATCATTTAATGATATACTAATATATCATCATGATCCCTATTAACTATTGCTGGGATATTCCCAACTGAATAATATTTTTCAGAAGGGTTGAAACCACCAACCAGATTAATTGGGGATAATATTGGAGCGCTCTGACACGCAGCGATGTATCCTTTTCTTCTGGCAGGACATGGTGATCGTCTCCTCTTCATCCCTAGTCTTTGGGGCGCCTTGGAATGCTGAACGAAAACGAGCCGAAGTCTCTAGTTCCCCCAGTGATAACATATAGAGGTTTCCTAAAACGGGGGGACCTCCAAAGCATCAATTTTAATAGAATTCTCACTATAAACCATCCATTTTTGGGTACCCCCATTTCAAGAAACGTTTATTTACCTTTTCATCTCGAGCTCTGGCACACATAGTTTTGAATTTGGGGAAGACGCGCGTTTTCTTACTGACTGTCAGGGACATGCCTCTCCATCCTTTGGCAGCATTTTCTGCCATAATGGTTTGGCCACGTCGGTTGTTTGAAGCCCGTCTCACTTATCTAAACTTCCAAATCCTCTGCAGCGTTTGGATTTCCTTAGACTTAGAACAGTAAGCTGCTGGCCACTCCAACGCAACGTACATCATTTGATTTCTGGTTTCCAAAAGTGTTTCTGATCCATATTAATGTGAGTACAGCAATCCAAATGGGTGGTTCATGACGCATTGCCCAATAAAATTGTAGATAAACATAGATAAACACTTGAACAATGAGAAATCTACTTGATGATATTTTTTAATGATCATTTACTCGGTAATTATGGTAATTATCATCTCAGATCCCACCGGCATTCGGCTGAGGACCCCATCAGTCAGGCGCAGCAGGTGGGCTTCGCAGTGACCATCACTGGAGTCTTACTCTGGAGCCGCCTGAAGCTTCAAGAACAGGTGCGGAAGGGGGAGGGAACGTGACTGGAGCCATTTATGATATTTATGTTGAACATTGTGTAAAACGCATGTTTTCCCGGAAATCCGATTCATCATCCGATTCATCATCCAGTTTCTCTATAAAAAATGCAAAAGAAACGTCGGTTCATGTCATTTCCTATATATAATTATCGAAGGAAGTTTAGAAGTGAAACTTCCGACAATATGGACAGTTGAAAAGCAGAGGTGAAAGTCGCGAAACACTGTGTTTTTCCAATGATTTGCGGCTCCGGAGGGTCGAAAAGTAGGCTCGCTAAAGCGGCGGGTGCGGAGCCATTTGGCCAGATGAGAGATGAACAATTGCACGCCGTTGTGGCGCGAAGCCCATTTCCAAGTCAAGATGTACAAAGCACACCATGCTCGGACCACTTTTGGAAGTTGAGATGTCGAAAAAGTGCACGCCGTTGTGGCGCGAAGCACATTTCCAAGTCAAAATGTACAAACACACCATTCTCGGACCACTTTTGGAAGTTGAGATGTCGAAAAAGTGCACGCCGTTGTCGCGCGAAGCACATTTCGAAGTCAAAAGTGTAAAAAACTGACGGTCTCAGACCACTTTTGGAAGTTGCGATGTTTAAAAAGTGCACGTCGTTGTGGCGCGAAGCACATTTCGAAGTCAAAATGTACAAAACACACCATTCTCGGACCACTTTTGGAAGTTGAGATGTTGAAAAAGTGCACGTCGTTGTGGCGCGAAGCACATTTCGAAGTCAAAAGTGTACAAAAACTGATGGTTTTGAGCCTTTTTTGACGTTACGATGTCGAAAAAGTAGACACTGATTAACTTAACTAACTTGACTAACTTAACTAACTTCACTAACTTAACTACCCTAACTTCGACGACAACAGCAACAGCAAACACAACAACAACCACAACAACAACTACAACTACAACAACTACAACTACAAACAGAACTACAACTACAACAACTACAGCTACAACTACAACAACTACAACTACAACTGCAACAACAACAGCAGCAACAACAACAACTACTACAACTACAACTACAACTACAACAACTACAACTACAACTGCAACTACAACAACAGCAACAACAACGACAACGACAACAACTACTACAACTACAACAACTACAACTACACTACACAACAACTACAACTACAACTACACAACAGCTACAGCTACAACTACAACAACAACTACAACTACAACAACAACTACTACAACTACACAACAACTACAACAACAACAACTACAACTACAACTATATGACTGCAACTACACTACACTAATTACATTACACCACAACTACAACACCACTACGCCACAACTACTACAGTTAGCAGTACATCACACTACATCCAGCAGTTGTGGGTGAGGTGACCACTGCAACCATTGGAACCACTCCAGCAAACACAACTCCAACCACCTTTCGTTCAATCAGTGGATTCGCTCTGCCATCCGTGATTCACAACAACCAACGTCTCCTATAGGTTTCCTATTCTGAAACTTCCGCCACCGCCTTGTGCGGTACTACTGGTATAATAATTATTGTTATTATTATTGTTGTTGTTATTATTGTTATTGTTATTATTATATGTTTCCTTCAGCTTATCCAGCCAATCCATCGTTCAACATGTCATCCATCGACGATGACGACGGGATCCAGGCCGCACGACGAGATCCAGAGCGCCTACCTTTGGCGAAACAGGAGGGGCATGACATGACAGTGACATGATTTAAGAGCCTTAAGTTTGCATTAATATATATATATAAATATATATATATAGAGTAACCCCACCCCCCCAAAAAAAAAAAAAATATCATACATCAGCACCATTTTAGTAGGATTCTATATTTTTTGGGGCTTGCTGTAAGTGGTAAACAAATGTTCAAATGGATTTGACGTTACACAAATTGATAGATTGGCAGCATACATGGAATGCGCATGGATATTAATGGATATTATGGATTTATGGATTATATTGGATTATTATTTGTTTGATTATTATGGGATTCCGGGGAAATCACAACTTGCTGCATTGCCAGAGGGTTACCAGCACTATTTTGCTCAGGATGTGAAGGTCAAGTAGACGCAACGTGACGCTATGGGAAGGCGATGTTGGTGGTACCAGCATTGACTTGACTCATTTGCAACTATCAACGGGAAATTCAGGATCCAAAAATGGAGGTACTGTAATTACCATATAAGGCCATATTTTGTGGGGACATTCCCTCACATAGGCCTTACATAGGCCTTACATATGGTAGGTACCTCCAATTTAGGTTCCTGAAATGGCCATTGAAACTCTATATATATATATCATGACGTGTATAGTATAGTCCTGAAAATTCATGTTTGAAAATGACATATGTCATTAAATGTCAGTAGTATAAGTATACACTATATATTAGACAATATGTCATTGAAACCACTTCATCGAACATTCTGCTTTCATGCGTATATGATTTGCTTCTTTTGGTTGGTGTTGGAAGCCCCATTCAGATGGATGTGAATGGCGCCGTTCATAACTATTTTGGAATTCACCTTGGCACATTGACAAGAATCCCATAGATTCCATGATTTCCCATGGAGTGACCATGATTTACATGCTTGTGTTTTGCCATGATGTTCAGTCAATGTTCCATGATGTTCTCTACATGATTTTGCCCATTTTTTTTCATCTATGGTTTTTGATGGGTTTCCATAATTTCCATGCCTTCACACATGATTTTTCATGGTGCATCAAGTTTTCATGATCTTCCATGAGCATATTGCCGCATTTCCGATCCATTTCCAATACTGCAGGTACTTTCAAAGTCCGTCCTTCGCAACGCGCAACGGCTGCCGGGCTGGCCTCATGAGGACACCCCACATGCAGCGATGACAAAAAGATGGTGAGATCCTGGGTGGTACGGTACTGGGGCTGTAACCTCTATCTAACTCATGTTTGAATCATTGAGAGAGACCCCCCAACTAACAGTAACATAGATCCTGCCATGGGTTGGGTCGGAAAACTACATACTTTCCTCTGAACATTGGCTATTCTTAGGGTCCATGTTAGTTGATGGCATGGTAGATCCTATTAAAAAAGTGGCAAATAGTTGTTCTTCTGATTGGAGGATGGTTTTACAATGTTTTATTTATACAACGAAATTAGTTAAACACCAATATCGCAGGTTTAGCCACTCAAAACAGGATTCTAAATGGAGACTACCATCCACATAATTTTCCATAGCAATGGAAATCCTGAATGGGTAAGGTATAGTAACAGATGCACTACGTTTTTTGTGGTCACGTTTGATTACCAGATGAAATTTGATATAAGCATGAAAGTGGAACCCCCTTTCTTCTCAGATCTTCTCAGCAGGAAACACCCGTTTTATATTCCCATTGGTCATGTTCCACTTCTTTGTTTTTGTGTTTTGGTGTATGTGCGGTAGGAATTCTATGGGTTTTTGTGAGGGCAACCAAGGGCGGTCGGTTTCCAATCAACCAAGGCCTAACCTGGAGTGGGCGTGGAAAGCAGCCATGTTTGCCATCCCCGTTCCCTTTACGGGCAAGCGTGCGGGGTGTCTCAGCGGCCGAAACTTGAAGGCTAAGCGGCTAAGGCACCAGAGTTGATTCTGGGGATGATGGAAATGAAATTGGCATTCGATTGCTGGGTTCAGAATTGGAAAGCTGACGTTGCTTAGCATCTTTGTGGATTTCTGGCGGTATTGGTAAAGGGATGGTAAAGGGTGCTGCTTTGATCTTGATCGAAAAGTATTATGTGGTACAGGCCGAATGTTGAACGATTTGAGCTTCTGTTGTTCTTTCATCCTGCCCTGTGGCCTTAGACCTTGGGATGCCGAACTGCAAAACGATTGTTCTTCCCATTTAGCTGAAAGGGTGCTGCGTGAAGTGATAGCGAATGGTGCATATCAATCCAGTGCTGTTGCTGATGGTGGCATCAGATACCGAGTTGTGCACCCAGTTTGTGCCCCACTTTACCACACCCCTTGGCAACCCCCACTGGACTGGATGAAACCATTTGCAGCCGTTGGTTCTCCAAAGGAGACAGCATATTACTGTAGTTCAGAGAAGCAATTCATGAGGCTGCTGAATGCATAATCTTGAAGAGTTACATGCAAAAGATTTGAGGTTCAAATTGTGTAGAAGACGATCAAATTAAGCAGCTTAACAGTGACCATATTCACTTGGAGGGTCCCCCTTTCCATTGTTTGGCTTTGGAGGACAACGTTCTCGGCAATCCTCACACGCATTTTTGGTATTTCCCAACTTTTTGATGCCCCAACCAATTGGTTTCCTGCAAATGGTGGATGATCTTGATTGATCTTGTGGCCACTTTCAACAGAAATTCACACAAAATGGTCATTTCTCAAAGCATGGACCCTTTTAATGGCGTTTCCAATTTCTTGAGAAAATATGTATGATATATAACATACATATAGTTTATTTGGATATCTCAGACTGCAAACCAGCTGGGATCTTGGCAACCTTTCTACCGAAATCCGCTCCGCATGGTGTGCAGCGTCATTTACCATGCCCAGAGGCACTGAACCAACTGGGGGTCGAAAAATGGGCAGCTATGGGCACACAATTTTGCCTACATACGATTTTGTTGAATTAATAAGATTTTGACGTTTTACTATATTATTCCTTTGGTCGAGCATGCGTTTTTTCCTCCACCCCATGGGTTGTGATATTCAATTTGCGCATGGATATTGAAGGGTTCAAGTTCTACATCTCATTTGAGGTTGGCATGCTTGAGGGTCCCAATCTATAAATCTACCGACGTATCTATCTAGCCATGTATCTAATCTAATCTAATCTAACCTTGTCTTATCGTAGTTTATCTTATTTTACTGTATCTTATCTTATATTATCTTATCTTATCTTATCTATCTATCTATCTATCTATCTGAATTTATCTATCTGAATCTATCTGAATCTATCTGAATCTATCTGAATCTATCTGAATCTATCTATCTATTTATCTATCTAATCTACCTATCTACCTATCTACCTATCTACCTATCTACCTATCTATCTATCTATCTATCGATCTATCTATCGATCTATCTATCTATCTATCTATCGATCTATCTATCTATCTATCCATCCATCCATCTATCTATCTATCTATCTATTTTGATCTATTGATCTATCGATCTATCTATCTATCTATCTATCCATCCATCCATCTATCTATCTATCTATCGATCTATCTATCTATCTATTTATCTATCTATTTATCTATCTATCGATCTATCTATCTATCTATCTATCCATCCATCCATCTATCTATCTATCTATCGATCTATCTATCTATCTATTTATCTATCTATCTATCCATCTATCTGTCTAATCTATCAATCAACCAATCAATCAATCAATCTATCTATCTATCTATCTATCTATCGGTCTATCTATCTATCTATCGATCTATCTATCTATCTATCTATATATCTATATATATATATATTATATATATATTATATATTATATATTATGATATTTTATTTTTGTTCAATTATATGTGCTTCATAATCCATATCTATGTTTGTTTCTATCCCTGCAAAGGTACATGTAATGTATGTCTATAGTCTATATTATGCAAGACTAATGATGTATTCTCGCATAGCATTCCCCAAACAGCTTGGGTGTTCTGCAGGCACAGCTCCAACACCTTTGTGTAACACACCCTTATGGTTGTGAGTGGAATTTCTGTTTGAGTGAGGATCGTTTCATATTAAGTAAATACCCCTAATGAATTCCGATTTAGTGTTGGGTCATGTTGGATCTATGCATTTTGGGGGATGGGTTTAGATTCTGCGGCTGCAAGATACTTCAAGTGGGCAGCCCTCAGCTAGAATAGCCAGAATTGAATGTCTCACCAGCAGTTGGATGATCTGAAGTGATCACCGAGTTTATTTGCAGTGTTTTGCCAACTGGCCTCGATGGGATGTTTTTTTTCCCCTTTCTGTTGCCACGTGCGGATTGCACACACACAAGTACAGCTACCACCTCATTTCATGGTCGATTTCGGCTATGTTGAAGCGTTGAGGCCCAGATTTTGTGTAGCCAAGCAGCTAAAAGTACCACATTCCAAGATGGCTGTTCGGCCATACCAGGTACACACGATATGAGGAGTACCGGCAGGACTGCTTGGCTTTGGTAGGAGGGTACGGTTCATTGGGCAAAAAAAAACACATGATATTTATGGCGTTGAGTTTATTACACCAATATGGTGATATGGCCACTGCTTTGGAACCACATTGGTTGGAAATTTGCAAGATGAGCTGCCAAGATCCTTGCCCTTTAGGATCTTGATTGTTACACTGCAACTATTATCACTATTGGTGATGCCATGGGTTTGCATAGTTATATCCCAGGTTTTGCTGGTTGATTCTATCGCTGTTTTATTTTTATTTTTGTATAGTATACCCACAAGGCACGCTTGCAGACTATTGTGCAACTGTTTCTTTGCGGCCAGTCTTTGCCGATCAATTTTCAGTGTGTTTTCTGTTTTATGTTTGATCAGCTTATGCCACTGTTTTTGTTGGTCATGAAGTTGCATTCCACTGTTTGTATTTTTTTGTCCCATGTTTTGCCTTGAAATATAAGAGACATATGAACAAGGTGCCTTTCTTTCCAACGGTATAGTCATGGTTTCCATAGTTTGTTCCTATGATAGCAACCCAATGTCTTCATAACAACCCAATGATGTTTGACCGCCAGGGGCTTTCCAGATCCTGCAATGGTGACTTGGGCCATCTTGGGCCTGGATGGTTCATCCAGTGGTAAGGTTTTTTCGGCTCTGCCCAAAAAAAGGCTCTTGAGTTAGTTTCGAAAATGGGCTGTGCATCCCAATGTATTGCATTTTTTGTAGGAAAAAATGATCATCAGCTTCGATGAATCTATCAAAGTTGGGGAATGTGGGCGATTTTCCTAACATGTTCAAAGCAAAGCCATGGAACCCCCAACGAAACAATGCAGTAATTAGTTTTCATGACTCCTTCATGTCTTCGCGGCCTGAGGGAAGAACTTGGTCCAAGGTGCAGGGGCAACTGTGATGTTTGGTGGGTTTTTTTAATGACATCGACTTGGGGCGTTACCACTTCCATAGCGAAAATTCATATGGAAACATCAGGTAATGATTTGAATGACATATATAATCATATATATATATAATCATGAGCCATTTGTCCCTTCTTTGAATGCAGATGGAGCGTGACGACATTATGCTTTGTAAAGCATAGACTGCGGCACTAGGGTCGCTTCCCAAGTGACATATGCTTTGGCTGTTGAGCTTTGCTTCCCTTGGTGAGCAATTACATGATTACCCATCATCCATTTAGGACCCCCATGCTTGCATTTGTCTGTATATAATATGTATATATATATATTTATATGATTATATTTTAATCATATATACATATGTAAATGAGTAATTATGCTTCTAGTATAAGCAATAGGTAAGATTGATTGCTTGGTTGATAAACAGTGGTTGACAATGACCACAAATCAAACAATCAGGACAATAATATATATATATATATATTTATATACACACATAGTTCACCGGCGGGTGAAACCCCATATATTTATATTTAAGTAATCCATTTATATAATGCATCTCTCTCTCTCCCTCTCTCTAGATGTGCATATTCAATTTTGCATCCTGCTGTGCGGCTGGTCCAAATCAACTGGTATTTGGCAATTTGGGGATGGCTCAACCTTGGGTCACCCTCACGGGCACAATGGGTTGGACCAAGAAATATGTCTACCAACCAGTGCTAATATCAGTGCATATGATCAGTACCCATCCTTGCCAAATATCTTTCCAAATATCAAATATGTGTTGAAATGTCTACTCAAGTGT